CTCTGCAACTGCAAATTACATATATATATATATATATATATATATATATATATATATATATTTCAGCCTCCCCAATAGCCTCCATCTAGTGAAGAAGCCTCCCTCTCTCTCTCTCTGCAACTGTAAATTACATATATATATATATATATATATATATATTTCAGCCTCCCCAATAGCCTCCATCTTGTGAAGAAGCCTCCCTCTCTCTCTCTCTCTCTGCAACTGTAAAAATCAAAGCTTCAGCCGGCTCTCTCAACTCTCTTGCCCCTTGTGTAATTTGCTCCCTTTTTCTCCAAATCCCTCCAAATCTTGTCAATTTTGGAGGGATTTGGTTTTACTGTTTTTGAGGGATTTGGAAGGATAGGCTATCCCTTCAAATCCCTCCCAATCCTTTATTTTCTCTTCTATTCCCTCCATTCAAACACACCTATCCCTATCCTTCCCTTTCTTTTCTCTCCAAATCCCTCTAAATCCCTCAATCCAAACGAGCCCTTAATAAAAATGGTACTCCCTCTGTCCCAAAATAGTTAGGTACTTTGAGAACTGTGACTCACATCCCAAAATAGTTGGGTACTTTGGAAACTGTCCTAAAGTACCCAACTATTTTGGGCCAGAGAGTATAAGATAAGCAGGGTCGAACCACACATTCAAGATTGGAACTAGTGAACTCAAAGTCAAAACTAGAATTTATGAGAAAAAAAAATAAGGTAAATTACACTGACACCCCTTCAGGTTAGGTCAAATCTCACATAGATAAACATTTTGATTTTAACTTTCACTCACATTGGGAAAAGTGAATCCGTATTTCACTTACACCCCAAATGTTAGCTTTCAGTGGTGTCATGGTACTTTTTAGGTGTAAAATGATTATGCTACCCTTTTGACTTCTTGTTGACTTGAGAAAAGGGTGTTTGAATTTTTTCATGACAAAAATACCCCCAAGTGACCCATATAAGTTGTTGTATGCATGCACCCATGCTAGTCATTCTTAACAAACCACCAAAACCCATCACCACCACCCCCACCCCCACCCCCACCCCCATCACTACCACCCCCAACCTAAGTACTTCGGGGGAAAAAAAGTATGTATGTGCTTGAACTTACATCAGTTAGATGGGGCAGAAAATGACAATAAAATACAAAATATGAAACTATAATTGCAGCTTGCAACAAATGGGTCACACAAAACATGATAAAAGTGAAATACGCAAAAATTGGAAATTCAAAACATAAAGAGTTGAAGTTGAAAGAGAGAATTTTAGAAAAATATCAGCATTTACCATTCAATGTCATCTAATTTTAAAATAAATCTAAGAGTTGATAGTGTCAATTAACTTAAAACGATTAAAAGAAGAGAAGAAAAAAAAAAAAAAAGGACTGCACTTTACGAAGGCATTAGCAATTAAGTAGCAAATATATTTATATAACACTGAACCTAAAATTAGAACACCAACAATATATACGCATTTTCAATTTGATGTCATTGCTATAATTTAGTTCCTCTATGTCTCTCTCTATTGCTCAAGTCGGTCAGAGTGTCTCGTCTAAGAAATGTGTATATATGCATTTTAGAACACCAAAATGTATATATGCATTTTGGAGCTCTGTTCACCTAAGAAAGGTGCAAGTCATGGAGCTTGCGATTATGTCACCGTCACTGGAGTTACAAGGAGTGGGAGCTTGCTAGTTGATAACCAAAGTGGGTTTATGCATGAAGGTCTTGGCATTCACAGGATGGTCACCGAAATGGGCCACGTTATTTGAAACTCACTAAAAGTGAGTTGAAGTCACTTGTAATGTCATCAGTGTGACATGGAGCTTTTCCGAACTTCGAGCTTGCCGAACTACAGAGTTTGCTCGGATACTGGCTATATAGAGCAATGAAGCTTGCCGAATTCGGTTGAACTTCACCGAACTTGGGGCTCACCAGATTCTGCCGAAGTTAGTCGCTGATTGGTTCATTGAAGGTTTCCAGTGGTCGCCGCTGCTTGAACGTTGTATGCTCAGAGGCTCGCCGAAACTAGAGTGGGCTTCACTGAACATCCCCTCTGTTAGGCTTCACCGGACTGAAAGTGCTTCTGTCTGGGCTCGCCAGACTATAATGCTGCTCTTTGGGCTTGCTGAATTAGGTAATGGAGCTTTGGAGCTCGCCGGCAATGATGGGACCACGCCGGAGGTGTTCGTCGTTCGATCGTGTAGTTTGAAGCTTCACTGGACCTGTTATATCTCTGTAAGCTCGCCGGAATTGGACTGAGGCACGTCAAAGTTGGGACGCTCATCGTCGGGCTAAAACTTGAAGAACACCAAACGGAGTTTTTTTATCTTTGAAGTTTGAGCACAGTGATGGAGCTTGTAACATCACCCGTTGGGTCTTTCTTCACCGTCCGGTTTGGTCGTTGTCCATGGGGCTTTCTGAATGACTTGAGCAATGGAAATCCGACAATCCGAGATTTGTTGTTGTACGTCCTCAACGCATTGACGCTTCAAATCGGGGAAGGAATCCGGTGATGGCGATGGTGACTTAAACGACGGTCTTCGAAGTCTTGGAGTGGTGCTACCTATATTCATGTAGATAAAGAGAGAGAGAAAGAGAAAGAGTGATTTGGAATACTAGTATTATATAGTGGGTATTTTTGTCATTTAGGTTTATAGATATTTTGTATTATTAAATTGTATTTAAAAAAGGGGGTAAAAGAGTCAATTCACATGTGTCAGAGCCCAAAAAGTAATTTGGGGTGTAAGTGAAAGTTAAAACCAAAATGTTCATCTACGTGAGATTTAACCTAACCTGAAGGAGTGTCGGTGTAATTACCCAAAAAAATATTTTAAAACAATTTTTTATTTTTGAACAATGAAATTAAACTAGAATTAAAATTTTATTATTAAATAATGAAAAAAATCTCAAGGTAGAAGAATCCACCACCATGGATCAATATAAATAAAATTTTATTTTATTTATATAATTTTTTCTCAAATAAGAAAATCACTTCATCAGTCCATATACAACTTGAAAAGATGAAGGAAAATGTGACTTTAAATAATACTTGCTTATATATGAGAAACTGATGTGGCCTTATAAATATTTGACACCTGTTCAAAAATTAAAAAAATGGATCATCCAGGTTCAAATGGGCTATACCCAGTAGAATCCATCTGAGAAACCCATTTTCTCTCTTCCTACTCTCTTCTTCCGCTCTTTAACCTAACTATAACAAGCCACCATTGATCTACTACTCATTCGACGGCAAAGAAGGCGAAAGAGAGGCCTAGGGAAAGCTGGACGCCACGGAGGACGGGGAGGGAGGTATTAAGCGGTAGAAGAAGGATATGAGGCCAGTGACGCTGAGGAGGAGGAGGAGGACGAAGGCAGTGGAGATTCCGGCGGCGGCGATTTGGGGGATGGTGAGGTGGGGGGTTTCAGAGACGGCAACGGCAGCGATGTACTTCATTGGTTGGACGGGCATGGGGATGGCAAAGAGAAGGCCGGTGGCGATGTTGTAGAGGGTGGTGAAGATGAGGGTGGTGTTGAGATCGAGGTTGGAGACGAGGGTTAAGGCTAGGACTATAGGGATGTAGGTGCCGAGATCGCCAACGAAGACGCCTAGTTTGGACCATATGGTGGCTTTGGGGCAGAGGGCAGGGAGACGGTTGCACCACCACTGGTGCCAGAGGAGAGGGGTGGTGGAGGAGTTTGATTATTCTTCTTCCATGAGGACTGTGGGTGTTGACTATCAGGATAACAATACTGCCAAAATTTTACCAAAAGGGGCGTTTGTAACGAGTTGATCCAATTTCTTTTCTTCTTTTCTTTTTTTAATATTATACCAGATTGGGACCGGTTTCAAATTTTTAGAGGGTCACATCAGATTGCAGGACAAAGCTTGTCCTAGTAAGGCAGGACCCAACCATTGTTAATAATGAAATTCAATGCAATTTAAAATATATTATGGACTAATACGAAAAATAATATAAAATTTAAAATAACAAAAATTAATTCTAAATTCCAAATTAGTGCTTTCATTCATGATTATGTGGATAAAATGAATAAAAATGATTATTTTTGTATATATAATAATATATTATATTATTATATTTTGATGTATCAATGTCGTATCGCCGTGTCCAACTATTTTCAGATTTGCCGTATCGCCATGTCTGTATCATGTCGTCTTGTGCTTTTATTTTATTACCTGTAAAATCTACAATAGCTTGTCCTCACCCCACCCGGCTCCTTGTTTGGGCAACAATTATCTTCCTTCCTGCAACAATACCTTCGACGACATTCACGCTCATAAAAAAGGTCTAACCAAGTCCACAAGATTACACTGCGTGATTTGGATAGGGTCGGATGCATGCAGCCTTACCTCTATATGCGGAGAGGCAGTTTTCCATGATTTTATAGTCACAATGGAACAACCTTACTATTGCTCCAAGGACCACCATCGACATTCACACTTTCATGTTGGAAAAAATCCACCACCAAAGTGGATAAGAAAGGGCATAGAATACTTCCTTTGCATCAATCCTTGCAGTAGTTTCACCACTCTTTAGCACAACAAACTGTATCCAAAAACCACCATCAATAATCTCTATCTAGGACCAAGATCCTATCATACACGCCTGTCTTCTTTCACACCACGCATGGTATATTAGGGTCTTATTGTAATTCTCCAACCACCATATCTATCCTTAACAGCAGGAGGCATCAATTAAACTAATAGGAGTGGCACCAACTATCCTACACTTGAATGTAAAATGCAAAATGTGATGGCTAGACTAACAATGGTTTCAGTAGAACCAAATGTGTCTGTTTTCAGTCAGTCAGGCTTCTTTTACTTCCAATTAGAAAACAAGTTTTGTAGTACAGACTAACCATACTTACAGTACAGTTATATGCATATGTGTACTCTTTAGCAAATCAGCAAAATTATAACATTAGAACCATTTAATAAAGAAATGCATCAAACGCAGGAGATAAATATAAAAATAAGAAACACAACCTTTTCTCAAGGTCAGTGCCACAACAGCATCATTTTCAACCTGAGAAGATGTAGCAGATTGATTAATCTTGTCAGTACACTTTTTAAGGCTAAGAATTTCAAAAATTATAAGAAAAACGAGATCTTTTGCTGTCAACAGACATTATCTTCTTAAAAGAATGCTTTGGGAAATATATATATATGTGTATATATATAATATATTCTTAAAAGAATAGACCTCAATATTGCCTTTTGCCAAATCAATAATATAATATGGACTTTTCATTCAGTAGGATCGAAGATGGACTAATACCTTCTGATCTGCCAAAGTCTTTGAATCGTCTAGCACTTCCCCAGCTGGCATTAGAATCAAACGCTGATCATTAACTGGTTGATCAACGAGGGCATACAACTTCTGCTTAATGTCCAGAATAGTCTCAGTTGGATCACATTGAATAAAGTAGGTTGTCTTACTATGCTTAACACGGATATACATGGCCTGAATCAAAGTCAAAATATAAACTCATCATATAATCTAGGTGATTTATTAGTTACAAAGAATGCACATTCAATGTTGTTCTTTGTCAACAATTGCTTTTAATAACCTGACCTGCAATATATATTTTTTAAGAAATGCTGCTAATGGCTTGACTGATGCCCTTGTGGGGGCAAAACTTGTGTCAAGAAGAATCAAAGAATTCTTTTAGAACTTACGAAATTATAAAAAGTAATTGTTTCAAATACCACCACAAAAATACAATAAACTTGATTGCAATTATTTGATGTCCGGCATGATACCCTTTAAAACAGTCTACTAACTACTAAATCAGAGAAAAATTTATATTCTTATATATGACAGATCGTGATTTTCTTATCACAAGTCACAACCTTTAGATTATATATGGGATTGTTCTGCATTAGGAAACTCAACTACCTTAAACCAGCAATTTAATATCCCATTTCCATCCATGAATTACTTTACAATGCAAAGAGAAAAGATAAAGGCATTGCGATGGTGGAATTTATCATTCCAAAAAAAAAAAAAACCATTTTCTTGCTCAATAATTTACAGTTGCCAGTAGCTATCATCTAATAGTTCGTCTCGCATAAACTAACTCAAATTCTAAGTGAACCATATTCTTCTTAGCCTGTTAATTGTCCTTGGAAAGTGGAATTTTGCTGCTTCATACATGTCATCTTGGCCTATATTCGGAAATTTCCCATGAAGCTTCTATAAAACAAATACAAAATGGTATAAGATAAATTGCCAAACATCACGAACGCATTTTTTACGAAATTGGAAATGACTATAAAATTTAACATTAACACGGGTAAAACATTCAAACTCAAATGATTCATGCTATAATAATCTTTTTTGGTGAAACTAATCAAGTTGTTTTACTTGTATCGCAATGATAGAACAACTAGCAATAGATTTTACTTCTCCCATTAAGGACGCATCTATAAAGATCAGAGTAGAAAATTGAATCTATTAATGCATATATATGTGGTATATGTGCGTGAATTCAAATGCTTCACTTTCCAATTTTAAACCGATATATTATAGAATACTAACCATTGAAGCAAGAATTTCCGTCAATAGAACCGGAAGATCTTGCCGGAGGATATTGTAGGAAGAAGATGTGGCTGCCGGAGAATGATTTATCTGTCTCTATCCTAGGGCTTTCTCTTGTTTTTCTCTGACTCGTGCTCTTGTTCCGAGAACCGAACTTCGAAGTGTTTCAACTTTTGTTAATTTACATTTTTTTTTTTCATAAAAAGTTAAAAACCCTTTAACATTTTTATATAATTTACATTGTCTCAAAACCTTGAAGAGAAATGCTAAATCGGTTTTCAACCGAGGTTGTCTTTATTTAATGTTTTACAAATAACTCCCTTGGTAACTGGGGGAAATTTTAATTTGGGGCCAAAGTAATTAAACTTTCAAAAAATTAAGAAGTATAATTTATAATAATATTATTCCTATTATATAGTATTCTGAGAAAGATATAATTCAAAATATGAAAAAAAAAATAAAAAATGAAGTCTAAAAACAATAGAAAGGGAAAATTTATTTAAGAGATAAAAGATAGAGGAGAGTAGGGGTATATAAAAAATTGTTAGAACCGTCAAATCGGTAGGAACCATCGCTCTAGTTCGATTATTTCACGATTCGATTCCAAATTTATTAGAACTCAACAATAAACTATATACGTATGTGTATATATGTATATTACAATATTAATAAATAACAATATAACATATGTCACAACAATAAAGTTACACACAAGTGCGCAACAATAAAATATGCTCATTTGCTTTTGTATTATAAATATATTTTATTTTTTTGTTGAGAGGTTTATTATTGCTCAATTATTGTATATATTTGTATTTTTTTTTCTTCTTTTTCTTTTTTTTTTTCCTAAGGGTAACTTGTATTTGTTTTGGTAAGTGAAATCATGTGATTGTTAGTAAGTTTTTATTTTATTTTATTTTTTATTTTTTTTACAAAAAAACGTGTTTCGGAATAAAACCGAACCAATATTTCACGATTCGATTCGATCCAATCAAATTTGCAATGGTTTCGATTTCGGTTACAAATTTTTAGAAACTATTAGAATTGGCTTAGCTCGATTTAACCTAAAATCGTACTAAACCATACCCTTAGAGAAGAGGAAAGCATGAGCTATGTGAAAATGAGAAGTGGTAATAAAAAATATTGAAATTTTTTTAATTTTCCTGCAACAATTCTTTCAATTTTTGAAAAAAAAAAAATACTTTCTTTTATTCCACTTTAGAAAAAATATATTATTATTACCTTGATGAAAATTTATTTAAGAAAATATATGACATTTTAAGTAAACAAAGTCTCACAAACTTTAATAAAATACTATTATTAAAAATGATATAGATATTTATCGTAATTTATACAAAAGAATAACTATAGAACTTGTCATTTAATAAGTGACAAATAAAAATATTAGTATATATGATATAATTGTTGTTATTGACATTTTTGTTATTTTGGTATATAGTTTTTATTTCTTATGGGTTCTCTAAATACTCATCCATGGAGATGTGCATATGATTTTAGATATTAACCTTGTTAACACTTTCTAACAAAAATGTAAAATTCATGTATCTTTATTAAACATCATATAGTCAATAATAAACATGCGTTCTCTCCGTGTGTGTGTGTGTGTGTGTGTGTATGTGTATGTACACTCGCACAAATGTAAGTATAATAATAATATGTTACAATAAGAATAACCAAAATAATGAACTTATATTTATATTTCACAAGATTTGGACTTCATAAGTAAGGCTAGAAAAGTTTAATCCCAATTTCTATGAATTTTGAAAAAATGAGTTATACTTATTTTCAAACTCAGTATAATTGAGGCCAATAAATAATTCTTGAAAATTTTGTTATTTTATAAATAAACCTCACTTATTGTTTTTTTTAAAAGGGTACAAAGTGTCATGGATAATGTTAAAACATTTATCAAAAAGTAGGTTTTGATTGTATTTATGTGAAATTGTTAATGTGGTCTATAAGAAGAGAGCAGAAGAGACTAATCGGATTTTTTTTTTTTTTTTTTTTTCTATTTGCATTTATCTATTAAAAGGAGTATATTTTTTAGTTTAGTTTCCATCGGTTGGGCCGAAACACAAGTTTATTTGCAAAGAATTTGTAATAATTGGGCTAGGCTCTGAGTTCAGGCTCCACTCCGCTCCACTCCAGGCCAGACCCTGAATTTGGTGCAATCACAATGCTCAAAGCCTCAAATTCATAGTCTTTCTTATCAAGCACTTTAGCGATACTTTAGTGATACTCTGATATACCTGTCTTAAATTTTTGCAACGCAAATTTTATAATCCACCACGGTGTCTTAAATACGTTTTTACGATGAATGTTAGAATCGACATAAAATTACGGAGTAGTAACAAAATGTCAATTTTGCCACCAAATATTTTTTTTTTGGTTTTTTTTAAGTGTGAAATGACTAAACATGCCTATGATATGTATTTAGCATAATTCTTAGTACGTTCTAAATGGTCCTTAGGACCCTAACATTTAATTTGGAAGTAAATAAGGATCTAAATACTGAAAAGACTAAAGTATCTCTTTATAAATGAATAAAAATATAAGTAAAAAACTAATTTAAGTGTGAAATGACTAAACTATCCCTCCTTTATTTTTTTTAGTTTCTTCTTCATTATCACTGCCGCAGGTAATGAAACAACAACGATGACTTAATATGTCCAGTGTCAATTCAATGTGTGTATATATATATATTATTAGAGGAGATAAGGGTATTTTCAAAATTTTATATCTTAATAGTTAGTTCAAGCCCTTCTTTGTTTATTTTTCAAACTTCATAGACTTATATACACAACATAAGCCTTTCTTTGTTCATTTTTTTCAGACTAAACGAACTTATATATAAAACATAAATGATATGAATGTTATTTGCTCAAAATGTAAACATTACTGTTTTTCCCACTTTATCATATATATATATATATCAAAAATTAAATTCGTTCTAATTTTCACTATTAGTTAATGTTAGTATAAACTAAGAAACCATAACCACCAAGATAATCCTCCAAAACCTATGCCTCGTGTGTAATGCATGAAAGAAATGTGGACGTTTGATCTGCTTGATTGTGGTGGTTAATAATTAAGAATAACATTGAAATGAACATTACACCTTCTCCATAATGATCGGGCATCACATAGTCCTTGACTCCTTGCTTATTACAGTATTATTATACATACAAATGCACATGACCCACACTCTCTCTCCATTTCTCCATAAACATACGTGTGTTTATACTTACATACTTATATGTATATATAATTATAAGACATCATTATACATGTAACATGTCCGAAACGCGGGGGGTCATTTAAGATGAAAGTTTGGTCGGCAAAAACTGGACCCCTCCCTCCATTATAATCTTATTCTAGCCGTTGAAAACAGCATCGCCCACAACGACTTTTTAAAAAATTTAAGACCCTTGAATACCGCATAGCGAGGAAATGAGGCCCCACGTGTAATGATGATTAAATTATTAATTAATGAAAAAGAAAAAGGAAGTTATAATGTCATTGGCTTTAATGACGATGGAATTGGATGAAAATCAGGATTAGTATTACAATGGGCTAAAGATTAGGGCGTGGGTTTGCATTTTAATTTTTGATTGATAAAAAAATATTTTTTGCTTGGTCCAAGGATAAACGACACCGTATTAATTGTCTAAATCAGGTGGAAAGTCAAAACTCGGTGATATCATTTTCTTGATCCGTTTTGTTACATATATTGTAGCTCAAGAGAGCTGAACTACACTTTTTGTTTTCTGTAAAGGACAAAGCAAGCAACCGTTGGAAGAGACACTGATTTGATCTATTGTTAGCTTTACACTAAAGCATTCCATTTTATTGATTTTGCTATCTTTTTGATTCATTTTCAACCTAATCTGTGAGCTAGGAAAAAGCTGGGTTTGCTTTTCCTTCTCTTTCTCAGGATTCAATCATCAGAGTTTGTACTCTTTTTGATTTTGTGAATTCACATTGGGTACTAGCTTGATTCTGTGGTTGGGCTTTTGATTCGGCGTAAATCCGGGTTTTCCTGGGGAGAAGCTGGTAATTCTTATATTTGAAGTCTGAATTTTCTGGTTTGGGGTGATTGATTCGGTTCCTCTAGCTTCTTTTTCTTAATTGGAACTTGGTTTGAGGATAATATTAAATCTTGTCAGCAACCCATCAGGTAAAACTCAGTTTTCTTTGCATATCTGCTTCCCTTTTGTCTTTCAAATCATATTGTTCTGGTTTTGGCACAGTATTTAGGTTTCACTTCTTCTTCAAACAAGTTGTGAGGAATAAAAACTGGACATTTTTCTCCTATTGGAGTTCTTTAAATCTTAGAAATATTTTAAAGTGGATAATGATTCATCATATAGAAATATTTCTATATTGTAGTTTTAAGAAATTTTAATTTAGAGATAGATTCGCAATTTTTTGACTTTTGAAAAGGGGAAAAAAAATGGGGAAAGATGATTCTTAACATTGAGATGATGTGTTTCTTCAAAATTTGAATTGGGGTGATGTTAACTTTTAATGTGTGCTAACTCTACTTGAATCTTCTTATACTTAGAACTAAGTTTGGTCTCTTCTGCCTTCAATTCAAATGTGCTATGGCGGAAAGTATTCCGAGCTTGGGAGTGTCTGAAACTGAGTTTACAGCTCTAAAAGAAGCGCTTTTCGCTCAGCAACAGCTTTTACAGAAACTTTACAATGAGTTGGACGTGGAAAGAGAAGCTTCAGCTACTGCAGTTAGTGAAGCTCTATCCATGATACTGCGTTTGCAAGGAGAAAAGGCAGCTGTGAAGATGGAAGCAAGTCAATATAAGAGAATGACAGAGGAAAAGATGTATCATGCCGAGGAATCTTTGTCGATCTTTGAAGACCTTATCTATCAGAAAGAACTGGAGATTGCTTCTCTAGATTTCCAAGTTCAGGCTTATAGGTACAAACTGTTGAGTTTGGGTGTTAATGATAATGCTGTTGACGAAACAAAATTTCCAGAGAATCTGTTGCAAAGAAATGAAGGCCTACTAGGGGACATGGGTGTTCAAAGCATTGGGAGAAGAAATTCTATGCCTCCTATTCCATTCAAATACTCGTATAACAAGAAGGGTATTATTGAACGAGAAAGATCTGCAAGTCCAGATATGGTTCCAAAGGTAGTGGAGGAAAATATGAACCAAGACCCTTATAGTCAAAGTTCGGATATGGAGAAAAAACCAGAGATTTCTGCAGTCGGAGACATCTGTTCATACTGGGAACAGATCAGAAAGTTGGATGAAAGAGTGAGAGAGATAGCAGATTATAGAGGAGTTAAAGCTGCAAACTTGAAGGGTGGATCGAGGTCTTCTTTGTTACTTTCACAAGTGAGCACAGACATGCTGGTTGATTCAAAGAAAGGAGCATCAAGTACAAAAAGATCAGGTGAGATTAAACATCCTGAAAATCTGTTGGGAAATGAAGCAACTACAGATTCCTCTTGTTCCTACAGTGTTTATGATGTATTTGAAGTCCCACAAACTTATGACAGTGAAGGTTATGGATGGCACACAAAAGAACAAAGCCTATCGAAATTGGAACGTAGTGAGAGGCTTGGAAAGCCAGATACTGCTCCACAGGAAGCTGTTAAACCATATGTTAATGTTGAAACCGACTGGGTAAAGAAAGTGCAGTTCTGCAGTCACCATGAGAACAAAATATGTAGATCAAGTGATGGTGGTGCTGTTGACTGCCATTTTGCTCTTGTTCGCCCTACAATTAGTGTTGCTGAAACTCAAGCCAAGTTTCAACCACTTAATATGATGTCGGAGATAATTGAAGTAGAGAGGCCAGCTGTAAGAGGAGATGCTAATAGCAGAGGGGAGGAAGAGTTGAAGTTATTGAAGGAGATACAAGATCAACTCAACTCGATACAGTCTGATATAAGAAGTTGGAAAACTAAGAAGTCCCCTCCGGCTAATGACTTAACCCTAGTTTCTCTAACAGAGGTATTCCCTTTTGCTTTCTTTCTCTTGCATTATTCAAATCCCCACTGTTAAACTTCTAGGGGAGGGGATTTTGAAATTTGATTTAGTGTCTAAGATTGCACTACAACCTAGACTTCTTAATCCCACTTATTAAGAATTTATGATGTGTTAACATTGATGGACAGGCAATGCTTCATTTTTGGCTTTGATCCAGCTGTGACAACATTTTGGTTGCAGACAAAAGGTCCACGTGTCCTCAATCTAAAAAATGTAGCCATCTGTGAAAGCTATAAAGGTTCTAGCCTACAAAGGATTGCATAAAGTGTATCATGGTTTTCTACGAGAGTTGCCATAAGAATGTAGTTGCTTCTGAATTCTGACTTGGTTTGGGTTTTTGCTACAAAAAAAATGTTTACCCTCCCTGTATAGTTTGCATACTTGTACATTAAACATTGTATTACAGAGGTGTGTGTTCATAGGATTATATAACTCGAGATTTTCATGTATCTTCTTTTTGCTGCGAAAATTAATGTAACCAGTTTCATAGTACGCATTGTTCATGTAATTGATGAGTTCTAGCTTTTGCAATCATTTTGTGTTTCCTGATCCACCTTTATACAGATATTTTGTCATTTAAGTTTTTATCTGCACATATAGTGATATAATGTGTTGATTTCAAAGTTCTTTGTAGTAAATCATGCTCAAGTGTAAAACATTATCTGGTCATTTACAGTCACTATCTCAATCTATGAAGGAAAATATTAGTTCCTTTGAGCAATTGACAAGAAACTTTCTTCATAACGGAAGCTGATATTTATATATAGTCTGTTTATGCAATGGCATGTGAAAATTCTCTTACATTAAACAAGTTCTATGAAGATCTATTCAAGAAACCAAAACCACCCATATTGACTACCATGGCACATTTTTTTCACATGCAGGCATAAGTAAATCCTGTGTTTCTAGACAACTGCAGTTCTAGACATCTTTGCTACTCCTACAGAGCTTATATAAGCTTCTCTTTACTGAAATTCTGTACAGTCCACATACTACTACTGTAACAGATTTTATTTATTTTTTTGTTGAAAAACAAACTTCCATTGCATATATATATATATATATTATACCTTCATATTTCAATCACAAGCTATATTTCCCACTTTACCAATTTTTCATTTTCCTTTGTTTTGTCTTCATCCCATGTTAATTTTGATCTACTCTTTGTTTATTACCGTTAGTTAAAATAGTCCTCCTTTCTTTATTGGTGCCTATACTTGGTTTACATTTTAGAAGTGCATAGAATATAAGCCTATTGTTCTCATATATTATTTAATGACATAAATCTGTTATTCTTTTGTTTCTTTGACAATGCGCAGCATTCTGCTACTTATAATACTTCCATCACATGTTTGTGATATTTAGATTACAAAGCCTCTAACAGCAAAGTAGTAGATGAATTCAAAATTTCTGTTTTAAGTCCTTCAAAAGCCTTGCAGCCATCTTCTTCTGCTGCATAAGATGTAACCCCTGTATCGACAAGAGTTATGACCGTGCCTTGGTGGGATATACAAGTCTGTATACTGAGATTTGCAGCTTCACCATTTGTGATTTGTCTCTTTAAAGTAATTTCGAATACAATGTATTGATTAGTTCAGTACACAAGTCCTACTCATAGATCCTCAATTTCATGTCCCTTTTCACGAGATTGAACTGTAGCTACAACTCTCCTTTTCAAGGTAACATGGTAAGATTTGTGTTTAAGGACTACAATGGTCTTATGGTATGCATCTACCTGATTTTAAGCCAAGAAATTAAAGTGAGAGAGATCCAACTCGAGCTTCAGACCCATTAATTGTAATTTCAACCTTCAAACAATTTTCTCAACTTTGATCAAATAGTTCATTTTGATATTACCGGCAACATGCCAACATTTTCAACAGTGATGATACGTGTATTCCTTAGAACATACAGAAAACTGTAACGTTAATTGGAAAAGGGAGGCAAACTAGAAGGATTAGTTCAAGAACACTGTTATTTTATGAACTCATCCCAGGCTTTGGCTGTAGTCATCTTTAAAATGCTTGTCCTCCATTTAATGACCATTGACCTTTACGGTTTCTAAGACTCGGTTTAGTTAGATGGAAATAAAAAAAAATAAAAAAAAATAAAAAAATGAAATGAAAAATGAAAAGAAAAGTGAAGGACTTTTAATATTTTATGTACTTTTAATATTTTATTTTCCAGACAAATAACTCCCAATTTTGGTGACCATTGACCTTTATGGTTTCTAAAAGATTACTCCCAATTTTTAAATTTATGTACTTTTAATATTTAATTTTCCAGACAAATAACTCACACAATCATTTTTAGACAAAATATATATATATATATATTGTTTCTTTTATCAAGCCTGATTTCAAATGTGACATTAACACTTATCCACCATATTAGCATGATCTTTTCCATAACATGAACTCATTAAATTATGCCCAAAAATAATAATAATAATAATAAAAACTCATTAAATTTTAGAGCAAAAATACCTTTCAATTGTTTTTGCAAAGTGTTGCAGACTTGCCTTTGGCCTTATTTTTTCTAAACAAGCAATTCTGAGTGTTTTTTTTTTTTTTTCTTTCTCTTTTGTGTACGTTGCTACAATTATGCTGACTTGGCACCCAGTGCTGGTTGAATCATGTTACGTGGACCGTCTCATGGTGCCACGTAGATATAATTATAAGCTGACGTGCGTGACACATATAAATATGTCGCGTACGGTACGGCAAGTGACCAATAGGGTTTAAGGGAGGTTTGATAGGTCTTCTGTTCTTCAATCTCGCTCTCCCTGTGTATATGATATATCTGCCTGCCTCTCTTATCTGCTCACTTGCTGGGTTTCTCTCCCCCGAATCCATAACATTTTCCACAGAGCTGGCTTCGACATCTTCAATCCCTTCGGGCCCTGGAGCTCATCTCCCAACCTCATGGAGAACAAAAAATGTCAAACCAAATCCAAATTTCCGCAAAAATCCAAACACTCTCTTCCTTCTAACCCCGAACATTCAGAAAACCTTACAAAAATTCCCACTTTCCTCTTCTTCCTTCCCTTACAATCTAAAGATACCTTCAATAAACACTTCGACTTCAATTCATTTGCACCCCTTGTCAGACTCAACTGATGAAAATTTTGTCCAAAGTCTCGAAGATTTAGCCAATTTGCAGACAGTCACTAATGGGTTCCACCAAATTGCAGCCCCAGAATCGATTCGGAGAGTGTTCATTCAGGACCCACCTTGGATTACTTCATTTTTTATGAAGAGTTTGTACAAGAGGACTAAACAAGGGTTGAAGATAGGATATAAAGAAAACGATAGGCGGAAGTATAATTTGCTGAGAAGGAGGCAGATTAGGGCAGAGACTGAAGCTTGGGATAAAATGGTGGAGGAGTATAGAGAATTAGTGAGGGTGATGTGTGAAAAAAAGTTGGCACCCAATTTGCCTTATGTGAAGAAATTGTTTTTGGGTTGGTTTGAGCCGTTAAGGGAAGCGATTAGAAAGGAACAGGAAGCGCAGCAGACAAAGAAGCATAAGGCAGCATACGCGCCACACATTGATTTGTTGCCCGCGGATAAGATTGCAGTTATTGTCATGCATAAGATGATGGGATTGTTGATGATGGGACAGGAAAACAGATGTGTTCGAGTGGTTCAAGCTGCGGTTCAGATTGGGGTGGCCATTGAGCAGGAGGTGAGCCTTCATTTTTTGAATTTTTTGGTTTAAAATAGTCAAGGACATGTAGACTTAGTTGCTGATTTATGAAACTGGAATGGTAATCTGGGTATATGTTGAATCAAATCTTTAGAGACGATGCAATTATGTATCTAAATATATTACACATAATTGTATTAAATAATGTTTTTATTCATGGTAACTTGTTGCAACTTTTTGAAGGTTTAGTGAATTTGTTTGGATTATTTCTAGTGTGTGAAAATGATAAAAAGACAACCAAGTTGAGGACAAAAAATTAATCATCAGGACAACTTTATCTCACTTTGCATGCATGACATTTGAATTTCTCCCTGTAGTGATGGCAAAATACTTGGCTCTGTGTGTGATTTAAGCAATAATCAATCCACTGAGAAATGATACAAATTTATTCTTTTAATTTTCTTTGAAATGATCTGTTTCCAGCAATAACTTTTGAAGTAATATATTATGATTATCATGGGCTTTGGGAAGAGTTTATTGAATCACATGTTTATGGTCACTTTTTGCATTTTGAGATTAGACAGATTTTGATTTTTATATTATTATTTTTTATTATTTCAGTACAAATTTTTATTAATTTAGAATCTTTAAGACATAGTCAGTCTGGGAGATGAGTTTTCTCCTTGAAATGTTATGGAAAAGAAAAATGGGGTTTTCCAGAATCTGGATGGCCCCAAGGTTTCAAGTCGCAATGTTGAAGGATGTTTATGCTTGGGGAACCCTCATTATTTTTTTTCGGATTACTAGTATGATATTTATGGACAATACATGATGAAAGTATCTTGGGAGTCCCATGAATATTGAAAACCAATGAACAATGAAGAACTTGAAAACCACATTAATATACTCAAATTTTATTAGATTTCTGTTAGACCTTTCATTCTTAATCTGCTGGAATTCCACCAACCCCTCTCCTTCTGGCCTAGTGTCCATCCTCCTCATGCCCCACTTTGGTATATTTGTTAATTCTAGGTCAGGGGCATTCCTTCTCATGGAATATCGTTTGGCGCACTAAATCCCCCCCTAGGGTGGCTTTCTTTGCTTGGACAGTAGTTCTGGGGAGGATCTTGACGATTGGTAATCTGCGGCGGAGGAGACAGGTTATCGTGAATTGGTGTTGCATGTGCGAGAGGGACAAGGAATTGTCTTTCTTCTTCACTGTCTAGTTGCAAAAGATAGTTGGATATGATTCTGGATCTGTCCGGGGTTCACTGGGTCATGCCTTTTCCACATTGAGCTTGCTCGAGACTCAGAGAGGATGTATAGAGGGAGCTCGAGCCCAAGATGCATGGAGGATGACGCCTCTATGTTTGTGGAGGGAGAGAAATGGCAGGTCTTTTGAGGGAGAGGAAACTTCTATTGGGGTGCTTAATGTCACGGGCCTAGAGATTTGGCGCAGCGGCACGGCCCGTGCGGCACCAAGGCGTTGCTTCAGCTCGCGCAAGCGCCCTGGTCAGCCACCACGACCTGCCCTCCCAAGGATACATGCTGACTGGTTTCGGCCTGCCATGGCCTCGTCAGGGGAACGGCTCCAGCTCCCGACCAGTTTGTGCAGGGATGGCCAACTCCCTTCTTCATAGTCAAGTCCACGACCAGCGACAAGCACCTCGAACTGAACCGAGTCGACCTGCCTGAACTCTGAAGAGGTACCATCCTGTGCTCCTGCACGCCCCTTCCCTGGAACCATTCCCAGTCAAACTCTGCTCTTTGCCAACCAGCATGCGTGTCTTCCATCCTCCAAGCGTCTTAGGAATCACTTCGTGACATTCTCCCCCACCCAAATCCTGCGACGTCCTCGTCGCAGTGCGGCGCTTCACTACTGCGTCCACTCCCTTCCAAAGTCTGCCTCCATGCGGTATGCTCGCCTTCCCACCATCGCTTCCTTGTGCAGCTCCCTGCACTGCACTCGCCCAATGATAGGCCTCGGACCAAGGGGACGTCCACTCCTCAAGGACGTGACTCTTCTCCGTCATGCCGCCTCCGCGACATCCCGAGCAAGCAATGGCCTTCTGCCGACTTGATGCTCGCCCTTCACCATGGTTTGCATCACCCAAGGACTAAGCACGAACTTTGGTGCGCGCGGCCCTCCGGCCCTTCAATGCGCAACTTCAACGGACGCCTCTTCCTGGGGAGATGGAGGCTCTCCCCCCCAACTGCATTGATTCCTCCACATCGACGCAACTTCAATGCACCGTCTTCATTCTCTGACCCCTCCCGGACCGACAAGGGGGCACCCCACCGTGCTTTACCCCAAGTCCTGCTCTGATACCATTTGTCACGGGCCTAGAGATTTGACGCAGCGGTACGGCCCGTGCGGCACCAAGGCGTTGCTTCAGCTCGCGCAAGCGCCCTGGTCAGCCACCACGACCTGCCCTCCCAAGGATACATGCTGACTGGTTTCGGCCTGCCATGGCCTCGTCAGGGGAACGGCTCCAGCTCCCGACCAGTTTGTGCAGGGATGGCCAACTCCCTTCTTCATAGTCAAGTCCACGACCAGCGACAAGCACCTCGAACTGAACCGAGTCGACCTGCCTGAACTCTGAAGAGGTACCATCCTGTGCTCCTGCACGCCCCTTCCCTGGAACCATTCCCAGTCAAACTCTGCTCTTTGCCAACCAGCATGCGTGTCTTCCATCCTCCAAGCGTCTTAGGAATCACTTCGTGACATTAAGCTCTCTATTCTCAACTCTCTACTTTTTGGGGTTCAGGGAAGAAATTGTAAATCTATAGGGGAGTTTGTGGATTTTTTTGATATGTTGAGTGATTAGGGGCCCCATTTGGCCATTGTGTAGTTCTTCTGGGATTGGCTCCCCGTTCGAGCATGTTTGTATGGTACTTTTTTTACTTAATAATAAAAAAAAACACTCTAGGTCAGATTTAATCATTTGAGATTGGGTTATTAAAAGTTAATGAGCCTTTCTACATATTGAATATTGAGAAGCACATGAGTTACTAAAAGATAAAGAGTTTCCAAATCAAACTATTACACTCAACCACTACTTAAGTTTGTTTTTTCCCTCAATCTTCATCATGACTCATGTCACTTACTTCCCTCAGATTAATGGTGTACTTTAAATAACATCATTTTGGCTTTTCTTTTTTTTAAGGACACATTTTTTCAAATTTTTATGAATATATCTTCTCTTGAAAAAAAAAAAAAAAAAAAAAAAAAAAACTGTAGTTCATCTTTTAGTGGCTAGAGAGTTGAATTAGAAAATTAGCTCCTTTGAGTACTATGGAATTGTCAGACTATGTGAATTTCTCTAGTCTGTGTTGTTCCATTTGAGTGCTCTATTTTATTTGATGCATGCTTAGAACCCTTTGATCTCACCATGCATTTTCTTCTGTTAGAACTTAGCAGCTACAGTTATTTTTGCAATACTGATATTAGGAGGAAGAATTTTGTCTCATAGATTTTATCATTTTACCTCTGCTTTGAGAATACAAAATGTTTTGTTAATGTTTTCAGCTATTATCTCTGATTGAAGAGCAAATAGCACTATTATTATTGTTATGGTTATTACAAAATTAATTGTTAATTTTTTATAAGATTTTTTTTTTTCTTTCTTATTATTATTTCAGGTTAGGATTCATAGTTTCTTGGAGAAAAGTAAGAAATGCCAAAGAAAGAAGATTGTGGCTCAAACTCAAGAGGGTTCAGGTAAGGAGACAGAGATACTAAGGAAACGTGTCCAAAGTTTGATCAGAAGGCAAAGAGTACTTGAGGTGCAAAAACTGGTGAAAGATGAAGAAATTAAGCCTTGGGGTCGAGATAAGCAGGCTAAGGTTTGTGGCCTTCTTCATTTCTTACTTCTGAAATGACTTAATTGATGGAGTTATTTATATTTGGCTGTGTCTTACAGTTAACAATAATTTATTTTTCCTAATGTAATTCAGCTGGGATGTCGTCTGATAGAATTATTGACAGAAACAGCTTATGTATATTCTCCAGTTAACCAGTCCGCAGACTGTCCACCTGATATACGACCTGCCTTTAGGCACCTATTCAAAATTGCACCAAAGGATGCAAGGTGAGAATGTATTTGTTCTTTTGCCTACACCCCATGTCATTGAATCATGGTACACCATGCCAAGATCCAGACAGTTCAAATCATTTGACTGACTCTTGGTGGAAAGGTATCTAATTGGATGAGTTGGGCTCGAAGTTTGATGCTTAAGCTCCACCATCTGTTTGTGTTTGTATGATTCCGTGTTCATGAGGTGCCCACCTTATGGATTGTTTGCAGTAAGATTACCATGGTCTATATACATAGAATAGTGGGTTTGCTGGAGATGAACAGGGATAACTTCCTTTTTAGTAGTATCTTTCTAGCTATGGTTCTAAATTTAATTTATTATTTGGTCCTTGTAGACAGAAAGTTGTGAAGAGGTATGGAGTTATAGAATGTGACCCCCTAGTCTTCACAGGACTTGATAGAACTGTGAGTCGACTTATCTTGCTTTTTCTGATCTTACCTGTTTGGCACTCTTAATATATGTTAGCAGCTCTAAGTTACATGTTAAATGAATTGCTTTCATATGTAAATCAGTAAATGCATTGTTGATGCTTCTTATAGCTCTGTGTAAACGATTTGTCAGAATAAAAACATAGTTATGTGGGTTCATTTATACTTTATACTCCATATTTTTTCTTCATAGTTTAACACTTCAGATCAAGCACATGTTAAGGGTGGTTGTAATGTTGAGCATACATTTGACAATGCCATGAACCAAATTCTATGTTATTTATTAAAGCAATTCTCACTGTTCTTAAATAAAAAGTTCAAATAGACAATAAGAAAACTGGGTAGTTGTAAAGTGTATGTCTGATTTCTAACATTTCACTATCCATCTAATTTTTCAATTTTTTTTTAACATGCAGGCTAGACATATGATAATTCCATACATGCCAATGTTGGTGCCTCCAAAGAAATGGAAAGGGTACAATATCAATTTAGCTTTTATTGATTTATTTAGCAGACAAGAATTTCAAATCAGAATGCTTTGATAAGCTATACCTCTCACCCTCTTCCATAAGAAATTATATAAAAATTAGCCAGAAAAATGAGATCTTGCAACTTTTTGAGATGTAAAAGAAATATCTACATGTGAAATCAGTAAAAGGTGAAGAGCGCTGCTCTCTGCTTAAATTTTGTCTTGTTTTTCATGTATTTAATAAACTCCTTCCAGGTATGACAAAGGTGGCTACTTTTTCTTACCTTCTTATCTCATGCGCACTCATGGATCGAAGCATCAACAAGATGCTGTTAAGAGTGTTCCAGTCAAACAAATGCAGAAAGTATATGAGGTAAAACTAAAATGTATATTCTTTGCATTTTTATCAGTGGTAAATTGGTAATAGGTTATTGTTGAAGTTCTCAATAGATTTGCAATATATAACAGAAAGAGCTTAATAGAAATGGTGCTGCTATCAAACCCGAGATTCTAACCTTTTCGAAAGTGCTGCAAGAGTTATATCTTATGGTGAAAACTAAGCCGATGATTGAAGGGAACTCTTCAATGATATTGAGTGTGCAAGTTCTGATTTTTTGGGTCCATTGCATTCTACTCATGTTTTTTCGTTCTCCCTTTTCTTTTTCCTTTTTTTTTCTCTCCCCGACCCTGACAAACAAATATGAAAGCACTACAAGGTGAAGGTATATACACAAGAAATACATTGGAAATTGTGAACAAAAGGCTATTAAGCAACAGCAACAGAAAAATAGAAATTGCTGTCCTCCCAGCCCCCAGAAGCCAATCAAATGTGAAATCAACAACACTCGTTTGGGGGTCTTAACATAACAACTTCACATTGTCAAATGAGAATTTATTCCTCTCTTTCTATAAGCTACTAAGGCCGTGCCCACGTTGGCCTATCTACTTGCTAAGCCCCTTCCTGCCTTCCCATAACTACACTCACCATACCTGGCATAACCATATGAATTCCAAATAAGGACAAAAGCAAATCCTAGTTAACCCAATCTACTGAACAGTATACCAAATGATGATTTATTAAACCTAAAAGGGATTGGGTTTTTAGATCCTTGGGAAATCCCTTTTCTTAATCCCCTTATTCCCCCTTCATCCAGAGCTGCATACACCAAAGGATGATTGATTAATTGTAATCTCTATTCTTTGCTTGTGCAACCTCAATCTGGCAACTCCGTTGCCCTGATGCTTTATACTATCAACCATTAGGATTTTCCTTGAAACAGCTAGTTAGCAAATGTTGCAACCTTAGAAGGCACTTCAGTACCCCAGATACCATTTTAAAGGAAAGAAGAAGCTCTGATGGCTACATAACACCTTATGTTTAAACATCATTTCAAAAGAACCACTCCTAGAACCCCTCAATATTAGACTTCCTCCTAACCTCCAGAAATAGTGTTTCCATGCAAGTCAAAAGAATGTATCCACCAACTCTAATTCCCTTTCCTGACTCCATACCACCCTTCCAACTGAAATACTAGCATAATCAAGCTATAAATAGACTCCGATGAGTGATGCCCAAGTGATATGGGAAAATTATCTTTGAGAGCCGTATCTACACACCAAGTAATCATGTCTAACCCCATCCTCTTTTCATCTCCCTATAACCAAATTGTTTGGTGAAGTACTCTTAACCCTTTAATGTCCCTTTTCACAGACCCACTCCATGGGAGAAATTGACCACATCCATGGCTCAATCAGGTTCAACATTTTTGTACTTCCGCCACTAGCCTCCTCTGAAAGCTACCCATCTTGCATTCTGGTCATTTACTTCAAGAGATTATTGTTTGTATCCTAATGGAGGTGGATGGAATTGGGTTTTAAGGTATGTAAATGTAGATGCTAAATTTGTGGCTATAAAGGGGGGCACCACATTAAAGAAATTTGGAGGGCATTTATCCTCCATGAGTTTGGCTTTGGGAGGAACAAGTTATGGGTTGTTGTAAGTTGGTCTTTCCTATTTGTTCTTGAAGCATGCATTGTCCTTTCCCTGGTACATTTCTTTTACTTAAATAGCTTATTTCTTTTTATGCCAAACCAAGGAAAAAAAGCAGTGGGAAAGAAAAAGAAAGAGAACCAAATACATGTCCGAAGAGTTAGGGCCTTAAGGGTTGCACTAATCAGGGATAGGACGACAGAGAACCCTAATGAGATGGTTTGGTGACTGGTCACTTACAACTAAAACCAATAATTGCATGAGTGAGGCACTTGATTTCAATCGAAGGTATTCCATAGATATGTGGAAGAATTAAATAACTTTGCATAGAATTTAGGAAAAGACATGTTGGTGTGTGATTAACAGTTGAGCTCTAGGTCATTTAGTCCGAATTTAGTCGGTGGTAGCAGAAGTAGGAATTATAGTATTTAATTTTTTTTACCAAGAATTCGAACTAGCCTGATAACAAAAAATCTGATTTTTTTAGATGCAAGAACAAAATGTTCAGAACTGAATGCTTTTACAGAAAGTAATGCAAATGTTTTTTTAGCAATTCTAATGCATCTGTAAGGCAATACTTGAATGCTCCATAATCTGTTTTTATTTTCTATAGTATTTCTGTAATATTCAGTGTACACATATTGTCTGTGTAGTTTCCATTATAACTTGGGTATTCTTACAGTCATCATGCCCTAAAACCTAACTGAAGTAAGAACTGAAGATGCTAATATTTTGCGTGTAAATTGACCTGTATCTGTGGATCATTTCATCTATTGCAGAATACTGTTAATTATGCTTGAATGCCTCTCTGACATTGCTTTTTGAACATAATTGCTTATTTTACTTGCAATAAAAATAAAAATATAATTGCTTATATTAGACCAAAGCATTCATTTGTTTCCTATGTGTTAAGTTAAATTATGACACTATTCTATGTTGAATTGCACATGCACAGGCCCTTTCTACACTAGGAAACACCAAATGGAGAGTAAACAGAAGAGTACTTAGTGTGGTGGAGAGCATTTGGGCTGGAGGTGGCAGCATTGCAGGCCTGGTTGATCGCAAAGATGTGCGTGCATCCTGAATTTTTTGTTTAAGAACAGGTTCCTATGAACAAATTGTTTGCAATATAAATGGCTACCCGAAAGGATAATCTCCAATACCTTCTGGGGCTTTGTGAAAATCTTCTGGCCTGATATTCTAACATTTGGTTATTGATTGGCTATACAGCTGGACATATTAGGTTTCCTTTTGTTCATCTTTAGCTTATATGGTTTTTACGGCAAAGATTCATTCTTCATTGACTTGTAGGTTCCAATACCAGAGAAGCCACAGTCAGATAATTTGTTAGAAATCAAAAAATGGAAATGGAGTGTAAGCAAGGCAAAGAAAATTAACCAAGAGATGCATTCTCAACGATGTGACACCGAACTTAAGCTTTCCGTAAGACTTCTTTCTTTTTGAAATTATTAAATATCTGCTTGCAGTACAATGTCACGTTAGATGTCTTATGGGATTGATTTACCAGCTGTTTAAATGAGATACTGAGTGTAACAGCCCTCACCCTACCCGACACAATATTGTCCACTTTTGGTTTCCCAGACCAGACTTCCCAGGAAGTCACCCATCCTAGTACTACTCTTGCATAAGCACAGTTAACTACGGAGTTCTCATGGGTTTATGGCCATCATGACTTTAAAATGCGTTGTGTCATAGAAAGGTGTTGAACCTACATATAGACCTTCACCTTCACCTTCACCTTCACCTTCCCCAGGCGATCTGGGATCATGACACTCGTAGCCTGCCAGTGTGTTAGCTCGCCCAGAGTCTCGCACCCGCCCACAGAGGTCACACTGAGGCGTCTTCTCATCAAAATTATGATATTGCCTTACATTATGCACAACTTGATGTCTGTGACTTGCCTTTTAAAAGGGACCTCTTTTTTTTTTTTTTTTTTTGGTTAATTAGTTCTTGAGGATATGCAGCTGATCTGACAAATACTGAATGCAATTTGATCATATAAAATGTTGATTAATACTAGAGGGCTTGAAGATTTGTATCCAGACTGCTTGCTTTAGGTTTCATTGTGTAGGGATGGATTCTGATATACTATGAAATAGGTGGCTCGGAAAATGAAAGATGAGGAAGGCTTTTACTATCCGCACAATCTTGATTTCCGAGGCCGCGCTTACCCTATGCATCCGCATTTGAATCATTTGAGCTCTGATCTCTGTCGAGGAGTTCTTGAGTTTGCTGAAGGACGGCCATTGGGCAAGTCTGGGTTGTGTTGGCTGAAGATTCATTTAGCAAATCTGTATGCAGGCGGTGTTGAAAAGCTTTCATATGATGGGCGCCTATCATTTGTAGATAACCATCTGGATGAAGTACTGGATTCAGCCCACAACCCTCTTCATGGAAACCGCTGGTGGTTGATGGCTGAAGATCCTTTTCAGTGCTTAGCAGCTTGTATAAATCTATCAGAAGCCTTACAAAGCTCAATGCCTCATACTGTCATCTCCCATCTGCCAATTCATCAGGTGTGTACCTTATTAGATGCCCTGAATTTGGAAAAAAACTTATACCAGTTTATGCAGTCTGAATATAATATACGTAAATTGTTTCAAGGATGCTCTTTTGATGAAATTAATTTTTTGCACTTCCATTATGATGAAAATTATATTATGAATTTCTTTGTTACTCCTAAACGAACTAAAAAGTATAAAAAAATAATAATAATAAATATTCTCTGGACCCTAATCGTACCTTCCTATCCCTCTCCATACATGTTTTTCAGTGGCACACTTGAGAAGATTTTGAAAGGTAACCACTAGCTGCAATTCCTTGATACACATAGAGAAAATCTAAAGATCCTTTGTTTATTGGATACCATCGTCTTGACTTTCTTTTTACCATGACGCCATCTAAGTGAGGTGAAATCTTTTGTAAGGACTAGAAGAGTGTAGGCTTCGACTTGTAGTCGTGTATTCTCCTGGATAAAAAAAAAATCCTCGTTGCTTTCATGATTCCTTTGTAGTCATGAGATGTGTCTACGTTGCCAGGGTGCTGACAGATGTCTCCCTCTTCTGAAGAATTGATCAAGTTAGTGCATTCCAGTCTCTCAAGATGTCATTAGCCCCAACTCAAAAGGTAGTACAAGTTCTCTGATGAGATACCTTCACATTAATTGTATAGACAACCTAGAGATGCGAGAATTTATTGTTTCATTGTCCCTTTTGGCTTTTAAAGGTCGGCATCTGATGACCATGGAAATTAAACTTTCAAATTCCTGCTAGGATAACAATAGAAAGTTTATTTAAATATAAGATAACTCAATAAATAAATAAATAAATAAATAAAAAAGGCCTCATTCCCTCCTTGTGATTTGTAAGAAAGGTGCTTAGTTGAGCTTTTTGTTTTGCATTCAAAAAATTCTCCTGCCATCAAACGCTTGTTACATCCTTTGCATTTTAGTTACCAGCGTTGTTAAAGGTGCACCTAGGCTCAAGGCGCAGTTCTAGTGCCTGTTGTCATCCCAGGCGCACCGATGTTTACTAGGCGCGCTCCTAGGTTGGGCCTCGTCGCCTCACTGTTATTGTTATTATTTTTTAATGATTATTCTATCTCTTAAGCCAAAAAGGGTACTTTTGGTAACTTAATAAACAAATAAGAAATCCTAAGTGTATGAGAGAAGGAATTTTTGTTCAAAAGAATAAACAAATAAGAAATTCCAAGAGTCAAAGTGTCAACCGAACATAAAAAGAGTGAGACTGTGAGACCAATGACGAAGCCCTAGTGGCAGAGATGAACGACGAAGCCATGCCAGTTCTTTCTTCTTCTTCTTCTCTCTCTTCTCGATTTATTTCTTTGGGTAAATTACACTGACACCCCCTCAAGTTTGGCCAAATATCACATTGAAATACCTTTAAAAAATAACTATCACTCGCATTACAAACATTTGGTCTGTTTTTCACTGGAATAAAAATAATAATAATAAAAAAAAAATAAAAATTGAGGAAGGACGGTTCGCCTACCGCAAGCCCCGGCAACCCAGTCGGCAAGCTATTCCTCTACTCCGCTGCCACCACCATCATCCTAAACGCCACTATCCCTAGCAACCCAGTTATTGCAGTGACCTCACAATCGCCACTGAAAAAAAAAAGAAAAAAGGGAAGGACGCGTCTTTGGCAACCTAGTCAAAAGTTTCCCCTTATTAATTAAAGACAATATTCCCCCTTATTAATTACCCTTTCTAACATAAATATGCACCGTTGATTGCAATAGCGGCATTGCCCCTCCTCCTTCGTTTTCATCCAATCAGACCATCATATAAACTGCTCAATGTATAAAAATTACAATATAAGTAGTGTTCTGGGACTCGTTGCAACTGTTCTCGTCGGAGTTGCTTGGTCTTCAATTTCCAGTTGGGTCTCCGTTGGATCGTTGATGCACTCTGGTTAGGTTGGTTGGGTCACAGATTTTACATCATGATTGTTATGACAAACGCAGCGAACCCAAGATAAAATGAAGAATCACGACAGAAAAAGAAATACACCACACAAAGAATAAAAAGATTTATACGTGGTTCAACAACAGCCTACATCCATGGTTGAGATACGGCGAAAGTTTTCACTATGTGTAAAATTGGAGATTACAAGTTTTCAGCCCTTCACTCTGTTCTTGTATGAATTTTAGAGTCTCTCTCTTAGCCCACTCCAAACCCTAAACGCCCTTATATATTAGGTTACAAGAGACTAATTAGGGTCCACGACCCTTGAGCAAAAAACAAGTCAAAAATTTTCCTCGGGGCCAAGCCGCTGAACCTTTGGTGGGCTTGGGCCCACACAAAGCTCATCCAACGGGTCGTTGCGACCCAGCACCAAATTCGGGCCACAACATCACAATGATGAACAAAAAAGAGATGAATCACAAGGAAACTTTTGGTTGGGGCTTCTCTGTTCACTTGATTTTGGCTGGGACATCTTCTCTCTGTTCACTTGATTTAATTTCCTTACCAACCATTTACTTTCACTGATCAACATGTATATATATATATATAAATATATATATATATATATGTATGTATGTATGTATCACATAACTTTAGTTATATAGCCATTTGGGAGATTAAAGCTTATCCACCCAATTCTTCTCCCATAAGATATCTTCTCATATTTCTTAAATGACTCAGTGATCAACGGAGAGAGAAAGAGAGAGGAGTTGGTAGGTGGAGTAATAAACGAGGGGTTACATAGTCATTTTAGTTATATGATATTTTAGAATAAATGGTATTAATAAATTAGGGGCAAAATTGTCTTTTCATACAATTTTAACGGTGTCAGTGACGGAAAAGTAAAATTGGACCTAAGTGAGTAATTTTCAAAAGTTGCTTTAATGTGATATTTGGCCAAGTGAAATTAACCCTATTTCTTTTTGTGCTCTGTTTTGCCTTTCAAGAAAACAAATTTGTGCTCTGTTTTATGGTTCTTGAATGATTTAGAATATTGATATGACTTGTGTGATATGAATGCTTTTATGGTAGTTTAAAATTTCAATTGTGCGCCTCACTTCACTTAGGTGCGCACCTCGCGCCTAGGCTCCAAATGACCTCTAGCGCCTTGGTGCTCTTTGAGCCTTTAATAACACTGTGTTACAAGCAGAGGCCAGTTTTATGTGGGGTTTGTAGTTTTCTTTTCTTTAGTGTGATAAACCAAGTTATATTTGTAATTTGAAGGATGTGTCTTATCTACTTCGTCAATTGGTTTACTTATTTATATAGGAATTGTAATGCTTTTTACATATTTGTTTTTAGTTAGAAGATTTTGAACACCGCACATCAGCCTCGTTTAGTTTTTCTAATCTGATGCTAGCTGTGTAGGATGGTTCATGCAATGGTCTACAGCACTATGCAGCCCTTGGAAGAGATAGTGTATGTTTTCTGTTCAGACATGCTTTCTTTCCTTTTTATTATCTTTATTATTTTTTGGAGGAAACATCTTCTTTGCATCATATACACTTCTATTTTCATGTTTTATGTATTATTGAAAATGAGGATTGATATTTTTGTGAAGTCGTTGAGATCTAACATTCAGTGATCCTGCTGATTTTTATGGAATTATCTTCTTGCAATTGGATTATTTCTTTCTGTAGATGTACTAATAACCATGTCAGTGGGGTTTGTTTCTTTTTTTTTTTTTTTTCCCTAGTTGGTACACACACACTTGTCTCTTCTGAGACTTGAACCCCTGACCTTCCTTTTGGAAAGTAAGAGGCTGATACCGCTAGGCCACTGGCCCGTTGGTGGTTTGTTTCTTTTAGTTGCCTAGCATGCATGGTTTTAGGCTTTGATACTCCGTAAATTAATTCTACTTTCATGGTGACTGTTTTATGACTTTCACACCTGATCTTGCCTAGGGATTTTATTGTAGTATACACTACGCAGTATTGATGTTGTTAATCTCTGCCTTTAATTATTTTGTTCATCAACATTATGAACTTCTGCTTATCAACTTGTTTTTTTGAAAATTCTTGCTCTGTTGATCAATTTGTAGTATATTTACACTGCTTCTTTGTGGTGGGTGTACTTTCACAGTTTGAAGGTGCTGCAGTCAACTTAGTTGCGGGAGATAAACCTGCTGATGTTTACTCTGAAATTGCTGCAAGGTACATTTGTTCTATGGCGTAATTCGTTGTGCTATTGTCAGCTTGATAATAGCATATTGACTGCAATCTGTAGCATTACTGCCAATTTACTTGGTACTTGAGAGGTGATTTTACATTTTTGCCCTTGATAAAGTCTTGTAGTCATCCATTAAAGTACTCTGGATCAGAAGGTAACATCTAGCCAACTAATTAAAGCAGCTTCTAAAAGCATATAAAAATTAACAAACTAAAAATAAAAAACACGGATTCCGTTTTGTACCGAAATTTGCTAACCTAAGGCCTAATGACCTAGCAATCTGGATATTAAGAACTTTGTACTTTCATCATAATTGAAGGACTAAACTAGGGCTATTATTGGTCGCATGCTAGTATTCGTAGGCATTTTTGGCTGATATGCCCTTCGCAGAAATAAGCTGTTTTGCATTAATATAGGTCTGAAAACCTGTGAACAAAACCTGAACTCCAGGATAAAACTAGGGATTTAAAGGAACTGAATCCCGAGAAGATGACCATCTGCTATATCAGGAAGAAAACTTGGGTTTAATTTTCATCTATTGTAAAATTATCATTGTTTTAATGTTTTAAAACCTTAAGTAAAGCCACTGAGGAAAATAACACTCATATCTTTTCCCAGTGTCTTCCTTTGTTTCTGCAATTGGTGATGTCTTTGCATCCATTTCCATAATATGGGACAATGTCACTGGATGTGTTTGACGAGGTTAGAGGATTGGGTGTTGGGGTGGGAGAATTTACTCCTCTCTGAGTTTGAATCTTTGAGGGTTGCTAGGGGGAGAAAAGTACTAAATGAAGTTTAGAGAGCCGCTAGTCACTTGTTAAACCATTTTTAGTATATCTTTTCCCAAGCGAGTAAGGGTAAAGGAAAGTAAGGCCAACTAAGAGGATTGGTTTCCTTCTTCTTGCTTGTTTACTCTTTGATCATGAAAGGGCCTATATTAGAGAGACTTCCTTTAAGGACCTTTCGTTATGTTTTCAATGATCCAGTAAAAAGGAAATTCCTTTTTTAAAAAAAATTCAGATTTAAATTCCTTTTCAGCTCTCTTTGGTTCAGTTTTCTATTTTTAGAGAACTGAAAATTTGATAACTTTACGGAAACCTGTTTGGTTGTCAGTTTTCTGAAAACTCGATTGAAAAAAGGTTTGTTTTAAAAGAATTGTCAAAATAGTTTTCTATTCTCTGGGTTCTTGATAACTAGTTTCAGAATACTGAACCAAACAGATCCCTTTTAATATACAGTATGCGGTTTTCAGTCACATTTAATCTTTTGTGTGTTTTCATTCTTCTTACTGTATTTTTTTTCTTAATACACTAGTATATTATGATTCTCAATGATAAATTTTGGCAGAGTTCACAATATCATGGAAAGGGACAGTAACAAGGACCCTGCAACTAATCCACATGCTTTGCTAGCCAAGCTCTTAATTGGTCAGGTTGTTTTGTTTTACCTATTTATTTATTTATGATTTATTATTTTTTGGTTTTAGCTATTCCGAAGTTCAGAATCTTGTCTTTCTAAGTAACTAATTATAGTTAGTAACCAGTGTCTTCTGTTTTGAGTTTTTAATCAACTGACAGTTTGATATTTTGGAAGCTTTCAGGTTGATAGGAAACTGGTTAAACAGACAGTCATGACTTCAGTTTATGGTGTTACTTATGTTGGAGCACGGGAGCAGATCAAAAGAAGATTAGAGGAGAAGGGTCATATTACTGATGATAGGCTGCTATTCAATGCAGCTTGCTATGCTGCCAAAGTAAGTATCCAGCCATCGTATATTAAGTGTTAGATTATATCGAGTGTTAGATAATTGGTAATAGAGAACATTATTCCCGCCTTAATATCCTCTATATTTGGGGCCATGGTATTCATTTCTAAGAAAATTCACAATGTAGTTGTCACATGGGATTGATTCTTGTGGTGGCATGCTGAAGCCATATGGCTTAAAATCAATCACTTGTTAATCCCCTGTAAGAAGTGGAATTTCCAAATGACCGAATTGGAAATTTCATTCAACCACCACCACTGAAAGCAAGAGGCTGAGATCTTGATGGATGGGCAAGAGGGTTAAGTACCATTTGGAGAAAACTTTGATAACAAAGAAAATTGGCTCAAAAATATATAGAGGAAACTCAATAAAAGAAAGAAGTACACAAATGGTTGAGTTTAACTTTGTGCATTGGTAGATTTCTCTTTATTTACGCAATGATAGTTTCATTAACAATTTTGAGCGGGTATCCAAACAACTTAACAACAAAAAAAAAAAAAAAAAAAAAAAAAATTGAAAAGAAAAAAAAAAAAAAAGACATGGATACCCAAGGGGGGCTAATCTAAATATCTCAAATAAGAATGCTGATATAACAACTAGGTCGAATTTGGGCTGGCGATGAGTATTTTTGCTTGTTCCTAGTTGTGTGTTTGTATAAAGCTGCCATAGCTGCACTGTGCGGTTAGGGGCATTCTACAGAAAACCGTATCCCCCACGTCTTTGACAATTATTGCACCTGTCTTTTTGGAATTTCTCTTTTGATTAACCAATGCCAAGCAGCCTGCCAATTAGGGCTGTAAATGGATCCGATTGGACCAGATCAAGGGTGATCCTAATCTGATCTGTAAAGAAAAAAAAAAAAAAAAGTAATCTGATCCGATTTAATTTGAAGAGATAGTAAGGACCAGAATCCGAGGCTCTAACGGGGAGCCGCACGAGGCTTTTGATCTGGACCTGGAGGGGGGTGAGTAGGTCTTGTAAGACCAACTACTGAATTTAACCCCTTTTTTAATTTAAAACTATATTACCAGAATTTTAAATTCAGTTCATAGCAGAACGATAAACACTCAATCCATAAATAGATAAAATAGTAAAGCATTGGACATGGATTTTTACATGGAAATCCCAAGGGGACTTAGTCCAGGCAAACCGAAATCAACTATAAGAATGAAGTTTACAACATAAGTTAGCAGTTCCCAAAACCCTAGAAACTCCTTGTTGCCTCCCTAACATAGATGACCCCAAACTTTCTCCAAAAGTCTCCAGGTCTTCCGTCCACTCATCAACAGCTTACTCTCCTCGCAAATCTGCTTCTCCAGCAGTCAATTCGGTCTCAGCCACTAGTTGTCCAGGCTCAATCTTCGAGTATGGATTGAAGGTTGTGTTGAACTCTTTGATTTTAGTATGCAACTGCAATTGTCAATGCATAGAAACACACTCACCAATTCTACGAACGATGAATGCAAAAACAAAAATATAGGATGCACTCTAGAACTCACAATAATGTTCTCTTTTTGAATATATGAGTTATATCTGAGTCTATTGTATTTTACCCTAGCATGGTATATACAGGCAAAGTAAAAATATAGAGAGAATAGGGTTGGTAGAGTTTAAATTCAATTTGAAACTGCTTTTTCATACGGTTTGATCAATCGAAATATTCGTTGATCACTTGATTATAATCTAGTAGGCCTTGATCAAACCCTCGATCGATCGAAGTCTAATGCAATGTTAACTTAGAAAATTTTCAATTCAGGAAGTTTCCAAAACCTCTCAACGTATGCTTGAAAAGATTTTGGAAATCAATTAAGATCAAATCATGGAAAAATCAGAAACCCTAACTATGCATGCATGAACCATAATTTGGTGAGTGCATCAATGTGTTATATAACCCTTTTACCCTTAATGAAGAAAATTACTTATTTACCTTTGAATGTAGCTTTGATTTCCTTCTTCGATACTTCGTAGGACTCTAGGAGGTAACTCCAGTTTTGTTTAACAAAATTTGCCAATCCAAGTCTTATTGACCTAACATGATAAATCAAAATAATTTTAATTTGACTCTGCTATTGTGATCTGTCAGTTATTCATATTATAGATGTGTTAATCCTACTCTGTCTCCTAAGCTTAAGCTAGTTTTTTTAAATATAAGAAAAGATAGTAAAATTTATGGCTAAAAAGAAATGGCATTGCTCTTGTTAACAAAACCAGCAGAATTGCAACAAAATAAAATAAAAATAAAAAAATAAAAGAAATTGTGTAAGTCATACTTTTCGTCGAAGCCACATGCTATTTGTAAAAAATGGGCAAATTGCAATGTATAAGTACTACTGTCTTTCAATATTGTTCAGGTGTTGAATTTACATATTGACTAAATTTTACTGTATATATTAAGTTCACTGCTAAGTTTTTTTCACTTTTTTGTTTCTCTTCTTTAAAAAATGCCGTGTTTGTCATATTTTTACATTCATGATTGATTTAAACGTCAGTTATAGCCACAGCATGTTAGCTGCCAATGACTTAAGAAGAATCTGCTGCTGTATTAACTTGTTGATCAGTCTTTTCTACTCAATTTTGTCATAGGTGACATTGGCCGCCCTTGGAGAGATATTTCAAGCTGCACGTGCCATAATGGGTTGGCTTGGCGACTGTGCAAAGGTATGCTTTTATCTCACACTTTGGAGAAATAAATTTTATTGAAGTCCTATGGCGAAAATAGAACTTTTTTTCATGAATTTAAATTGTTGGATGATGGGAGTTCTGCAGGTTATTGCTTCAGAAAATCAACCCGTTCGGTGGACAACTCCTCTAGGTCTTCCTGTTGTGCAGCCCTACTTTAAAACTGAACGGCATGTTGTGAGTGTTTGACCTAATTAGACAACCTAATATCCTGATAATCCATTTTAAATAGCTCCATCTCAAGTTGCAGATGTTAGAAATTGCATGGCAGACGAGTGATCAAATGACTTGAGTGGAAAAACTGCCTAATCTTTATTCCTAAACAGTTTCCAGAAATTTTGTGTATTCTTGTTGAGTGCAGTAAACTTTTGAGAAAGAGAGACTGAAGATTATAAAAGAACTGTTTATCCACTGAAATAAAAGAGGGATCCTTTTTGGTGAATAGTACATATTTTAATTTTACATATCTAGAGAAGGAAACAGCTCATGGTATGGTTAAAACTGGACTGGAGGCAAAGTAATTAATATCAATGCTCCATTTGCTCTTTTTATTAATGCTATGTTCGGTAGGAAAGAAAAAAATTGGATGGAAGGGAGAGAAGAAGGGATGGATGAGACAATCCTAGGGAAGAGATTGTGTATTTCCTTCTTTTTGTTCGGTTGAATAGAAGAGAATAAGCTCATAATTTACTATGTCTGTTTAGAGAAGGAAAATAGAAAGTTTTAATTGTTTTTACCATTATATCCATTATTATTTATAATATTGTAATTTATAGAGGATAGTATTGTAATTTAAAAGTTGTATAATTTAGAATAATATTTAATTAATAAATAAATTATGAAAAAAAAAAGAATAATATTTAATTTAAAACTTCTATAATAGTCCAATTTCAGGCGGATGAAAAATTGTAAAGGAGGAAGGATGGGTCATCCTTCCTATTCTTCTTTCTTTCCTTGTATCATCTCTACTGAACAAAGGAAATTCGCTCCTTCCTTCCTATTTTCTCTCCACACCTCTTCCTTCCTTCCTACCGAACACAACATAAAAGACAAAGAAGTATAGACAAAGTTGTGCTAATTACACCATGGTGCTGCAGATTAAAACTTCTCTTCAGGTATTGGCTTTGCAGCGAGAGGGTGACTCGGTAAGTTTACATTATTGCAGTACTCCATCCTTAATTTTCAGGTACATTATCCAGTTGCTAAGACTTTAAATTCGTATTCTAGGTCGTGGTCAAAAAGCAGAGAACAGCGTTTCCACCAAATTTTGTACACTCACTTGATGGCTCACACATGATGATGACTGCTATTGCTTGCAGGGATGCTGGATTACACTTTGCAGGTTTGTCTTGGTCATCTGTTCCATCAGTTTAAACTTATTCAATAACTGTTTCAGACCGGAAACCTCCACACGCACAGAGCCCACCTATAAATGATATATAGTAGAAAACTATTCCAAATTGACCATTGAAACAGATATCTCCCGTTCTATTTCCCATTTCTCATATATTGGCAAAAATGTCCATTTTTGTGGGGATTCTTTCATGTCTTTTGTTGATAAGCGTGTTGCTACTTTTATCTGTCTAATTTACTGAATCCTGAGTACAAGCCAGTTTAACTCTTCGATTTTTGTATTTGTAATAAGCTTGACACAGGCAGCAGAGTTGGAAGAATGTTACACTAACCATTGTGCTATTTTCAGGATTAATTAATATCTGTTTGCTTTCTTTGACCCTTGATTCAATCTTGATTTTCATTAGTCTGCGAAGTAAGGCTGTGTTGCATGATACAAATTTGTATTAATAACTATAATAATACTGCTCCAATTGAAAAAGAATATAGTGAAATTTCGCTATTCAAGTTTTTCCTTCTCTTTTTCTCTATTTCTTTCTTTCTTTTTTATTTTTTATTTTATTTTTATGTGTGTGTGTGTGTATTTTGTTGGAGTTAGGTGGGGTAGGAGTTGAATCTAGGACCTCTGGTATAGTTCTAGAGCCCCACTCCAGCTCTGCTACTTTTATCATAAATTTTCACTCCAATCCTCGTAATTTCATATCGTCTACCTAAGAAGACTGCGGACAACTCTATGAAAACGGAACATTTTTAATTCTTTATATATATATATATATATATATATATATATTATCACACCCTTGTCCTTTGAATCTATTTCAGGGGTGCATGATTCCTTCTGGACACATGCATGCGACGTCGAGGAGATGAATCAGATACTTAGGGAGAAATTTGTGGAGTTATACAGCAAGCCAATACTTGAAAATGTAAGCACTGAGTTAGCCTTTCCATATTAGGTTGAAGGGTATAACAGTTATATATTCTTTTTGGTGCATTTGAATGGCCACAATTATAATTTCTTAGGTTCGTTGTTCATTTTTCAATAAAAACTGAGAAAATGTTTCTACATCAATTTTTCAATTGCTCCGAAAAGCTTCTGCTACCTTCCTCTTCTACGAGTTGATATAATCAATTAGGAAAAGTCTGACTTGATTGCTCATTCTGAAAGTATCCATCAGTCACTCTAATTAAAGTCTTGCCCAAATTCTAATTTCCACATTTATATTAAATCGGTGGCTTCATGGATTTGGATGCCAACTTAACAATTCATTGAAAGTTTATTTTAATTTTTTTTTTTTTTGTTGGTAAATCAAATGATCTGAAGTTTTAGTTCACATACTTCCATTATCCTTCTAATTATTTCGATTGTCACTGCCACAGTTGCTTGAAAGCTTCCAGACATCATATCCAGCTTTGACGTTTCCTTCCCTCCCAGATAGAGGTGATTTTGACTTGCAAGAAGTTATAGATTCTCCATACTTTTTCAACTGACCTTCCATGTACCAGCAATGTCTGTTGCCAAAGTGTAATAATTTTTAGACCCCTAGTGGATCATGGAGTTGGCTGAAGTTGGCCCGTGGGATGAAGGTCCTAAAAGTTTGAGATGACATTTATTGTGTGTCATGAAAGCTCAGGTTTGCTATGTGAAGGCCAGGCAAAAGGCACTAAAATTGAATGCTGCTGGTCTTTCCCGCAAGTCTACAGTCCTGGAAATGGAGGGAGTTGAAAATTGTTATGTTAAGTAAGATAAACAGAGGAAGGCTTTTTCCTAGATTGCAGATTGAGGCCTGGTTGATTATCTGGGCCACACGCCAAAGGAATTTCATCCTTGTACCTGAAATGGAATTTCAGAATGTTGAAATATTCTATTTCATGGTTTATTGATTGCCGGATGCAGAGATAGCGACAGAAGTCAAAAGTTTATATCTCTCCTTTGTTTTCTACTACAGGAGTTGATCATCACGGAGTTCATTACTGGTGGTTCTGATTCTTCATGGTGATAAATTAGATATTTAGTCTGGGTTAATGATGATCGAGATTCGTTCTGTATATTTTGTATTTGTATGAAAATAGAGAAAAGGTAATTTGTACAAGGAAAGATGGTAGTACCTTAAATCCTGTAATTTACACATGCCAATTGGCTAGTTCATGTTAAATAAAATTCAAATGGAATTTTTTGCATTCTATTAACTGTTGGTTTAGGACTTGCATTCAGACACATTAAAGCTTGTTTTCCACTACATGCTTGAGCTTAAATTGAATAAAATTTTAGTAAAAAACAGATGAAATGTCCCAAATATTAAGGTCAAGGTAAATTGAAACAAGGGTATGTTCATCTATGCGGAACTAGCAATATCTGAGCGCCAACCCCCTGATGTTATGAAATCGGATTATTTTTTATCATACTACTACTACCTGTGAAAGATGATCAGTTTCATGGAGAGATAGATATGTGAAAGATGATCAGTTTCATGGAGAGATAGATATTCCGTACTATTTATTACCTTGTGAATTTTCATTCAAAATGCTTTTAAACTTATTTAAAAAAAAGTCTCCGCTACCTTTAAAAAAAAAAAAAAACAAAAAAATTCCAAAAACAAAATCGGTGTTTAACTAAAAGAGATTTTTGGAAACTTTCTAAATCGGTGTTTAACTAGAAGAGATTTTTGGAAACTTTCTATTTTCTGATTTTTGAATGTTATTTGTTGATTGTGATAAAGCAAAGCAGCCCAATACATATATTCTTAACGCGCAAGTAAAGTACTTTCTATATATATATATGTACCCTCCTCTTACGTTTGATGATATATCTCTCTCAAAGCCTCTCGATCTCCATTAGTGCCTTTGCAACCCTGTTGTTAGGAGGTTGCCTACTCCTCGTCCGCGTATCTCACAGTAGTCCCAAAATTTGATTGCATACGCAGCAAGATGAAGATGAAGATCCGAAGATGGTGAAATATAGTGAAGAATTTGATGATATGAGAGTCCGCGTGTTCAAGTGGAACGAAAGGCTATTCAGCTTCGACAACAAATTAGTCTCCTCTCCATCGGAATCCCAGCAGCAAGGACTGTTGATGTTGCGCCTAAACAACAAAGTAGTAATGAAGGGAGAAAGTAGAACTAGTACCACAACCACAGCAGCTCGTGAATTAACAGACAACAGCAACCTAGTTTGCGAATTCAACCTCCATTCCTTATTGCGTAGTCACTCCTTACTTCAATTGCTGGCTTTCTGTCTTCTTAGACGAAGAAATATATTTACCTTGCCCACTACTAAAATTTTAGCCAAAAATTTATTTTTCTACCTCACAACCAAAGTTTAAGTTTACCAAGGAAACCTTGGTTCATGCTCTGGAAAAGCCCAATATCGTGATCGTTGTAGATATTCATCTCACCACCACCTTTGAGTACAACAATAATAATCAGCAGCACTTGGAGGAATTATATGGTTTATGGACTATTAATTTACCACAAAAAATATATTAGTTATACTCTAAGCTCTCCTTCCCTCCGTCACCATGCATCATTATCAGTTGTGAGAGTTTTACATGCTGATGAACAAGTAGTTGATTATGATGATCACAAAGATCATGATCAAGTTGTTAACATTCCGCAAAAATTGAGGTCTTATTTAGGGGAAGCAGAAGAAGAAATTGTAGGTGAGTTGGAACCAATTGTGACCCATGAACCTGTAGGGTTTAAAGAAGTTGAAGCTGCATTAAGGATCAACAAATTTGATGGCGGCGGCGGAGGACAACAGGTAGATTTATGTGCGATATGTCTAGACGGCTTCTCCACGGGGATGGTGCGTGTTCCCATAGGTTCCACGCAGACTGTGCGCTCAAATGGGTGTCTAAAACCAATTCCTGTCCAATGTGTCGATCAGTTTGCAAGGTGTGGATATAGTATAGTTTATATATTTTTTGTTAATTTTTCTGTAACAATTCTATTTCAGTGTGAAATTAATCTCTCATCTATATACCATTTAGAGCATGATAGTTCAGTCGTTGATCATAATAATTTAGGGAATTTTAGTAAATTAAACAAATCAGTTAATTCATTTGATAATTCCAGGACGTTCGTGTTTCATTATTAAGGGAGATCAATATAATTTCAAAATTCAAAAGAGAGATCTTTGTGATTAGAGTAAATAAATCAAAAGGGAGGCTTGTTTAATTTACCCTTAAATATGGGAACAAGTGGTAAAATTGACCTTTTGGAAAAATATATAAATAAATAAATAAAATTATAATCAAATAGGACAAGCAAACCTGTCTGTTTGATATTGAATTTTTCCTATAATTCGGGGCCACAAAAAAAATCCATTGATTTGATTTCATATTGTATATTTTTGATGAGTTTTACATAAGAGTTGAATTTTGAACTTATTTTTATAATTTTCCTAGTAGTATTATTATTAGAGTAAGTAATGCTCGTAAGAGCCGTAAAAAATATCTGTCCAAGCATGCAAACCCTGTGCTGTGTCAATAATTTGCTCCACGCATCATCAGTTTTCTTCCTTTTTTGCACATTGAAAAACAAAAGGTCTAAATGCAAAACAGGAAACAGAAGCAGATTAAGAGACTTGACCCAAGACAGCCCAGTTCCTTTATCATGTTAAACAAGCAATTACACCCAAAAAAACACCGGCAAATCATGAACCCAACAATATATATCAAACCCTCATTTTCAATACATTAGTTCATTGTGCTCAAGTTGGAGCCTAAGCCTAAGCCTAGCTTGTAAACAAGTTCATATAATTTTGGATGACCGGGAAACCGAAATATCTCACCCCCTGACAACATTTATACCAGAAATTCCATCGGCCATGGCCTAAATGCTGTTTTAGGTGTATGTCATGCACTCATTGAACAAGATACTAAATACTAACCGTACAGAACATACGATAATAATGATATATAGTTACATTGTACAGAACATATGATAATAATGATATATAGTTACATTCAACTGTGAGAGTACAAAAACTTCTCTCATGACAGCATCCAACCGAATGGTGTTGCCTGCCTCACGTAAAGGAGCAAATTGCGCAGCAAAGCAAGATGTATACTAAAAATCAAATCCAAATGCTTCCGAAGGCTTCTTCAAGGGCCCGTTTCTTGCTAAATTCTACACTCCACCCTCCTGCCTTTCCACCTCTCTCTGCTCGGAGTCTCATCATTTCTTCATCGTCAAAAGCATGCCCTTGCATGCCAATCCCAGGTCCAATTGGGATAGGTTGCTGTGCCATGCTTGTGGGGCGTGGCTGTGCAATTCCACCTCCGGCAATTGCAGGTGCATAATGCCCCTGAGAACCAGCACCAATGCCACCTTTAGAGCTCTGGCTCGTGCCCTGCCACAATAAAGACAAAAATAGATTGAGAATATGTGATATTCATAAGATCATAAGAACAAACTCATTACAAGATGAGCTCCTTCATCCAACTACTAAAGTCCATTCTGGGACGATGATTTGGGGAATCCTTCATCCAACTACTACAGTACGTTCCAGGACGGTGATTTGGGGAAGTTCTGGTGAAAACAAAAAACAAAAGGAACCCAAAAAAGAAATGTCATGCTAATTATCATTAACCACCTATGCAATACAACTCCTTCCGAAATACATCTTTTTTGGCTCGAAAATCTCAAACAAACTTTAATGACTTCTAAGATGGTAATTTCTTTGGAATTTTCCACACGTACGTTCTTGACAAGTGGAATAATAGTAGTTCAAGGAAGAAGTTAACATAAAATAATGGGAATCAACAGTTCATCCAGTTCCAACTCTTCTACATCCAAAAGCACCCTGTTTTGAGCTTCAGTTCAGTTCATTTTTTTTAATTTCTTGTTTTTTTCCCGATTTTTCCCAATTCTAAAATGAAATGAACTAGAACCATAACCATAATACCTGATATCAATCACGTGTTCATTAATAATCAACAGATACCTATCTTAAGTTTACCCAACAAGCTATAAATTAACATCTTTATATTTCTTAAAGATAATAAGAAGCATAGGACATAAAGAGTTAAAAAAAAAAAACTATCATGCCCCTCAGGTGAGCTTGTGCCTCAGAAATTGAATCAAGAGGCAGTGAGGGTTATGAGAGTGCCCCTCCCTATCCAACAGTTGACTCAAGAACATTGAGAGCGCTTCATGATAGACTGACTGACTCTAAAATGTTAACAATATTCACTCAAACTAATATTAAACTAGCTTGCTTGTTATTGCATTAATTTGTTTTTCATAAATAATTATTGCATTAATTCACCAAATTAGATCAATGAAACAATCGTTACTCATTCCATTTTTTTATGAGAATGAGAAGATTTTATAATATATAAATCCAAGTTATTTAGAGGCCACTGGAAAATATAGATCTCCCCTGAAAATGCTAATTCAATTTTCTATTTCATTTTTTTATTTATTTTTGTTGCTTTTCTAAAGTCTTTGCAACTAGAAAACAATTTTGAAATGTACTGGGTAATTGAGGGGTACCAATTGATTCACCCACATAGACCTGATGCTTAACAATTATGGAATCAGACTACCCCGAACTGAACCAAAAGCATTTGGTTTCCTTAAACTAAATTGGCTCTTAGGGTAGATGGGTACCAATTGACACTTCCAATAGGGATCAGACGGTTAAGAAAAGATGAAAGCATAAAATACTCAATCTAAAGATAGTAAATTTCCATGGCCAACTGATCAGCTACTGTTTGAAACTCTGAAGTAAAATGCGTTGAAACAACAGCATAAAGAATATGTCAAGGACATAAATCCACTTATCATCATATAATTCACAGCTGAAACAACATGAAGATTAACACCCCCCCAAGCCCTTTCTTTGTTTTGGTAAGCCACACACCTTTTTCATTCTTTAGCTGTTTCTTTTAAAGTTCAAACTTTCACTAACTGACTGACAAGTCCAAAGTGCATGCAGAAAATTGTAGGATAACAATACTGAATATACACTATTATTACTAGTAACATCTCTGCGGAATTATTGGGTCCTCTTATCCATTTATAAGTGGTGTATCTGCATAATGATGACTGATAAGCACTTAAGCCTTCAGTTGGGATAGGGTGAAGTACATCTGTTCCAACACATAGAAGGCCTTAAAACAGTTATAAAATTTCAATTCCACAAGAACATATTATATTTTCTGGAGTACGCTAAGTGCTTCTACTTCATCAGGGGTAGTCTGCAACAAGAAAATTTGAAAAGGCATTTGGACATCAAAATCGGTTTATAAAATGTTACTACAATAAAATCTTGCTCATTGTCTTTGGATAAAGGAGGAACTTACAAGAAGATTTTTCGTCAAGTGCCCCTTAATTCGCAGAGAAAAAAAAAAGGAAGCAACTTCGTTGATTGTCACATCTCTAGGTCAGTTTAGTTGCGCACTAGCAACATCGTTTGTCTGACTAATAAATTTGAAGACACTATCTCCCAGAGGCTAAAGAGATGCCTAACTTCAATCTAACTGGGGTTTCAGAAGCAAACCAGTCTTCAAGGAAATAATGTACGCACAAAATTCATTCTTTTTCCATTTTTTCAAGAACATAATTTGCAGAGCATAAAAAACTCTACATAAGGAGCATCCAGTTCTTTCTAAGAAGCATAGATAGTGTTTGAGCTGAAGATTCAGATAACTTCATTTCAAGGGATCATTTAAGAAGTACAAGCAATAAAACATTGGCATCATCAATGCAGAATGAAAGAGGAAAGTTTATAATGGGAATCAAATGCAAAGATGAAAGAGGGATCATGAGAGGTTCAGCAAATGAGAAATCATAGGATTCCTGTACCTAAGTTGAACTAGTCAAGACAAGTCTTTGCTGAATTGAGTCAAGTGACAAACACATATGTGATCATCTAGGTTTTAGATAACAGTATGTTTAAGGAAAGCCAAAAGTTGATATGCCAACACTAAACAACCCAATAATCTTAAAATTGACAGAATAACGCCATGCAGTAATAAGTGTAAACTTGCACTGCCACTATTTTTCCCTGAGCGTGAGTGTATAAGAAAAACAAATGATAATCCATAAGATCTTCTCACCGCATCACTATCAATCTGTGCAGGCAGTACCTTGCTTGCTACCAGTGCCGCTGCATATTCTTCAGCCTATCTTAACAAGATAACCATAATAAGAAACCTCAAAAAAACTTGCAGCAAAGATCCAAAACTTACAAATTTTATCATATCTTTTTCAGTTGAAATATTGTCTATGTATGGTGCAAAAAGATCAGCAATTTCAGCACAAACCTTACGAGCTTGAGCATTTATTATTTGTTCAGCATTTTCTTTCTTGTAGTGCTCAATTTTCGCATCAATAGCAGGAACATCAATTCCTTCGATCAAGTTGAATGCTGCAAAAGGAATCATTTTCATCAAAATAGACTCTTATTTGAATATAGAGTAAGACAATGAAAAAAACTTATTAGAGTAAGACAACCAACAAACTCACTCATGTCTTCCACTTCCTCCAAGTAATCATTGTATTCTCTCAGTGATGGAAAATCGTCCTCTCTTTTATTAAATCTGTGTAATCGTAAATAGTGAACAAGAAGTTAAGAAGAAAACTACTCTCTGAATTTTGACAATTTATGTGAATTAATTGTACTGCTTATTACATATTGATTGGGACTAGGACCAAAGGAACGATGCATAACCAAAGTTGTGAGCTTAATAAAAAAGAACAAACTATAAGAAGATGAAGAATAAAAACTGAACCCTTAACCCTACTCCTCATATCCGTGCGTAACACGTATCTAAGATGTTCAAATTGATTGTTATTTGATTCACTTTCATTCTACAATGATCATCCAGACCCTATGTATCAATTCATAGTTAAAAGAAGTATACAACATTGTGTGTATGATGTATATGCCACTGATGTAGACAAAAAATTTGAATGTATATAATGCCTGCTAATTTCTGTTTTTATTGTTCTACTAAACCAAATAGACAGAGACTATGCTCTTAAGTGCATCATCCAGGACATGCTCGAAACTTGAATCCCACCCCAAGTGTTTCACAAAGTCGTGAATTTTTCTTTTTATCTTTAATTTTGAAGTAACAAAAAAAAATTTAAATAAATGAACGGAAAGTAAAAGTTAATTTAAATAAACGGTAGCAATATTTGAAATAACTTGACTACCACTACACCCCGAGCTTGAATAACAAACAGTTAACGAGTTAATCCACGAGTATTTGATATTCTACAAGCATAATGCCCAAGTGTGTCGTTGGGTAAACAAAATAATGTATGCAAGGGACTCGAATGTTCTTGTAGCATCACAAAATTCCAACGAGTCGTTGGTACTTTTCTTGAACATTAGAAAATAGATTCCAAGACCAATTTACAATATTCAAAGAGCAAAAATCAAGTTTCCTTTACTGTTCCACTTCATTTGTAGTTTTTCATTCATTAACTGAGTTTAGATAAATTCAATAATTATGTACATCTTAACCTAATATTGAGATTCAACCCTCAAAATTGCATAATATTATCACCATTTCAGCGCTCAATTGCATACTGCTGCTACTTATTGTAATTCCTAAACCTACATACATACATATAAAAATATATACACGTGCATATATATAAGTTACCAAACTTGACACTGTAAAAAGGAATGATCATCAGTGAATAAGTTAATAAATCTGACAATAAATATTAGAAAAAAAAAAAACCTTATAAATTCGTCTACATGTAATCTAGAGAGAGAGAGAGAGTTACATGCTGGCAATCCGCCTTCTGATGGCCATCTCCTTGTTGAAGGAATTAGTTCCCGAGGGCACAACCATTGCACTGGTGTGAAGGCAACAGTTTCTGAGTGTGTGTATATAATATTATATATATATATATATATATATATACACACCCTTATATTTATGGAGGATAATATTGCTTGTGCTCACTCGTACTTGTACGTAGGTGCACGACCTTTCTGCCTACGATTAGAAGACAACAACCAATGGTTGAATTGTCGATCGGTCCCAGGTTCATATCGAGCTTCTATTTACTATGGAAAATTATTTTTTAAGGCCCAAAAAAGTCTAGCCCACACATTCAACCGGAAGTAGAAAGGCCTTTGATGGAGACCCGGACAATGGCTTGAAGTGAGAACCATGTTTGGGTCTCACTTCAGGCGCCTTGATGTTTTCGATTTTTTTTGTGTGTATAATGTACATAGCATAAATTAAATTGATATTCTATTAATTGATGTTGAATAAATTATACATTGTTAATTTTGTTATTCTCGATATAAAATATAGTATCATAATATTATTATTAACTTTTCACATTCACATGTCTAAAATATAAATTTGTCCGCGACTTCTGAAATCACCGATCCAATCTCCCATATTCATCATCCCTTTTATTGATTCCAAACTTAATCATCGATCTCCATCTCCAGTATCATCGCAATATTATCAGGGTGGAGAAGAGAGAGAGAGAGAGAGAAAGATAAAGATTTGTCGGCTTTGAATTCCATAACCATCACAATATCACTAAAGTGGAGAGAGATTCTGAGAGAGAGAACTAGCCTTCCTGTCGCAGATGTCTGTTGCAGAGTGGTTGCGACAAGGAAACATGGTTCCTAACTTGCTACAGCTATCAGCTTAGAACTCGGGCATTTTTGCACCAGTCAAATGTCCCTCTTAAAAAACATAATAGTCTCCCACCAAGTTCACTAGTCCAGTGATACTTGCCAAATAGTGATTATATATGGTGCTATCAAGTAGAGGAATAATGAAGATCAATAGGTAAGCACAATTTCCTGTATATTAACGCTGTGTCTAGTACATAGAAGTGAAGTTGAGACACTGTGAATTACTGGGTAGCTTCGCAACCTAACCCCAATTGGCCCCCAAAGTGAGCTTTTATTCAAGCCAAGAAATATCATTACATATGCTCATAATTGTTATTACTTGGATTAAAAACATTTATTCTGTGGTTCTATATCAACATTACATCCGCTGCAATCTTTCTTTCTTGGAGGAAAAACAAATTTCTTTGTTCCATTTCAGGAAAGCAGCACCAATGGAGAAACGTGTGAATTTTATGCGTCGCTGACTAGTTCCAATTTTGGCATTGAGTTTCCTGCTAAGAAGGATTTAATGAGTGAAAGAGCCAGTTTGGGTTTATGTAGAGGGACTTCATGACCTGCACCCCTCACTGTAACAAAAGTAAGCCCTTCATACTCCTGGGTCCATCCTCCCACCTGTTTAACACATTGTATTACATTCTACTTATTCAATCAAAACAACGTTTTGTTTCTAAGGCGTTCATTTCGAGGAATAAGTTTCTTTTCAACAGAGTAACAATTAGAGAGACAAATAATGGTTGGAAAAGGATTAAGAAAAAGGGAACAACTGGAATAGCTAGTTAATTACCTGTCCATCATCATACCAAGCACGCCATGGACCAACAGTCGGGAGCCTGAGAGCTTTTATACTATAGCGGGTCGATGTAACTGGGATTACAGCATCTGTATCGCCACTGTCATAAAAGAAAATATATGGCACCATCATTACCATATGAACCTGTCTATGGCTACCTGAACAGACACGTTTGACCCATTTTCCAGTTAATGGCATCCCTAACCAATATTAGTTAAAAGCATGCAATATGGATGCTATCCCAACGTAGCTGGACTTTTTTTCCCTTTTCTTTTTGTTATGATAAAAGAATACGGTATTCTAGATTCACATTTTGTACCTCCTCTATTCTACCAACTTCGTACTTTCAGGGCCACCCCTAACATTATCAATAGGTAGACCTAATGTGAGGTATCTGTACTCACAATCTATGAGAACAAAACAAGAACTACTTTCATTTCACTGCATAGGAAGGGAGAAGTGCATTTGGCAAATTTATTGAAGACAATTCCAGTCCCACTTTACAAATTTATTTACAAACACAAGAAGTTGAAGCATTTTTAAAGTATTTTTTGTTTCTTATTTTGGAATTTGAAAACATGGGATGAGAAATAAAATCATAATTACAAGAAAGATGAGAATTTTCTAGATTCATGCTTGCCTTGAGGGGGAGTTATTTGCCAACTTTATTTTTATCTTTAGGGTTCATTTGTCTTCTATATACCTGTATTATCATTATATTGATACAGAAAAAAATATTTCCCTTGGACATAAAGCCAACATAGCCAAACCACGTAAATCATGTGTTCTCTCTCTTTTCCTCCATTTCCATTTATCTCACATATGCTTTATTTTTTACATTTTATTTATAGTTAAATATAATTCAGTTAAAGCACACTTATATTTCTTTCTTTACCATCTCTTACTTTTTCATGTACTCTACTTATTCTTCTTATCTTCCTTCAACTTCTCTCTAATTTACTAGCAATGAGCGCATATTGCCACCAAGACACCAAATTCCTTTCCAGGACCTTATTCAACCACTTCTGAACTAACTCTAATTTGTTACCCGAGAAAACTCATAAACTTATTCATTATCCTCTTCAGCCTATTTTACCAACATTAATTCATCTTATATCAACTATACCAGAACCATGAAAATGTCATCCTTTGATCATCCAATATTCGACCCAAAACCAAATGCATAGCCTAACCTTTATCACACAATCCATGCTCCTTAATACAGCTTAAGGAAAACTGCCAAGAAAACAATTATACATTGGGGCTAATAGGCTCGTGGTATGTGTGTAATACCCACGTTGATAAATGATTTTTTAAAGCAATACTCGCGTTGATAAATGATTCAACCTGTTTCTAATCAATAAGAAAGTCACAAGCTAATGGGCTTGTGGTATGTGTGTCAGGTGCATGTACGTATCCAAGTCAGACTTGACAAACCCTAGAACCGAAGGGCTTAATTTTCCTCTTTTAATTTGTAGGGTAAAATAATACTCTTACGCACATGAAGTGTTTAACATAGGCACTTCACACATTTTGAAGCAAAATAGCAAAAAGGGGAACACATAAATATTGTAATTAGGTGCATGTCCAATCAAAAGTATTCAACGCATATAGCATAACCATGCCGAGGTGTCATGTGTCTGACATGGGTACTTTACGCATTTGGAAGAGTACATGTAATTTGGTGCCACGTGGACTAACAAATGAAATTCAACTGTAACCCACATGGAAAGAAAACTCATGCAGTAAATGGAAAAAAACTGATGCTCAATATTGAGAGAGAGAGAGAGAGAGGAAAAAACAAACACCTGAATATCCAAATACGAAGCCCTGAACGTATAAGCTCACGATAGATGTTCAGCACTGATTTAGGAGAATCTTTCCAATTAAGACCTACCACGTCGCTGCAAAACCATAACAAAGTAGTTGTTTATCACTGAAATTTACATCTATATGCCACTTTGTCGGTCAAGGTTATCAAATACTCTATCACATGTCATCCAGGAATCAGGATAATGATAGAGACAAAATCTTAATTTGCATTTCAAAATACTAGGTGCAGTAAAATTTTACAAATGCACAATACATGTGCAAATTACTGACTAGTCAAACAACCAAAGTTTTAAACACATTCTCCTACCCGATCAAATTCCCACACCCCACCCTAGATGGCTGAATTCTTGTCCTCTTCTCTTACATAAACTTTCTTTTAAATCATAGTAATTTATTGAAATTCAATTAATATTACTGGAGATGAACATTCACTAACTTGGGACTGGCAATTATTCATTGGCGTAGGATTCAAGTCAACCAGACACCATTTCCATAGTGTTGTTCCAGGGTTATTTTGGCAATATAAGTTGATAGTATTTAACATTTCATATTTTCAAATAGATCTACCTGCAGGTATCCCATTTTGATGGTGCGCCTCCAGGATAAACATGAAGTGCATTTTGAACCTCAGGTAGATTGAAGTACATAACTGAATGCTTCTCAGTGCATGGATCGTACTTCTGGCTGATGCGGCCAACCGTCTATCAGATGACATTATATTTCATTAATGACAAGAACAGAAAACATTTAAAACATTATAGATTCAATTACAGAAGTCGTCTTCTAAAAATAAAAAAAAAATATTCAAACTTCAAATTCAGGCTAAAGTTTAACTACTACAGGGTCAAGAAGTCAAATCAATAAAAGAGAGTTAAAGAATCTTTACAAAAGGTTAATTTCATGTTAAGGAGAAACATAGGTCAGTGCAATGCTGCCGTAGTTACTAGACTTGAATCATAAACCTATGAGGCAGGGTCCAAGCAATTAAGGACAAATATTTCATATTCGATATATTGATGTAAAAATAAGGATCTATGCAGTGAAGGTAACTAGATAGTATGCAAACCAATGACAAGATGGATTCTTGTACTGAGCTCGAAAAAATTGAGCTGGACTGGGATAGAAGTATGCTAATGAACTTCTTGCTCCCGATTATATTTATTAGGACTCATCTTGTAAGGTCCTAACATTAGCTTGCAATGCTACTTCTTATTGTCTCAACCCCTGAACCTAATGCAGTTCCATAGAGGGCGGATTGTAGAACTCTAGGAAGCTTGGGCAAGGAAAAGGATGGTAATACTTTCTATTCGCTGTGGCAATCATAGTGCCATTGCGATGAAGGTACTTCTCCATTCCGTAATTCAACAATTCAAAATGAAATGAAGATATTTAGAGACTACTCTATCACCTAGGATAATTTCTGGTTTCCCAGGAACTTGTATTATCAACTTCCCAGCTACTTTAACTTCGGGATGCAAGTGATGGATTTCATCCAAATTGATGCCATTGTCTAAGTTAAATTTTAAGAATATAATAAGGGCATAGAGAATCACATCTCAGGGGATGGTAAATTGAAGCTCAACATCATTTCTGGAAGAAGGAGAAACAAAGAGACGAATATTTGGCAAATTCTTGAATTTTCATTTAGAAGGATTTCATTTGCACTAAAGAACATATCATTTAATGAAAACATGACACTTTTATCTTTTTAAGGAAGCCATTGAATGAATTTTTTCCTCACTTTGCACCTTCAAGGCTATCTAGTTCTATTGCTCACTACTTCTCATTGCCCCACTCACCCACCTACACACAAACACACACACATACAAGAGCGAGCAGCACTCTATGATACTCTAATGGTAAATCCCCAATATTAAAACTAAGAAAAACCTGCCAACCGCTAACACCATGCCTCGTACCCCAAAGTATATCTGGCAAACATGAAAAAGAAAGAAAGAATGAAGAAAAAATATAAAAATATCACAAAAACCTTTTGCCGCAGAAAAATATTATCAAAGAGAATATGAAGTGGTTTCCACCATGATGAACAGTCCAAAATATGTGGAAGCAGGAACTACATAGCCTAATGTAATAAATTTCCAAACATCCCAACACCTGAACATTTCAATTATTGAATCCACGGATTATAGAAGACGCATATAGATTTTTTAGGATGAAGGTAAGTACCCGCCATCTTTTCCATAGCCGATTTGATAAGTTAAAATTGGCAGTGCAAGGAGGAGTGAAGATGCTATATGCATCAATATTTCCAATTTCTTCGTCAGCTATATCCAGAACCTTATCACACTGCTCTGAGGAGCGAATAAATGGCTGGAAGTCACAGAAAATATTCAACTTCTTGTACGTTTGATCTGAAATCATACCAGCTGACCACATAAACTCAAAAAGTCCCAAGTGGTCGTGGTAATCATCAGTTAAAGCATTTCCCACCTGCGTACAACATTCATGTACATAGTTTAAAATTTTGTTATATAATGCATTGTGACAATCTATCCCCATACCATGTAACCCTTTAAATTGATTGTTTTTTCCCCAGCTGCTGAGTTGTGCCTCACAATTGCCTGGCTTAGCTGAGGAACATAATGTCCTGGAAGTGGAACACAGAGTTTATATAATCAAAACCATGAAGTAAACCTATAAAGCCACCAAACATAAAGACAACACTAAAGAGCTTAAATCATTCTTGAGGTGATGGGGACCATAAAGTTATTTTCCCTCAATTTAAGTTGTGACTTGTGTTTTTGTTCAACATGCCTCTTTTGAGAAATACACCAGACTCGGCTTCTATAAGATCCAAATGGACAAAAAATGCCATTTCAGATGTTAAGTTTTTTCCCCTTTTTCTTTTCTTTTTTCCCCCTATTTTTGGGATCTCTGAAGGGTTCATGAAGTCACCACTTGCTAAGTTTATCCTATTTCTAAAATAACTACAATTTATTAATGTTGTGTATTTAATAATGAGAAATTTATAAAGAGAATTTTATCTAGGTAAGGGGATAATAAGATATACAAGACATATCAAAGGGTTTATACTATAATATTAAAACAAAGCGGTTAAGAGTTGTACAAAGGTAATAAAGAGAAAAATATATTAATGCTATGTTTGGGAGTACTGAATCGGTGGCTTGGATATTTTGGATTTGGAATTGGAGGAAATTTAGTTCAAACTTTATAATAAATTTCCTTTAGTTAGAACTAAATCTCCTCCAATTCCAAATCCAAGCCGCCAAATTCGGTGCTACCAAACGAAACATAAGAACTTTCGAACTCTTTTTCAACCCAAAATTATCTCTCCATAAATAGAATAAAAGAGGTCTGGATAGAAAGAAAAACAAAGACACAAAACTCTTTAAGTTCCTTCCTTCCTTCCTTCACTTCAATTTTATTGCATAATTAAACAGAAATGGGAATCCTCCCTTTTCTCAGTTTGATTTCCTCTCTTAAATTTTTCTCTTATCCCACTTCTCTGTAGTAGCAAGTAAGGCAAGCTTAACTAATGGAACCCAAGGCCCACCCAATTTGGTTCAGACATGGACACCCTTTTCTAAGCCATTGGTCCAGATTTAGGCTCAGAAACTTGGCCCAACGTGAATTCGGGCTAGGTTTGGACAGAGGTTCGGGCAACCTGAGGTCGATGTATATTTATTATGTATAGTTTCTCCTTCGTCCTTAAACTGGTTCTCTGTAATGTCCGTTCCTCGTTCGCAATGCCATTGATGCAGCTTAGCTATAGCCCTCATTTTGCCCAGCAAAGGCTACAATGCAATGTCTTCCTTAAAGAGTTTGCAGTTATCAAAAAGTATAAGCTGATCTTCCAAGGCAAACGTATTGCTCATTAAAAATGTTTTAGTTATATTATCACTAAAACCTGTCTATCAATTTGGCCATTATCTTCACCTTTTCCTCCCGTCCCATCGATCATTCTCCTTCTTTCCCTTCTAGTTGCTCCTTCAAGGTGGATTCTATTGTTTTGACACAATGAAACTTCGCTCAGTTGGTTCAAAAACTCAAAGTCCATAGAAGTTTAAGGAGGAAACATTTTTTTTTTATAAGTAAGATTTCATTGAACAGTGCCCAAAAGCGGGGTGCTGCCCTGAATTACTGCACAAAACTATAACCTCAATCTATCCACAAAAGACGAAAGAATCTCCATAGATTTGCAATTAGAACCTTCTACCCAAAAGAATAGAGAACTAAGAACTGAATATCTAACTAACCCCAAGGAGACACCACCCCAATCAAAGGATCTCCTATTCCTCTCCTTCCATAAAGCCCATCGCAAGCAAAGGGGGGCTGCCCTCCACGCATCTGACTTGAAGACGCACACGACAACCTCGCAAGACGTCAATCAAGCTCATCGCGGACTCTGGCATGACCCACTGGATCCCAAAATGGCACTAAGCATATCCCAGTTGTCCCTAGCTCTGGGGCAATGAAGGAAATGATCAACTGACTCCCCAACCCTCTTACATATGCAACGCTAATTGACAATAATCTGACGATGCCTTCTTAGATCGTCAATGATCAAAATCCTCCCAAGAGCAGTTGTCCAACTAAAAAAGGCCACCATCAGGGGTCCCGCGAACACCAAATTCCTTTCCATGGAAAGGACATCCCCCGAGCATCCATCAAATGGCAATAGAACGAGCGGACCTCAATTCTTCCATGACTCAAACTCGCCCAAAGCCACTCATCCGTCCCCTCGCCAGCAACAGCCTAACTATAGAGCATGGCTAGGAACTCAACCAGCTCCTCCACCTCCCAATCATGCAGGAGTCTCTCAAACTGCACATCCCAGGACAATCTCCTGCCATCAAGATGATAGCAGTGAGCAGCAAGTGCCTGCCTATCAACAGTAATCCCAGCCAGCCTCAGAAAGAATCTCACAAGCGACCTCTCCCAGCACCAATGATCCTCCCAAAAGCTCACAAGAGAGGCAACATTCATCATATACATATCCAAATACATGGGTTCGTGTGAGAAATTTTCCTCTCTGAGAATCTTCCCCTCTTCAGGCAATTCAAACCTAACCCGAGATCATAAAGTTAAGCTCAAGCTCAGCCTGGGCGTGAGCAGCTAGTGCTCAAAGTGTAATACCCCTAAATATTAAAAAGGACATAATTGGAATTTTGTTTATTATTTTGTGTTGTATGTGCCTTTTTGAATTGATTTTGGTGGTTTTGTGATTATGTTACAAATTGGTTGGTTATTTTAATTAATTGTGTTATTCTTTATTTTAATTAATGGTTTTATTCTTTATTTTAATTAATTGTTTTATTCTTTAATTTGATTTAAATTGTCGTTTGGGAATTTGAATTGTTTTATTTTTTTTTTATTTTAGTTTAAAAGGGAGGGATTGGAGTAGGAGTTATGGACCGACCCAAAGGGGTCTCATGGCTAATCTGGATGGAGGTAATTGTGGGTATGGATATTTACCCATATAAGGATGGTGTATACACTTAATTAAGTATATACGAATGTAAGGATGGAGTGGTATTATTATATACAATTATTAGTATTTATCTTAATAATAGGGTTTTAGCAGGTTGTATATCTATATATATATAATTATAAATTATATATATATAAATCATTATATCTTACGACATTAGGTTTTTCTGTCCGTAGATTTTGGGATTTCAATAAGGATTAGGGTTTTGTCTCTAATTATACAAAGCCTAGGGTTTTGGTTAAGTATATATATATACTGTTATAAGTCTATTGAGGGTTGTAAGCACAAACCCTATTCACGAATAGTGAAAATACAGAGAGTTTGAGAGAAAACTAAAGGAGAAGAAGGTAGGGTTTGGGCCAAGGATTGTAAGCTGGATCAAGGAAGAAGGTCGAAGACTGTTCGAGGGTTAGAACCAAAGCAGTAGGAGGTTTGGACGGTGGTTAAGGATCGCCGGAAAGTCTAGGAAGAAGTCGACGTTGAAAGGTTTCAAACCGAAACCGAAAGGCAAGTTCTTTCCTTTCTCCTTCTCTTTGGCTTGTGTTCTGTGCACCTAGATAGTCTCTAGGGTTTAAGTAATTATGATTTGGAACGTACATGCTTATTGTATGATATATTGATGATCTTTACGTGTTAAAAATCAATTCTGTTTAATGCTTGCAAGTCTTGTTTCAGTTTTCTGTTTTAAGCATGTTATGTTGTTAGCAATTTTTAGTTTCTATAATTGCTTTTAACCTCTATAAATAAATCATGGGGATGATTATGGGGTGTTATAGGACTCTTAAGGTCAGTAGTGAAGAGGAACAGAGGGGTTGGAATAGAACTGTTATTGCAAAATAGTTTCAGTATTGTCTCTAAAGCATGTCTAGTTCGGTAGCAAATTTGATCTATGTAATTGAATCAAATGGTTGTAATCAAACCTTTGGGACCCTTAGGATCAGTTTTAGAAACCAACTGAAGGGTAGAAATAAGCCGGAGAAGAAGCAGAAGTACGGAACTGAATCAGAAACGGACCAAAGCTCTCACAAGGGGAGAGAGCCGGCTCTATGGAGGGAGGAGCCGGCTCCCCCATGAGTAGAGCCGGCTCTAGGAGGTGTAGAGCCGGCTCTACCCCAGCAAGAGGCGGCTCTAAGTCCCTTTGGAGCCTGCTTTAGGTTATTTTGGAGCCTGCTTTTCCATTTTAGGAGCAGACTCTTCCACGGGTGTATTTTCAGGAGTTTTTGGGCGTTGTTTGGACGGTTTTAAGTGTTTCTAAACTATACTGGGAGTATACTGGGGTTCTTAACTTAATGATTAAGTGTTAAATAGATCACTTGTGGCATGGTTTGTGGCTCGGTGCTAAAACAATAAAACAGTTTTCAAGTAAGCAACTTAGCATGCCATTGACGGATAAAAGGAACTGATTTGCTATGATTAATTTTTAGCAATTTCTTGGACAATATTATGATTGTAAAACTTATTTTAAATGCATGGTGAAGTCAATGATTTATTAAAACTGATCTTTACATATGCTGGATGTTAGTTGTTGAATTATTAAATCGGTTCCTGCAACTATATGGTTATAAGCTTGGATTTGAATTGCTGAATGTTAAACACAGTTCTGCAATTATTTGAATATTGGTTTGGACTGTGAATTGCTAAACTTTAATTTATATGTTGTAATTTACATGGTTTTGGATGTTAATTGTGAAATCGTATATATTATTCTACAATTAACTGGATGATGGTTTTGAACTGAAATTGCTGAAGTATTATATGAACTATTATGCAATTACCTGACTTTTGATTTTGGATTAAATTGTTGTACTATTTATCATAGTCTGTAATTTTTACATGGTTTTGGATTTTAATTGCTGAATTAATATATATTCTGTCAATTACATGGATATGGAGAATTGTATGCACCGGTATGGGACGGTATCATACTAGGGATGGTTTAGCTCAAAACGCATAAACCTAACCTATTGGATTAAAGGAAAGGATTGTAAAATATTGAATCCTAATTTTGTTTAAGTCAGATCAACTGAGTAAGTTGTGAGACTATCTGGATTAATTGATATTTGTGGTTGAGGTCAGATCTACTGAGTAGGTTGAGTGACCATTTGGATTTACTGTTGTTTGGAGTTAACTCATATCAACTGAATAAGTCGAGTGGTTAACTGATTATACGTCTTATGTCAGATCAACAAAGAATTGAATGACATACTCTGGTTTGGACGGATTTTAAATATATGATTATGGTACCACGAGATGAGCTTGAATCTCAGAATCGTTGGTTAGGGTGCGTATATGCAGTGGATGCGTAGCTGGTTATAGTAGGTTGAGGTGTACCCTGTTAGGTCTAGGTACTCATGCCCACCTTTGGGTGCATTTTTGCATGTTGTCTTCTATTCAGGTTGAGACCCCCTACATAGTCCAGTGAATGTCCCTTAGTGTGGATATTTATATATGTATGGACTAGATAGCTATTGCTGAGATATCTAGGGTGTATCTGCGTATCATGTTACTGTATAGATTGCAGTTAGGATAGAACTTGCATGTGGGCCTGACCCACTCTTATTTTTACAGGTGTTCGTTAGTTCCAGGCTTAGAGCTTGATCGTGCTGAGCAGATACAGTTATTCACTCCACCGACGACGTAGGAGTATTTCTTCTCATTATGAGCATTGGATTTCTTTGCAATTGTTCATGTTCAGTATTGGAATTTTTAGTAGGGGTCCACAAGATGGATTCCCGAGTTGTATTAGAAGTAAAGGAGAAGTTGGTGTATTCAAACTAGTTCTTGTATATAAAGTTTATTTGGAGATTTTTCCATTAAAGGATTTTCATTTTAGTTCTTTTCAGCAAAATTTTATTCATTCCTGTTTTCTATATTGTATTCTGTGTTCGTTAAATTGCTAATTGATTTGATATCCTCGGGTTATCGGGCGTGGGCCTGGCCAACCCGCATCCGGAAATCCGGGGGTATCACACAAAGTAAGGAACTTTGGGCCTAAGAAGATCCCACAGAGCTCAAAGAGGGGCCAAACAAAACTCTAGACCAACTAAACACACCAGATTTGCAACCCTGTTTTTCTCGATCTTGACAAGGCCTAAATGGGCCAGTTAGTTTTTGCAAGGACTGTGACATCTTTAGCTCTGCAAAAATATGACAAATTGCAAAACACAACTGGGAATTTAGGAAGGCCTGATCCTCAAAGTACCTCAGGTAGGTGATTCTGTGATTGTTGATGACTGCAAAATGGAGATACCCTTAGCCTATTTGGTTCGATTCTCAAATCACTATTTTGAAAAATTATGCAAAAAGAAAGCGGTTTCAGAGAAGTAGAAGAATGTGCTTTCTGAAATTGGGTCTTCTTTAACTTCGGTTCCATAGCACTTCTCAAAAACCTATTATTAATATTCTAATTATTTGACATGACTGTCAATCTCATCTCTCTCATCTTCTTCATTACTTTATCCTTTGGGCAACATTATTGGGGTGTTTAAATTAGTCAAGTCGTGTTAAAAAAAATTATTCAAGTCCATTTTATACATTCCATCCATTTCAGCTTCTTGTCAATTCCTTTTCTTCATTTTGTTTGACTTGTTTCTAGTGGAAAGCACCTATAGCTTGTTTATGAATGGCGTTACTTATAAATTGTTCAGATCAGGTAACAGGATCAGAGTGATATAGCATAAAAAGCAAAATCTAATTCTGACCCCTAACAGTAAATTATCCCTCCAAAAGACCTAATACAACATGTCTAGAAGTATCTTTTTTTAATAAGTGACGTGTCTAGAAGTATCTAATCTGCAGGTATGAGAAATCCAAAGATGTAACAAATTCTATTGATTTTACAACTACATTCTTTTATGGAGTGACGTGGAAGCACAGGTCTTCTGCTACCATGGAGTAACATATATTTGCACGTTCATCTACCTGCATAACTCTCTCCAGTGATGTAGAAATCCCTTCCTTTGTACTGGGGAAAACGCTCAAACCACTTCAATAAAAATGCTAGAGAGTCCGCAGCTGCAACCAATGAAAGGTAAATTTGCCTAAGCATGGCAGCAAAAGGTATTGCATTTCAAAGCAGGATTACAATACCACAGAAGAGTTTGAAGCAATACCAGTCCTTTTATCTCCATTGCTTAGCAGATCGGAGGAAGTGTTTGAATATGAAAAACCAACTCCGACAGGAGAGTCCACGAATAATAAATTAGCAACTGCAAAATGGTGAAAATCATGTGTATAAATATTGTAAGAACTATGATGCATTATGCAGTATATTTGATATATCATATACCAAAACACAACGCAGAGAAGTAATGCTCCTGACATGATGACATCGAAATAGCAAATCTTACTTCTTGACAAAATTTATCAAGTATGATTGTCAGAAAGTGATTCAGGTTATTGAAAGCACAATAATAGTAACAATGACAACAACAAGAGAGAGGGAGAAAGAGAGAAGAATGATATAAAAAATTTTAAAAATAACGAATTGCATGCTGAAAAAACATTTATCTAGTACTGAAAGGATTACATGTAAATATTTGTTTGTGTATTTCTATGCAAATAGTTTGTTTACTATATAGCAAGGGCATGAGACACAGTCGAAGGAGATATTAAATTTGAACAGCAATAAGGATGTATCCCTTTGGATCACCAATGAGCACTACAATCTATTTGGAGTGCTCTATTTGTAAACTCTAACAGTTACCGAGGCAAAAATGTAGCTAGTAGCAGAAATATTTAATCACCCTCAAAATAACATGATGCCAGAACCTATAATAAAATTATTGTTCAACATATGAAACCTAAACTCCTATACTATTATTTTATACCCGCTAATAACAAGAGAACATGGACAAGAATTAGTGTTTCGGCAGCTGTTTTGATATTGAAATATTAATAAATGGCTATATACCTTCATTCCAGGCATTCGGGTTTAAATAAAGTGTCTTCCCATCCTTCTCAATATGAAAAGGTCCGATTTCCTCAGCCATCCCATATGCAATTGATGAACATCCAGGCCCTAAAGAAGCAGCCCTTTTGGTCAGAAAACTCTTTTCACACTGATAATTTTATTGAATACAGTGAGAAAATCCAAAATAAAATAAATAAATAAAAGGATAAAAAGGAAAAGAAACATAATACACGCATACATATATATGTATGTATATAGGGAGAAAGTGATATGTACAAAATTATATATATTAATATCCAATAACCTATAAGATTTAGGAAATTGGAAAGGTTAACATCCACACAACAAAAATTCAAACAATACAAGACATAAATAACAAAACAATGAAAAGGGTATAGGTGTGTAAAAAAGATTGACCTCCATTGAGCCAGAGAACTAGAGGTTTGGAAGATGGGTCATCAGCGGCGTCGGTGAACCAGTAAAACAGTGCCCTCCCAGATTCCTCATTAACTGTTACATAGCCAGAGTAGTGTGCAAAGCTGACATTGAAGTCTTGACCCGGAAGGTGTAAAACTCGGTCCAATTGTTGCTGGGCAATTGGGTCTGAAGAAAAACTAGTGCTGCAACTGCCAATGTAGAGCTTGATGATGAAAATATACATATAAAGCACAATACCCCATTTCGGATTCGACATTTTCTTAGGGTTTTGTGAGGATGGCGAAGAGAGTTGAACTTATGAGGATAGATTGGTTTCTGGTGGTAGATACATATACTATATCCTATATTTAGAAAGTGCTGAGAAAAGACATGTGGCTGGCGTCGTTGCGACAATGATGTTTGTTAAAGCAAGAGCTTTTTTCACCTAATTGTTGGTTGTGCTGACAGTAGCAGAGAGCCCAGGACCACATGTGATTGGTCGGTCTATTTGATAATATTAACTTCTTAGTGGTTAATTTTGAAAATTTTGACACATTATTACATTTTGTTTTTGAGTCATTTAAAATTATTTTTAATTATATTTTTTTTTATACTCATACATTATTTATATTTAATATTAAATATCTATTTTGATAATTTAACTAACAAAAATTATGAATCAAAATTTATAGTAGTATTTTTTAAAATAATAAACAATAAAAATATAAATTAATTATTTTTTCTTTATAATTGTGAAAAATTACCCTTTGAAAAGAATTTCATAAATAATTTCATATAACTGTCTTTTAATTCTTTTAATTTTTGAAAATTATATCATATCGAATTTTTTCTTCTAATAAAAATGATTCAAGAATATCAATAAAGAGGTAAAGTGCAAAACAAAATCTTAAACTATTGCTCTTTTATTTCTCCCGAACTAAAATTATCTCTTTGAATTATTAATTTATTACAATTAATTTATGCAAGAAAAAGTTATTAGACACCTCGAAGTTTAACGGTGAGTATTTATGAAAATCCTTAATTATCAAAAAAAAAAAATAGTTTAACGGTGAGTAACTATTTTCTTTTAATAATTTCTCATCCAGGTGTCGAGGGACTGTCAACTTGTTGGCCCATTATTTAGTTTTATCAGGTCCACAGTAGTAGGCCTCAAACATGTGAATTCCAGTCTACTAGCTTGGGCTATGTTAAATCGGGTTTAACATGTTCAGTACCTCTGCATGAATTCAGATTCTTGAGCCCAAAATTTTTTAATATAGGCCAATTCATGTTTAAGGCCCATACTCACTAATTCGAAAGTTTTTTTTTTTTTTTGGGCCCGGATGTGCGCGTAAACAGGATCCGGATCTCCTCTTGTGGTGGATTATTGAAATGTAACTTGGGTTGAGAGACGCAAACCCAACTCGAGCCCAACCCGATTTTTTGTAGACTTGGGCAATCATTTTTTCAATTAGGGTTGGACTTAGATTGAAGTGCTAGGAACTCGATTTCGAATTATAATATTATTTTAATATATTTTTTTACTTTAAAATATATTATATATAATATTTAAATTATGATTACCATTTTTCTATTCAACTTCCTTTGTTAAATTTTTACTTTGTTAATATTTAGGAGAATTGATTTTCAAAGAATTTGTTTTTAATTTATTAAAAATCTACAAAAAGTCTTTTAAACTTTTTCTTATTTAAGAATAATTTAATCTAAAACTAATTCAAGATTATATTAAATTTTCGGTGTGAAGATTAGTTACATGATTAACCCGAAATTTTAACACGAAATCTAAACCCGAGTTACAAGTCCGAATTTAACAGTAGAATGATGGGTTCGGCTTAGGTTGAGTAGTTAGGGTTGAGAATAGGGTTAGGGTTGGGTTTGAGTTTAACATTTCATATGATGGTTATACCTCAAACCCGCCCGAGTTGCAGCTCTAAGTGGAAATCAGACTTATCATATGCCTTAAAACGTTGACGTTTGTAGACATAATTAGCAATCACTTAAAACTAATTAAAGCGGTAGCCTCTTTATTTTTTAAGAATAGTAATCAATGCTCAAAAGAAATCAACCTAATAAAAACTAATTAAAAAAAAATTAAAGAATTTTCAACTGACAATGGATAATTTTATATATATGTTTTGATTCACGTTGGCAGCTTAATTATATCTTTATTTCTTACACTTGGAAGGAAAATAAAATGTAAGGTATTCAAATTTTAGAATTCCATCAAATAATTGACTATAATACCTTGATTTTTTTATATACAACAGTTCATAGTATTAGAGCAAATCATATTTCATGAAACATTTTTCATGATGCTCCATTTCATTAGATGTAAATATTTATAAAAATATATTTTTTTTATTTTTTGATATTTGATTGTCGTAAAATATTTATAAATAAAAAAATATTAAGACCTAACAAAAATAACATGCACGCGCCGACGGATGGATTCCATCTCAACCTCCACCTTTACCAAACAACGAAAACTTACAGAAAAACAAAAAAATATATATTTTAAGTTTGTTCGCCTAAAACACCACGCTCAGAGCCATCAAAGCCACATTTCATATGAATATCAAATTTAGTACTTCCAAAGTTGAAAGCATTCCCACCGATCTTGTACCAAATACAGATATTAAAAAGTGTGAGCTCGTAAATTGAAATTGTTGGGCATTTTTGCACCAGTCAAATGTCCTCTTAAATAACATAATGGTCTGCCACCAAGGTCACTAGTCCAGTGATACTTGCCAAATAGTGATTATATATGGTGCCATCAAGTAAAGGAATAATGAAGCTCAATAAGTAAGCACAATTTCCTGTAAGTTGAGACGGTATGAATTACAGGCCGGGTAGCATCGCAACCTAGCCCCAATTGGCCCCCAAAGTGAACTTTTATTCAAGCCAAGAAATATCATTACAAATGCCCATAATTGATATTACTTGGATTAAAAACATTTATTCTGTGGCTCTATATCAACATTACATCCGCTGCAATCTTCTCTCTTGGAGGAAAAAAAAAACCTTCTTTGTTCCATTTCAGGAAAGCAGCACCAATGGAGAAACGTGTGAGTTTAATGCGTCGCAGACTGGTTCCAATTTTGGCATTGAGTTTCCTACTAAGAAGGATTTAATGAGTGAAAGAGCCACTTTGGGTTCATGTAGAGAGACTGCATGACCTGCTCCCTCACTGTAACAAAAGTAAGCCCTTCATACTCCTGGGTCCAGCCTCCCACCTGTTTGACACATTGTATTACATTAAACTTATTCAATCAAAACAACGGTTTGTTTCTGAGGAGTTCATTTCGGGGAATACGTTTCTTTTCAACACAGTAACAATTTTTTTTTTTTTTGGGTTCCTTAGTTAATTGGTACTCACACGGGATGGCAACGGGGCAGGTTTGGACTGGTGTACCCTCTCCTACCCCTGCAATCCTTTAAAAACCCCCCTTCGTTCCCGTCCAAAACCGTAAAAACGGGGGACGTTTCACCCATTCCCACCCCCGTTTAACATTTTTACACCCGTAGGTACCGGCTCCCAGGGGCGGAGCCAACATAGACTAATTTTTTCAAACAAAGAATTTTCCAACATTTAATTCTGATAAAGTGTAATTAACTAATTGAGTTTTGATCTGTTGGAAAATTCGTTTTTTTAACCGATCCTTCCTATATGTATGAATATATTTATTGCAATTTTTTTTTTTTTTTTGAAAAAAAAATAATAATAAGAAACACTAAATCCTTATAAAACCTTGCTCCAAAAGTAGGGGTGGCAATTTTTATTGTCCCGTCCCGCCCCGTTAATAACAGATATGGGAATAATATTTATACCGTTAGAGCGAACATGGTTACAAATTTTGTACCCGTTGTGGGTCACGGGGCAAGTAAAGGTTCTTATATATATCCTCCCGGGGCCCCGCCCCGCTAGGCAAATAACTATATATATATATATATATATAATAACTTATTTTACCGGCTTACCCAGTTATCCATTTCTTACAACCCTAATTTTTTAAGCCTTATGTGTGAATTGAGCGGCGCATCAAGGGAAGATAGAGAGAGTCAAAACTCAAAAACCAAACCCTTGACCTCAATCCCTCTCTCCCTCACCGGTCTCTGTTTATCTTTCTCAAGTTGATGCACACGCTCACGCAGGTAGATCTAGTATTCTTCAGTTCTTCTTCTCCCTTTTTTATACTTACATATATATATATATATATATATATATATATATATATATCTCTTATTTTATAATTTATTTGATCTATTCTTCTAAGGCAGAGGTAGAGGGATTGATGTATTCTTCGTCTTCTTCTATTCGGGTTATTCAACCAAGAAAATTGTGGAAGACAGAGGGGGACACCAGATCAACTTTTGAGCCAAGAAAATTGTGAAAAAAAATTGTAAGCGGGGTGGGTACGAGGCACAATATTTCCCAACAGGATAAGGATGAATATGAAAATTTAACCTGTCGCAGGGCACGGGACGGCCATGAACTTCCAAAAATTAAACACGGAGAGGCAGGATTTAGGGAAATCCGTTCCAAACCCGCCCCGGTGCCATCTATATCCAAAACAAGTCTTTTTTGAAAAATTATTCAATATTTGATAACTATGAAGTTTTAATAATTTCTACATATCTTGTAAGTGTTCTATCAAAATTGTGATAACGAATGTTATATTGTTTTTCAGTTATTCTCCTTGTCACATTACCTATTTCATAAAATGCTTGATATTTGATACTTCATTAAATGCTTGATATTTGATTTTAAAAACAGTCAATTTGAGATAATACTCTTTGATTTTAGGTTTTTTTTATATTTTATTTTTTTACTTTTGGTGATTGACAACCACTCTTTTTATATTTTACTATATATTTTTCTAAACAACCCCCAAAAACACTGTGAATAACAATATCCTTAGTTGTAACAACTTAATGTGTGGTTAGTTGTACTGTTGTAGTACCAAATATAGATTCCAGATCTGGCTTCTTCATCTACTTAGATTCTTGTTTGCAGCCATTCAGACAGCATGACCAGAGAGGACAAGAAATTGAGCAAGTTGCAGTGAAATGGGTGATGTTCCTATGTGGTGGTCCTCATTTTTTGTTATAATGTCACTGTCACATCTGCACCTATCCCACGTGACCCTATTAGCCGTTGATATTAACCCTGTTTTGCCATATGAGAATACTGTTGTGATGGTTTCTTTACACATTTCCGTAGCTTGAACCAACGACCATTATTTATATCACTATTTTACTATTCTATTACTGCTATTAGCTATATTTTAGTAGGGAAAATCACTAATAAGTCCTTAGAAAAAATTAAATTAATAAGTTCTACTTTTTAGATTTTTTTCTATTACTGCTATTAGCTATATTTTAGTAGGAAAAATCACTAATAAGTCCTTAGAAAAAATTAAATTAATAAGTTCTACTTTTTAGATTTTTTTATTTATTTAAGTTACAAATTAATAAATCTTTGATTTATACCTTTGCTAAATTAAATATGAAACTTAGAATTAAACTTTCATATGTACCCTTACAAAATTAAATATAAAATTTAAATAAAGATACATTTTATTGATTTTTATAAAATTAATAATTTTTTTGTACTAAAATAGTCGGTGTATTCTACACAAAATATGACTTATTACTCAGGTAAAAGTGCAAAAAAAAAAAAAAAAATCCTTAATACTATTTCGAGTTGTAAATCAAACTCTGAACTATTCAAAAGTTGCAAATTAATCCCTCCCAATCACCGAACGTCATTTTTACCAAAATACAACCATTTAATTATATAAAAGTTATAAATATCATAAATGTATAATACCCATGATACCTTTTAGGGGCAGGGATAACAATGGGGCGAGGAATCTCATTCCCCATCCCCATCTCCAGTCAAAAATTTTACCCCCATCTCTGCCCCCATACCTGTTTAATTTTCAACCCCCTTCCCCCTCCCCACCTTGCCCCGCCACATTAGCTCCCGTCCTCGCATAACGTTTTTTAAATTTCAATTCACCTTCAACAAAATCAACACAATCATAATATTTTTCAACCTAATAATTTCATAAAGCTTTAGCACAATTATAACAATTTAAAAAATGATCAGATGTTTGATGCACAACGATTATTTTTTTCTCTATGCTGTGGAGGAATAGATCTAGGGTTTCACTTTCAGAAGTGAATATATTATGTGTATAGTTATGTAATTTAGTAATATTTTATAACATGTAAGGACAAATTTGTAAAAATGCATAATAAAACGGGACAGGGCGGGGTTACCCTCCCCCCGCCCCCCAATCCCCCGTTGGGGTTTCAAATACAATCCCATTCCCTCACCATTTACATAAAATGGGTCCCCAAACCCGCCATAAACAGAGCGGGGACCCGCGGATGTGGGGATTTTGCCATCCCTATTTAGGGCCCATCTTGCAACTAACCAATAGTTCGGGAGTTTTTTTGTTTTTTGTTTTTTTGCAATTTTGTCTGATAATAATAAATAATAACAATAACAATAATAATATTATTAGTAGTACTAGTAATAGTAGTAGTAATATTAATAATAATAATAGTAATAATAATTTTAAAAATAACAAAAATAAATTGATTAATTAGTTGCTCGATGGATCCATATACATACAAACAATTTTTGCAAATTCATAAATTATTAAAAAACAATTTAAATAATAATAAGAAGAAGAAGAAGAAATAATAGTAGTAGTAGTAATAATTATTTAGTTGAAAGATGGTCCTTGAAAGGTATTATGGGTATTGTACATTTATGATATTTTTTTAGTTCAGAGGGTTTTTTTTACACTTTTATCTATTACTTATTAGTACTTCTCAGTAATTTTTTTAGCACTTTACTTTTGGTGAGAAAAATAAAACCTGGTGGTAATTTTTATTCTTAGTATTTGCAGCAATAAATAAATACCAGTAGTATCTTAACATCTAAAGTCATTAGTTACCAATTTGAAAACTTCTTATGTTATTATTATTATTTTTCTATTAGAATGTGTGAATTTTTTAAGATGATAAATAAATAAATAAATTTAATAAACTTTATCTTGGAGGATTGAAATCTCTCACACCCAAGTTTAAAAGGTACATGTAATGCCCTTTTATGAACCGAAATTCCGTTTCAATTGCACTTTTGGTCGATAAGAAAATTTTAATTGTTTAATTTTTTATACATCACGAGTGAGAACAAACATTTCTTAGAAGCATTCTTTGAAATCCAAAATAGAAGGGTTAGTGAATAAATAAAATAGAAGGGTAGTATATATATATATATATATGTATATATATGTAACAAATTTGGAGAGAAAAGATAGAAAATAATAGAGTATATTGAACTTGGATGAGAGAAATTGGGTGGAAAAGAAAGGATTGAGAAACTATCTATCAAAATCTCTCAAATTGTATCCCTCCAAAATTAACAAGATTTGGAAGGAAAATAAACTAAGTGAAGTGACATATTCATTACGACAAAAATAACCTTCAAAATTAGGTACGCAAAATTTTTATTCCATTTAAATCCTAATAATGTGAGGAGACTGCACGGGTAATACCTTCTCAAAAACCCTCTCTTTCTTTGTTTCTTTTTCTTTCTTTTTTTAATTGGTTTTGGAGACACCCATTTGCCCATTTTCTGCAATTTCTAATCTGGGATTAATCAATCATGAAATAATTTTAGGGGTTTTCCGGTGAACCGGTGGCAATCGTGCACTTCACCTTTCCTTTTTTGAACCTTCACGTGTGAATTTGAGTAATGGTTTTGAAACTTCTGTGTTTATATAATTTTTTTTTTTCTTTCTCTGGGTTTTTGGATTTGTTGTTAACTGGATATAGTTTCTTATAGTGATTTTTTTTTTTTCGATTTTAGTTCTTTATGCTATTTGATATCTAATGCAATTGCTGTAGACGAATTTAGTACAATATTATTATTATTTTTTTTTTTACACCTTGTTTTTGGTGTATCTTGCAAAAAATTAAAATAAAAAAATTTAAGAGATTATTTCTATACACACAAAAGGTAAAATAATAATTTAATTTTTTTTTTTCTTTCTCTGGGTTTTTGGATTTGTTGTTAACTGGATATAGTTTCTTATAGTGATTTTTTTTTTTCGATTTTAGTTCTTTATGCTATTTGATATCTAATGCAATTGCTGTAGACGAATTTAGTACAATATTATTATTATTTTTTTTTTACACCTTGTTTTTGGTGTATCTTGCAAAAAATTAAAATAAAAAAATTTAAGAGATTATTTCTATACACACAAAAGGTAAAATAATAATTTATTTATTATCTTTTACTTTCTTTTTTCTATTATATTTTATTCAAACAAAAATATTATCAATTATTTTCTTTTCTTTCCTATTTATTCAAATATGAATATAAATTATAACTATTATTTTCTTTTTCTCATGACTAATGTTTTTCTTTCCTTTCTCTATTGTGTATTGAGTTTGTATCAACTACCCTTTTAATAAATATTGGTTTGTTTGACCTAAAAGTTTTTTTATTTTTATTTTTTTGGTTGGGCAAGACATACCTATTTCTTAGAAGTTTTAAAAATATAAAAAATAAAAATAGAAAAAGTACAAATAAAAAAAATAATAGGAAGATGATATTGATAAGAATCGGGACACTCGCTAGATAAAAATGAATTGACTATACAGTACTCCGTACTATCGAAGGGGGGTGATTTGAGGAGGAAGAAAGAACAGAAGAGCACTTCTGCTTCCGGGTGGTTACAGGTTACTTCCCGCAGAAGGTTCTCTACGCAATAAAAAAATTCTCTCTCTCTCTCTACAACAACGAAGCAAATATATAAAGAAACTCGTGTAGTCGCAGTATGCCTATAATAGTAATATACAAAGGGTTTCGTGATTAACTTGTTCTTAGAGATTTCTATGTAAATCTCTCCCTCTCCCTCTCCCTCTCCCTCTCCCTCTCTTCCTGTCTCTTCACGTAACCGATTCGCTTGTATCTCGCCGGCAGTTGAACGTTGCCTTTGAATTGTTTTCTATACTTATCTTGCTTGGTCTGATTTGGTTGTGTTCAAGAAATCCCTTCGGTTGTCTTTGATATTTATCGTTTGGGGTTTCGTTCTTTGCTTGCAGGAATTGATTGATTCATTTATTTGTTAAAAATAAATTTAAGGTTGGATGGTGGAAAAAAGTTAGGGTTTTGATGATTAATCGTTGGTGGGTGTGTTGAAAATTTGGTTGTTCTTTTAGATATTTATGGTGGCCGGGGGACGACAATCAGAGCATATTGATAATTTTTTTTTGGGTTTGTCTGGAAATTTGGACTGATTTAGCGGATTTCCATGTTGGGTTGGAGAAATTAGGGTTTTGTTGGGGTCAAAGTGTATAATTTGTTTTCATCGATAAAATCCTTGGCGGGTCTGTCGGGATTTGGGCTGCTGGTTTTGCAGATATTAGTGGTAGGTTGGAGATAATTGGGGGCTTATCAAGGATTAAGGTCTAGAAGTGGGAAATTCTCTATTTCGGTGAGGGTATTTCTGGGAAGTGGTGAATTGGCTTATCTATGTTCATCCTCGAATTGGGTCAGTGGGCGATGGTTTGACACGAGCTGAGAGGTTTTTCTGGCAATTTGAGGATTCGGACATCAGATTCTGGGTGTGTGTTTGCGCAGGGGTATTGGACCATTGGTGGTTTGTTTTTGATCATTTGTGGTTGATTTGTTGATTGGGTTAAGATGAGTTCCAATGTTTCTGAAGGTGTAATTCAAAGGGGCAAGCTTCTTGTCCATATTGCCGAGAATGGACAATCATTTGAACTCGACTGCGATGAATATGCACTTGTTGAGGTGGTCCAGCAATTCCTGGAATCGGTGTCTGGGATTCAGTTTAATGACCAGCTACTTTTATGTCTGGACATGAAACTTGAGTCTCAGCGGCCACTTTCCGCATATAATCTTCCATCTGATGACCGAGAAGTGTTCTTATTCAATAAAGGAAGAATGCGAAGTAACTCAATGCCTCCTGCGCCTGAGCAAGTTGAAATTCTTGAAATTGCAGACCCTCCATCACCATCCTCCCACAAACCTCACCCTTTGGATGATGCTTCAGACCCTGCTCTAAAGGCTTTACCTTCTTATGAGAGGCAATTCAGGTACCATTACCAGCGTGGGCATGCAATTTATAACCGTTCCCAACTCACATTTGAGACTTGTGAAAGGCTTTTGAGAGAGCAAAAGGTACAGGAGAGGGCACTAGAGATTGCTCGAGGTAATTTGGATCATTTCTATAGGATGATTCTCCAAAATTACTTGGATTTCATGAAGTGTTACTCACAGCAGCACCGGAGCCATTCCATTCTTCTGGTGAACTTTGTGAGGGATCTAGAGAAATTGAAATCTTGCAAACTTCTCCCTACTTTACAGACCGCTAATCGCAAGTGCTTACTAGATTTTGTGAAGGAGGACATCTTGCGGAAGTCGGTGGACGATTGTAGCAGTTCCCACCGGCAGTTTGATAACAAGGTTTCAGAATTTAAGCAGGAGTTTGCAGAACTAAAGCGCAGTGCTGAACATTTGTTTTCTAGCAAAGCTTCATTTCTTATTAGGGATTTGGAAGTTACTATTAAGGAGCACCAGCGATATATTAATGAACAGAAATGTATAATGCAGGCTTTAAGGTTCTCTCTCTCTCCTTCCTTGTCATATCAGAGGCGTTCAAACTCCTGTTGTTTATTTTTGTTGTTCATTTTGTCTATTAATATGACCTTTGGGTTTGTTTGAAATTTTTATATGGTTCAACAGCCTATTTCCTTGATCAATAATTCAATACGGTTGGTGGTCACATTGAAACTTTGGTGCTGCTATTTAGTAGTCATACCATCTTTTTTCCCTTCTCCTTTTTTTAATAATCCTTTTTGAAGCATAATGCAGTCGTTTTGTCATTAATAATTGATTGTGGAAATTTGTATCTAATTGGTGCATTGAACATTCTCCCATTTGTACATTTCATGCACATCTGGGTGAAGCTTGTGATGCTGAATGGTGTGATACTGTCGTTGCACAGATTTTTTGTCTATTATTTTAAGTAATTCTCTTACAGACTTGCATATGTGCTTGTACATTGTTTTTCTTTCCATTATGTGCATTGGCAATTATTCTTTGTATGAGGGTCAAAAAGTCTTATGCGGTATATGGTACTTAATTATCCCACAGGTACCCTTCAATCTAATTGGTATTATGGTTTTGTCTATGTATTCTTGACACTCATGTTCATGGAGGTCAAACAGTCGGTGCGTTTGAATCAAAGGTTGGAACGAAAGGAAAGGAGAGGATATGTGTTCTTAGGAATCCACTATCTATGCTTGGGACCTCTGCATTTACTATGTCTAGAAGTTAACCTAAGTTTTTTTTTTTGAGTTGTTTTGAATTGCAAAAGACTCATCTTAGGGCCTTAGGTTTTGAATGTAAAGTGAAAATACATTGGAATTGTTAAATAAAGAAGCCCTAGGTTCCGAAAGGTTTAAGATAAATAGGATTACAACTAAATATATGGAATGTTAATGTAATCCTAGATAAACTAGAGATAAAAATAGGGATTTATTGAAGATTGAGGGTCAAGAGATATCAAAAAGTGAACAACCTAGATTGATTATTCACAGAGGGGGAGAGATTGGATGAGTTACATGGAGGAATGCTTATGGTATATTATGCAATCAATTTATACCTTTAAAATTAAAAGCAAAACTTTTTAAAATGGTTTAGACAAGTTTTAGTTTATAAACATAATGTTGCGTGATTAAGAAACAAGTTGTTTATAAAATGAGATTAGTTAAAATGTGGATGTTGAGATGGTTGTGTGGTAATAGAAAAAAGGATAAAGTTATAAATGATTGTCATGGATGTTGAAGTAATAAAATGAGAGAAAATCAATTAAGATGTTTCGTCATTTGCAACCAAGATTTACTAAGTGCACCAATAAGGAAGAGTATTGTGGCCTATATGATGGTAATGTTTGGAAAAGGAGACTAAAATTTACATGGACTGAGATAGTAAAGAATGATAGGATCGTGTATGATTTAAATGAAATAATGCTTTAGATAAAGTAGAATGGTGAAACAGGATATATGTAGTCAAACCCAAAAGTCCCAAATATATCCTGTTTCACCATTCTATTTTATCTAAAGCATTATTTGAGCAGTTTGCCTCCTGATGCGCGTCCTTTCCAGGGTTGGAATTTTGACTCATTTGATTCATATAGAATTGTTTATGGGGGTTAGGAGAGGGTATTCTTCCAGATGACTTAATCGGGAGGGATTCTCGGGGTTTTATTATTGATTGACACTTCTGGTGCCACGTTTGGGAACTGAGATGCAAGTAGTGAACTGCACATCCTTATTGGTGGAATGTTAGTTGATAGTTTTGACAGTATCGAAGTTGTGCGAAACGAAGAAAGAATGATGAAAATAAAGGAAAAAGAAGTTGCAGTTATGGGCCAGAATTGGAAACCATTTAAAAACTGGCAAGGTGCTATTATGAGAATGGAAGAGGCGAAGAATAAGGAATGGAATTTTGATGATGGTGCTATTACCATCCGCCATGTGAAATTTATTTTTATAGATCCAGCTGAACATTTATTGGAGAAAGGTGACAAGTACTATTGGACCTTTACTTGCACTGGTAAATTTTAGTACAAGCTTTGTTTAGATTCTAACTTTGTAGAGCATGCTGCCATTGCTTCAGATGACCGAGTGCTGTTCATAAACTCATTTTCCAATCTACTTCGGTATGTGCACCGAAGGATTTATCTTATTTTAATCTGAACCTAATTGCAGATTTCAACAAGCAATGCACAAATTTCTACCAATGATGGAAACCGTATATCATCATTTGCCCATATCAAACATTTATTTTCTTAATAAGGCCTTTTTGAACAGAGCATTAGATAAGAGGTTATTAAAGCATCGTATAATGACAATTTTTTTTTTATATTCTCAGTCTTACATCGCAAATTATTCCTAGAAGCCAAACCCGAACAACTTAGCTAGATTACCTAATGTTCCTAAACAAGCCATATCCATATGGTAGATATTTGTAAAAGAACTCTTCGTTAGTTAATGCCTACAAAGTCAGTTGTTGTCATCAGCTGCGATAAGTTTTCTAGTTCTGCATCAGATATCTGGAGATGTCAAGTTAGTAGTGCCTTGTTCATACTAGTGGCTGAAGGATCCCCAGGCTGCTTCATTCTTTGCTTTCACATACTACCTATTTCAGAACTATGATATTTAAGTGTATACTCTTTCCCTTTCTATAAAAACTCATCTGAATCTTATGGATATGGTTTTAGTGACTAAAAATGTTTTTTCTTTGATGATGGTGCATTGTGGCTTATGTAGGAAATATGTAAAGTTAGTTATTCTTCTCTAGTTTTCTCTGATTCAAGGATTTATGAACTTCTATTTTTCTCAATAAATAAGGGTTTATGAACTGAATAGTTTTACATCATACCTTTTTTTGGTGGATCTTAATTAAAAAGGCACGGGGAGCAACTCATTTACATGTGCAAACAAACCAAGTTCCTTCCAAAAGTCTCAAATCACCTTGAAGTTCTAGAAAAAAAAAAATAATAATAAAATCCAAAATCTTCCTTAAACCCAAAACTGGAAGTGTTTAAAACCAGGATTATTAACTTGGCCACCAGCACAGACAACATTCTGAATATCACTTATGCTTGTATCAACAATTACTTCTCTTCATAGTTTGTACTACTGTACTAAATGTAATATTTTGCCTTTATGTGGTGTGGTATAACATCTTTATAACTGGAAAATGTAATTTATCCCACTCACTAAAACACAGTTATAATAATGCAGCAAAGATGTCAATACGGTGAAGAAACTTGTGGATGACTGCCTGTCAAGCTCATTGTCCTCTTCTCTGCGTCCTCACGATGCAGTTTCAGCATTAGGTCCCATGTATGATAGCCATGACAAGAATTACCTTCCTAAGATGCAGTCTTGTTACCGATCAATTTCTGATCTGCTTGGTTTCTGCAAGGATAAAAAGACTGAAATGAATGTCTTTGTGCACAATTACATGCAAAAGATAGCATATATTCAATACACCATTAAAGATGTACGATACAAGTTTTCTGTTTTCACTGAGGCAATGAAGCGTCAGAATGATCAATTTGAATACTTAAAGGTGGTCCGTGGGATTGGTCCTGCCTACAGAGCATGCCTTGCTGAAATAGTTAGAAGAAAGGCTTCAATGAAGCTCTACATGGGCATGGCTGGACAATTGGCTGAAAGGCTTGCAACAAAAAGGGAGGTTGAGGTCAGAAGACGTGAAGAGTTTCTGAAAGTACATAGTTCATATATACCTAGGGACATTTTAGCATCAATGGGATTGTATGATACTCCTAGCCAATGTAATGTCAATATAACTCCTTTTGACACTGATTTGCTTGATATTGGCATATCAGACATAGACCGTTTTGCTCCCGAGAATTTAGCAGTGCTGTCTTCTAAAAGTGAGAAGCATGGATCTTTAAAAGGTTCATTTTCTATGTCTAATGATAGTTCTCATTCAGCTGAAGTTGAAGAAAGTGCCGTGGACTCCCCTGAGAAACATGATTTTGAGGAGCTCCTTGAGGTTTCGGACTTGGTGGAGATTGCTGGAACCAGTAAGCTGGAAGTTGAGAATGCAAAACTGAAGGCTGAACTTGCTTCTGCTATAGCCCTGATATGTTCCTTCAGTCCCGAAGTTGAATATGAATCTCTTGATGACAGTAAAGTGGACAATTTACTCAAAAATGCAGCAGAGAAGACAGCGGAGGCCTTGCATTTGAAAGATGAGTATGTGAAACACCTCCAATCGATGCTAAAGAGTAAGCAAATGCAGTGTGAGTCATATGAGAAGCGCATTCGAGAATTGGAACAGAGGTTGTCTGATCAGTATTTGCAAGGGAATAGGCTTTCAATCGATAAGGACAGGTCAAACTTTGATCTTTCAGCTGTGAAGGCCGATGATAGCAAGTCAGAGATCTCAGGTGATGGGGAAGCCCACATGCCTTACATGTCCAGTGAACCCATGGATGAGATTTCTTGTGCCTCCAATTCTTTACATGGAAAATTAGGGTTTTTGGGTAAAGAATCAGGAAAAGTCCGAGAAGGGCTGGATGAGAATATGACAGATTCTTCTGCAATGCTAAATCCTCAGCTAGATTCATCAATGCTAGATCCACATCGTGATGAAGTGCATGCCAATGACAAAGATGGAAAAGATACAGTGGTGGCAGATGTAGGCATGGCGCTGGCAACCAGCGCCACTGGTGATAGCATATTGCAGCCTCTGAATGCTTTACCTTCTGACACAGCTGTTGAAGCTGGCTTGGATTCTAAAATTAACAGTGATCTTGTGCTGGAATTGCGAGGTGCACTTGCAGACAAGTCAAATCAACTTGGTGACATGGAAACTAAATTGAAAGCAGTAATGGAGGAGGTTGCCAAACTTGGGAGAGAGCTGGAAATCAATCAAAAACTCCTGGATGAATCTCAGGTATTACTGATAAAAATGCAAATTTTCTCCGCATCATTTTGGTTTCTCCTGAGAAGTGCGTATAAATTAATTGAACCATGCTTATGAGAACTTCTTTTGGTTTCATTTTAGTACTAAATTTATCTACTTTTATACATTGATATATCGATTGTGCTAAACTGGGAGATTTCTTGAGGTGGTTGATTTATTTTTCAAGAAGTTTAAATATGAATGAATATTCTGTTAGATTTAAGAGATTGCCTCTATTTATAATCTTACCATGAATGATTTGGTTGTCCTAGTCTTGTGTGCCCCTGTTAGGTCATTCTATTGTCTTTTCTGCTCTGTTTGGGGTTGTTGATCTGATTGCTGATTTGAAATTGAATCCCCCCTCCCCACCACCACCAAGCCCTCCAAATTAAGAGAAGGAAGAAAAGCAGAATACACCACATATTCTGGATATATGTATATATTTCTAAAATCATATTGTAGCAGCTAAATGCTTGTTTTGGAGTGAAGTACCACCTAAAGTTGCTAGTCCATGATGTATCTCCAAAAAATACACCCATGTATGTCATATGAATTCATTTAAGTCTCACTTCCATGTAATGTGCCCAGAACTGAACTGGAGCTTTGTATGCCACTTGCAAGATATATGGGTATGATAGGGTTGTTTTCTAATATTATTTAATTGGAAGTGTAACTAGTGCGCAAATTGTGGCAGGGTTTCTTTGTGACTGGTGCATACTGTTATACTACCTTATTCTCAGTTATTTTTTTATAAAAAAACCATGAAAATTCTAAGCCTTGCCACCAAGTAAGTGATTCCAGGCATCATTGTTTTCATGAATCTTAATGTTTCCTTGTACCAATAAGTTAAATATGATAATTAATAATATGAGCCTCAGAATTGTCTACGGGTCATTTTTGCCACCTTTTTCTAATTCAGTGTCTGTGCCATTGTTACCCATTTTAAATAAAATGACTCGTTAAAGAAGGTGCCGAAGGGGGCAGAACCTTTCAACCTGAGTACACAGGACGAATAGAAAACAGAACTACACAACCCTGTACAAAGTCCAGAATTGCTCTATAGAGGGTCTGCCCTCACTTTAAGTTTTAACCCAACTATTTAAGACTCCCCAAAACTCGCTTTTAGAAGAAATATAAAAAGAAGAAGAATGAGAGAATTGTGTAAAGGCTTGAATGAGATAAATCACTCGTTCACATCTCTAGTATTTATAGATAAAAAGAGCACATTTTCATATTACAAGAAAGGAAATTAAATCAAATCTAAATCAAATCAAAGCAAAGCATATTCTATGGCATAATCAAATCTCTGCTAATATGGCAAGTCATCCAAAAATCGTGGCTATCATATCTACCAACCCTCCCCCTTAAGTTGGCGCGTGGATATCTCAAACGCCCAACTTGGACAATGCATTCTCAAACACAATCTTGTTGACGCCCTTTGTAAGAATGTCTGCAAGCTGCTGAGAGCTTGTGACAAATGGAGTGCAAATTTGACCAGATATGATCTTCTCACGAATGAAGTGACGGTCCTCCTTTATATGCTTAGTTCTGTCATGCTAAACAGGATTTGCTGTTGTGCTAATGGTAGACTCGTTGTCACAGTAAAGTGAGAATGGAAGCGACACTGGAAGGCACAAGTCTGTCATCAAAGTTTTCAGCCATAGCAACTCACATACCCCAAGAGTCATAGCCCTATACTTTGCCTCTGCACTAAATCGAGAGACAACATCTTGCTTCTTACTGCATTAGGTAACCAAGTTGCCACAATAGTGGTACAATATCTTGAAGTGGACCTCCTATTTGAAACTGATCCTGCATAATCAGCATCTGTTCGAGCCTCAACACGTAAGTAACCATGATTGGAAAACAAAATACCACAGCCCGGACACCTTTTTAAGTAACGAAGGATCCGAATAGTTGCATCAAAGTGAGGGGTACGAGGAGAATGCATGAATTAACTCACGACACTCATGGCATAAGCAATGTCATGTCGAGTCATGGATAAATAGACGAGCTTCCCAACAAGTCATTGATAATGACCAACATCCGACAATAACTACCCCTCAGAATCAACCAAACGATGATTCTGCTCAATCGGAATATCAGCAAGACGAGCGCCAAGCTGACAAGAAGCAGAAAGCAAATCAAGAACATACTTGAGTTGAGAGATGAAAATGCCAGCCTTGGAGTGAGCCACCTCAATGCCCAAGAAGTACCAAAGGGGACCAAGATCCTTAATCTCAAATTGATGGCCAAGATAGCTCTTAACCTCAGCAATTCCGGCAGTATCATCTCCCGTAAGAACAATATCATTGACATACACAATGAGAGCAAATGTCTTTTCGCCTGCATGACAAGAACAAGGTATGATCAGTTGCACTATGATGGAAACCAAATCGGAGCATGGCAGTGCCAAAGTGATTAGACCAAGCTCGAGGAGATTGTTTGAGGCCATACAAGGAGCGACGAAGACGATAGACCATACTGGAATAAGCAGGAGAACGATTGGCCGGAGGGGGAACCATATAGCCCTCTTCCTGCAAATCATCATTGAGAAAGACATTCTTGACATCTAATTGAAATAGAGGCCAAGATCGAATTGCAGCAACGGAACATAATACACGGATGGTATTCATCTTGGCAACCAACCGGGCCTTGTAACGAGCAATTATGCTTAACTGCAAACACTCAATGACAACCCACAGCCTTCCGTCCAATAGGAAACGGAACCATGTCCCAAGTCTGATTTTTCTCAGGTGCTTGTAGTTCTTTTGTCATAGCATCACGCCATTGAGGTTGTGTTAGGGCATTTGCAACACTAGAAGGAAGAGGAACCGAGGCAACAAAAACAAGAAAACTCCGATAGAAGGGTGAGAAAGCATAATCAAAAACAAAATTAGAAACAGGGTAAGTGCAAGAACATTTACTCTTCTTTTTTTTTATAAGTAAAATTTTATAAAGAAAGCACTCAGAAGGGGAGCGAAACTCAAAGACAAATAAAAGGCCATTTACTCTTCTGAAGAGCAATGGGGCGATCATCAAGCGAAACAATAGCTTGAGAAGGCGGAGCTGGTGCCAAAGGAACGAGGTAGTCGATCGTGGGAGTAGAAGCTTGTACCTATTGTCTCCGACTATAAACCTATGGAAAAGGAACAATTCCCCCTGCTGGAGGGGTATCACGAGGAGGAACAATAGAAAAGACGAAATAGGCAAAGGTAGAGGAGTTGAAGACGGAAGAAGGTGATCATCAATTGTGTTAAATGGGAACCATTCACTTTGAGAACCAACTGAACCACTATAGTATGGTGTATGCTCAAAAAAAGAAACATCCATGGATATAAACTGCCGACGACTAGGAGGATGGTAACACCTATAACCTTTTTGAGAGTGAGAATAATCTAAAAACACACACTTCAAAGTCTTGGGGTCAAACTTTGTACGAGTCTGCCCTATTTGCTGAACAAAGCACACACACCCAAAGACTTGTGGAGGAATTAAAAAAAAAAGATGAATTGGGATGTAAGATTGAAAGTGGGGCTGCAAAGTTAAGAGCTATAGAAGGGGTCCTATTAATGATGTAGACAGCTGTAAAAATTGAGTGAACAAGATCAAAAGGTGTTAAAGATTTATTACAACTAGCAGGATAATTGGAACGAACATGTTTAGCCAGGTGGCACGTCTAACAGGATAAATCTGAGACTGCCACGTTACAAAAAAAGGAAGGAAACAAATGTTTTAAATGACCAAAAGAAATATGTCCTAAACGCATGTGCCAACGCATAAGCTGAGCTTTATTAGATGAAACAGAATTAGAAAAAGAAACTGAATGTGCTTGAGGTGACAAAGGAGCATCCAACAGGTATAGGCCGTCCACTTCACGCCCACTGCCAATCCTCCGTTTTGACACCAGCTCCTGAAAGATACCGTGAGAGGGAAAGAATGTTACAGTACAATTTAATTGTTTAGTAACGCTACTAACAAAAATAAGATTTGTAGTTAACTGTGGAACATGAAGTGTATCGGACAAAGTTAATGAAAGAGTAACTGATATGTGAGCCTTCCCAGCAATGGAAGATGGAGAGTTATCCGCAAAGCGTACCTTGCAATGGCCAGAGCATATACTATAAGATTGGAAGAATGAGGACATACCAGTCATATTGTCTGAAGTACCAGAATCAATGATCCATGGTGTCGAAGATGTAGATACGTTCTGTGCAGACACAATAATACCTAAGTGGGCATAAGTTGAGTTTGGCTGAGATTGAAGAATTGTTTGAAGTTGTCCAAATCAGCTTAAGTCAAGCTAACTGTGGTAGAAGATGACGAGACAGAGTTATCAAAAGTTGACAACGAGACTGGCTGTGTAACAGAATATGCAGATGATCGAGACTGTTGTTTTTGTTTTGGTGGGCGTCCATTTAGTGCATAACAACGAGATTTGATGTGATGAATTTTCCCGCAATGGTCACACCGCCCACGTCGTCGTCTCAGGGGAGGACCAATGGTAGAATTCTGAATTGATTGGGATGGTGCAGTTCCTAAAAGGCTGGGAACACGAACTGACATAGCATAACGATCAACAGAAGCAACGCCTAATGGATGAATTCGACGGCTCCATCTGACAACACAATAGGAATATGCATTCTCAAGAGTAGGGAATGAAGATAAGCCCAGTAAATGAACACGAGCTTACTCAAACTCATCGTTTAACCTAACAAGAAACTGAAACACTCGATTCTTCTCCACAATCCCTTCATATAAAACTGCATCATCTGGATCCTTCCAAGAGTGGAAGGAATCATAATATGACATCTCCCCTCAAATAGCACGAAACTTGGAGATGTAACCTGAAACTGTCAAGTCACCTTGAGAAATCCTGGCAATATCTCACCCTTATTGGAAAATTCGTGCATTATTGTGCCTCTGAGAATAATTGCGTTGAACTGAATCCCAAATCTGCTTAGCAGTCTTCATAAACATATAGCCAATCATCGAATTGACTAGCCAAGACATAACCATAGCGTTATCTGCAAATCTCTGTGGATATCCCTCTCTGACTCAGCTAGCTCTTTGTCAGAACCAGTAATATAGCCAATCTTGCCCTTGCCACCAATGAACATCTTGGTAGATTGTACCGAAATCAAATAGTTGGAGCCATCCAACTTCACTGTGGTGATTTGAAATTTTGAAGTTCTAGATTTTCTGATGAGTTGGTGGGAAAAATGGCACCACCACCCACAGAACTTGAGCCAAGAGAATTTATAGTTGAGGATCCTATACAGACTTTTTCAAGGAGTGTTGCCCGCTTACATATAGCCGGATAGCCTCCTGCTCAATATCCGGAACTTCTCTGTAGACTCAAAAAAAAAAAAAAAAAAAAAAAAAATTTACCCAAGCCCTTCTAGGTGTTGGAGGCCAACTATCCCAATTTACCCAACCCTAGAAGAGTAAAAAAGAAATTATAAAGCTTAAAAATACCTGTTTTCAATTACAAAACAACAACACAAATAATCATGTGTAGGCAACGTCACACGATGTCGCAACAACCTAAGGTGGTTGTCGCACAAGTAGCAAGGCGGTTGAAAGGTGTGCAAATGTGTTGGCTCTGATACCAAGAAGAAATATAAAAAGAAGAAGAAGAGAGAATTGTGTAAATGCTTGAATGAGATTAATCACTCATTCACAACTCTAATATTTATAGATAAAAAGAGCACATGTGCATATTGCAAGAAAGAAAATTAAATCAAATCAAAGCATATTCTATAGCACAATCAAATCTCTGCTAATATGGTAAGTCATTCCATAAATCTTGACTAACATATCTGCCAACACTTTTTAACCTGTAAATGGGCTTTTCCATCTCATCAAAATGATATAATTTCCTCTCCCCTCAAATACGCCAAATAAGAGTAAGGGGAACTGCATTCCAAGTCTTCCTCCATTTCCTCTCTACGCTGCTGCCTCTCCAATCTGAAAAACTCAAGGACTGTCCTGTGGAAAATACTCGAATGATCCTTGACAATTTTGAAACACTTTTTTTTTTTTGACAAGTAACAATTTTAAAACACAACCAAACATCTCTAGCAACCATACAGTGAATGAGGAGATGCTCAACCACTTTGCTTCTCTTTTGGGAATAAATTTTCCCTCTCAAATAACTTATCAATCGTCAGAATCTTTTAATGAGTGGCCGTCTATGCAAAGACACCCACAATGGTAGGAACAGTTCACAGTTGGCTTTCCAAATGGCTCTCCAAGGATTTTTGGAGGATCCCAATAAGCATGTGTAATAAGATCTCACATTGCCTCCACTCCGTATAATCTCTGAAATAACTTCACCTCTACTTAGTCTTCCTATAATTATGACTATGCAAAGCTGCACCTACCACTCTTAGTTTCCTAATCAACCACAAGGCTGCTGAAGGAAAAGATACTTGTAGTGACACCTTCTCGCACCCATCCTCATCCCGCCAACATTTAGCACTATCTTCAGTCTCTACTAAAAAGTGATTGTTTTTTAGCGAATTTCACTCTTTGCTCCCAATGTACTTTTTTATACTACTTTCACTCTTTGCTCCCAATGCACTTTAAACTACGACTGGACAGGGAATGTTCCAACTCTTGCGTAGTTTGCTTCTGTTCATGCAGTATTACTAAGAATCTATGAGAAGTATAACTTATCAAAAAAAAAAAAGAATCTATGAGAAGTATAAAAAGTCCCTTAATTTAAGTCATTAAGCATATCACATTATAACTCCCCTTACCTGAAGCATATGTCTCCCCACTAAAAAGAATTATTTTTTTCCCCTATTCGATACTTTTGTGCAAACATCACCCAATTGACAACAGATCCTAATAGGTTACCATCTATTGTCATAAAAGAACCTCTCAAAAATGATAGTAACCTCAGGTTCTCAACATGCTTGGTTGCTTATGAATTATTGAAACGCAAATATGGAGAAATAGAGAGGGAACGAGAGGGAAGAATGACAGTTAATAACCATGATGGGCTGGCTCCTCTGTTTACATATTATTACTATGATATATGAGAAGTACACATATATACCCCTCAATTTTAACCCATTACATATATATTTTTTAACAGGTTCACCATCCAAAGTTAATGGCTTCAATGTAAATAGAAGAAGAAGAATCTTTGCATTGATGTAGGCAATATGATGTAGAATCTTTGCATTGAGTGTTAATTTTCATGATATTGGTGTGACAAATCTGTAGTGGTTGGAGAAGGTTTAAAAAGGTCAACCATTAACCTAGGGCACATTTTGTGCCATTCCTTTTCAATTAAATCTCACGTTCACTTCTTATTTTAATTTATCTTTCCAAATATCTACATTAATTTATAAGACAAAACACTTTATAATTGTCCCTTTGTGCTAAGTTTGTAGTTTAGGAATGGACAATTAAACACTTCCATGCTTGACTTGGTGACACGAGTCATGCATAAATAAACCAAAGAAACTTTTGTACTAGTCATAGTTCAGAAATAAATTTGTACACCTTCATCCCTTATTTTAACTAGTTTTTAAATATTTATCAACATCTGTTTTTTAATACACTTTAGCATTGTACCTGTATGCTTAGTTTGTAGGTAAAGATTAGATAATTAAACACTTCCACATGTGACTTAAGGATGTGAGCCCATGCAGCATTTATATAATGCTGCATGGTTAAGAATGACATTTGGTTATACAAATGCGATTGCTTGCCCTTTACAGAAACATTTATTCCATGCACTTATTCATGTGGACAACTAATTTGATTCTATTATATAGATGAATTGTGCTCACTTGGAGAATTGCCTGCATGAGGCAAGAGAGGAAGCCCAAACCCATCTTTGTGCAGCTGATAGGAGGGCCTCAGAATATAGTGCATTACGTGCCTCTGTTGTAAAAATGCGCGGCCTTTTTGAAAGATTGAGAAACTGTGTTTCTTTGCCTGGGGTGGCTGGCTTTTCTGAATCCTTGCGTGCTCTAGCTCAATCATTGGCCAAGTAGGTTGCTAAACTCAGATTCTAGTGTTTCCTTATCACATTAACATTTGAGGTTTGATAATTGATTTCATATACCTATTCTTTATTCCATGCTTTAATTTGGGTATTCATCTTAATTGCAAAAGGAAAGAGAAGGTTAAGTTGAGTAATACTATATGGGTTGGTAGAATGGATCTATCTTATTGGAATTTTGACTGGTGTTGGTATAATGAATCTGTCTTATATTGGAATTTTGACTGGTGGAAATTGAATCTGCAAAAGATGTTTTTTTTTTTTTCTTTTCTTTTCTTTCCAATCAGTATTTATAAGACAACTAATTGGTGTGATTGAGGATTTTTCCTACTTGTTCTGTTAGAACATTGAGGTTGCAATATTTGACTTCCAATAGCAAATATGAGTGACTCCCATCTACCTATTGCATCGTTATGTGGGTATCTCTATTAGTCGAAGTCATTGCACTTAGCTTCCGTTGCCTTTCTAGGATCAGATGCTGGTGATTTACCTGGCTAAGCAGTTTCTTACTTGGCCGATACCTTAACTGCTTTAATAATAACTTAATCTATTGAATTGAATCATTGACTAATCCTTGGAAATTAGAAATCAGGGATGATATTGGGAGTTCAATTTTTGTGCTTCTCATACCAGCTGGTAGAGGCTATTATGCATTGGAGGATGAGATTTGAGCCCTTTCAGAATAGGTGTTAGAAAAGTTTGTGGCTTGAACTTGCAGCATATTGAGGGTGGGGATGAGATGGGTGTGCTCAAGGTTTCTTACCCCTTCGTGCTGCTCTCACCTAATGGGGAAGACCTTGATTTTCCACCTCCTTTTTGGAGGTGGAGATTGGATAATCCTTACATCAATCAATGAGAGAGCTGACTCGCTGGCCAAAAGAAGGGGTCACTTCTTTGGTGTGTAAGAGGCCATTTCTACCCTCCATTGAATTAGGTAGCCATTGGGATTATCTTGGTTTATGTATCCTTTGGATATCCATCTTCTATGTTTCATTAGTGGGTCTTCTCTTCTTTTGTTGTTCAGAGGAATCGCTCATTTTTTTTTTTTTTTCAGCAACAATAAATTGTTGTAGTTTCTTACTGAAAAATGGCTGAACTCATTACTATTTTAGATAACAAATCAAGAAACATTAAATCCCTTAGCCTTAAATGCATTAATATTGAAATTCTCCGGTAGCTGTCATAATTGCATTGCTAGCATATTGTTCTGCGAGGGAGATGTCAGATGAGGAGAACAGGTTTTCTAGAATATCCCCTTCTTGGTCATCGGGTTTTTCTGAATAGATGAAACAGAAGAGTGTGGAAAGAATAGAAGAGAATAAATATGTAGGCTCACATTCAATCTCCTCAGAAGAGGGGTGATATAGTGTTATTTGGAGTCGGAGAACTGCAGCATTTTCGCACAAAGTCCACACAATATTTAAGGGCTTGAGTGAGTCGATCCTTTTCCATATTTCCTAATTTTCTACCTTTGCTCCATATAATAACTGTCAAAAAATGTTGAGCATGTTCTCTATTCTCATATATGTATTTGTCTTTGTTGTACCTATTAAAGCAAATGTTGCCTTCTCGTCTTAACTGATGATTGATGAACCAGTCAATGTGTCAAATTGGTTCAATGCTGGAAACAAAATTTATAATCCGTTGAAATCAAGAAACTTGAGATAAGGGGCATTTTTCATTGCAATCTGGATATATTGAGACTTGAGATTGATGGGCTCAATTGTTTTTATTTAGTTTTTTGAACCAATTATGATAAAGAAGTTGAATGAGGATTAAATTGCTTTTCCATTGTGATTTTCAATCCTGCTAGTAACAATGAAGATGATGGTACCGCTGAATTCCGAGAATGCATACGGGTACTTGCTGATAAAGTTGGTATCTTGTCGAGGCATCGTGCAGAGCTGCTTGACAGGTACTCGAAGGCCGAGACTGCAATTGAACAGCTCAACAAGGTTTTGGAAGAAAAGAAAGAGTTGGTCAACACTTTGTACATGAAGCATCAGCTTGAGAAGCAGGTAAGTTGCTAAGGTTGATTTATGGCATTGTTACCGTTTACAATGACTTGTGGTAGTATCACAACATAATTAAATTGGAGTGGATGTTTCTGCTGGAAATTTTTTTCCATCGTAATTGCGCAATTGATACATCCCAATATTAAATATTTGGAGTCATAATGTGAGGAGAATTCTTGTGGTATATGTTTACGACATAACAGATATGTGGCTGACAAACGTATTGGGAAGTTCTGCCCAATTGTAGGCTTACTTCTACAAAGCATGCATGGTCACTGAAAACTGGCTGCCTTTTTAACTGCATTTGATGGGTATTTTTAGGGAAAAATTTAAAATCACTCATCATATTTGTCTGGAAACTGGATCCTCGTGACTTTCTGAAATGTGAAAATTTGTTTAAGGCCCTTCTTTGGCTCCAATTGAAGGTTATGTCGACCTTTGTTGCTAAATATGTTTAGAAGAAGAAAATGGTTTGCATCTTCACTCTTGTTTGATAACCTCTATATGAAGATCTGATAATTTTTTTATCCCTCAAGGACGTATTTTGTTGTTGATCAATTACCAGACCATTTTCGTTCCTCTTACTTGTCTATTTTGTAATAGGCAAACAAGGAGAAGATATCTTTTGGCCGCTTGGAAGTCCATGAGATTGCTGCATTTGTCCTTAATTCTACTGGGCATTATGAGGCCATCAATCGGAACTGTCCTCACTACTACCTGTCGGCCGAATCAGTAGCTTTGTTCGCAGACCATCTTCCAAACCGGCCTACTTATATTATTGGGCAAATTGTGCATATTGAACAACAAACTGTGAAGCCACTGCCTCCCACTTCTGTTCGACCTGAGTCTGCCAGGGGAGATAGCATTGAATTCATTACTCCAGAACCGGGAACTAATCGGTTGACCTTGAATCTGGGATCAACTTCAAACCCATATGGTCTACCTGTTGGCTGTGAGTACTTTGTAGTGACAGTTGCGATGTTGCCTGACACCACCATTCATTCGCTGCCGCCTTCCTGATCTTGCTAATGGTAGATGGACGTGATGGAAGAAACTAAGTGTACATATATAAATAATATAGCATGTTAACTGTTGGTGGGAGTTTAAGTTGGTTTACTTTCTGTACAGCTAATTATCAATTAAGTTAATTCTCCCCTTTGTACATAAATCTACGTTTCTTTTTAAATATGTCCGAACTGTGAATATTATCATGCATTGAGATGTTTATTTGATAAAAATCCTCTTTCATCGAAAAAGTGCTTCTGTCCCCTCTTTTAGAATTCTCTCGAGTTGCTTATCGCATTGAAAAACAATTTTTATAAATAGGAGTTTGCGCCAAAAATACTTGGCACGCCCATGGCCATCAGCCAAGGTGTGTGAAAACAATAGGTTAGGAGTGGCACTGGTGCTAGAATCTCTATGGAAACGAAGAGGGCTAGCGGTCTCATTCATTTCACTAGACCAGCCGGATGACTTCATGTCCGCATCTTCTAGCTTCGATGTTACTGTGTATTTATCAAGACTTCTTTTGGGTGGGATTTTATATGATCCGTTTGTGAAGTTGCTTATTGAAACTGTTGCTATTTTCACATGTAATTATTTATTATTATTCTTATTATTGTTTAAACTTGTATCCTTTACTTTCTACAAATATGAAGTTGTTCGAGTAATTTTCTACTTTCTAATTTACTGGCTAAGTGGCTATGTGAAGAGTGTTAAAATTTCCTTTCCTTTGCATAATGAACCATTAAATCATAATGGACCCACTAATTTTATTCCAAATGGGCGACATTTCCATTTAGATTTTGTTTTTTTTTTTAAGGATTGAAGACAACATGGCTGGGGGCACATCATTCTCAATAGAAGAACTATTTGCTGGTAATTTTGTAAGGTTTAAATTCCAATGTTTGTTGGTACCAATGGAGAGCAAGGAATGCTTATACTTTTAGCATGGAGACTGGCTTGAGTGGAGTATTATTCAAGTTGCTGCAGTGGATCAATTTCTGAATATGAGGAGGATTTGAATACATCAATTCTTGGGGCAACATAAGGATAATATCAAAAGAATGGAATGAGATTGTGCAAACAAAAAATTGGTTTGCTTTGAGGCAAATCTGGACATTGTCTCTGCCCTCATTTGGCATAAATCAAAACAACGAATTTTGATATTTAGGTAAAAAAAAAAACTAAATAAGAAAGAGAAAAACAAACAAACACACAAACAAAAATAACATACTACTCCAAAATGAAAACTTAATCGATTTGAGTCTTGCTGAAAAAAAAAAATTTACAGACGTGCAAATATAAAATTTGAACATACCTTCTTTAGGAATATGAACAATCCTTGCTACCAGCAGAGCATTGCAGGGTTAGCAGAAGAGAAGAATGAAAATTAGGATTTTGCGAATGGAAGTAGGGATGAAAAAAAGGTATTGTGGAGTATGGAGAGACGAATGTGTTAGATGTGAGCTGTGATTTAGAAGAAAATGGAGGGGGAAAAAAAAAAGTCATGATTTAACACGTAAAAAATGGGTAATACTCATCTTTAAGTATTTTAAAGTTTTTAAACAGGTGTTCTAACTACATTGGTCATCTTTAAGTATTTTAAAGTTTTTAAACAGGTGTTCTAACTACATTGGTCCACCTCACTTGGAATAATGAACTTTAACCTCCTAAATCCAAGTATTGTCCTAAATATTACTCGGTATATCTTATAGAGAAAGGGGTATAAGGTTTAACTTGAAGCATATAAGCACTTGGTTGCATTTGAATTGTCAAATAGCTTGCAACAGCCAAAGATATGATTATTATTATTATTATTTCATTCCCAATTGATTATATTTGGAACTTCTATAATGAATTTTTGAAATGAAGTAATAGTACAATTCACCGTGGGTTTCCTGTGCTATGCTAGAAATTTTACATGTTCTCAATATGAAGGACATTTCCTACACTAATGAAGATCAAAGTTTCCCCCAATTGTTTAGCCAATTTTGTTCCATATATACCCATTGATGCTCTTAATGACAATTACTATGTGCATCCAAATGTTTTGCAAAACCATCAGCTTAGGCCAAGTAATAAACTGAGCCTTGTGGTGCCAGACTTCTTGTTTCTTACTTGGCTTGCCCAACTGTACGTATAGGCATTTTCATTTTTCCTAAAAGAAGTACTCGCCCATGTTCCACTTTTATGTTCAAGCAATTGTTGCCTTGTAACGCCTAAACACGGAAAATTATGAAAATATTGCAATATTTCTATCTAAAATTCTAGATCATGTACATGCAGTCTTCATAGCCGCACTGGCCAAGTGTGATGGCAAATTGCCAGCAAAGGGTAATAGCATTTTCTATCCAAATTAGTGTTCATTGGTGGAAGAATTCAGTCGTGAATGGCTCCATCCACTCATGGGAATCATTTTAGGGTTATAGAACACATTTGCTGATAAGTCGAGAGATTCACTCACATCCAAGACTCGAATATGAGTAAATTCAAGTGTTAGAAAGCTGCAGCATGAAAACTCGGATGCCAGCAAATTCAAATACACAACTTGATTAGGAGATTTGAACATTGAAGAGCTTCTGTCCTTTACATGAAACTGAGAAAGCAGTAAGAAACAAAACAATCAGATCCTCCATGCATAATGGAGACATCGCCTCTACTTTGCCCGGTTTACCTTCAGATAAGGTAATGCACCAATCACATTGTCATAGTCACTCCGGTCAACTTGTAGCTGCACAAGATAAACCATTGAAATGTGTGTGTGTGTGTGTGAGAGAGAGAGAGAGTCGCTAGGATAAATAAGCAAAATATTTATTTCTCAAAAAAAAACAAGAAATTTATCCTCAATCCATCAGAAACTGGGATCAGTTCTTCATCTATACCGAGACATTTGACATTTTTTTTTTTAATTTAATTTTTTTGTTTTACATTGCATGTAACATAATGCTTTTCATAGCATGCAGGAGATTCATTTGGTTGTACAAGATCCATCAGTAGTCCTTTGCCTACCTAGTAGTCCGCCTTGACAAATACATTTTATGGTACTAATTTGTCTATAAAGTCATGAATGTTTGCAATACTTTATTTTGTGAGGCTTTCTTCAGGTTTTATCAGTCTGCTGATTTCTGCCTCCCTCCCCTACTTCGTCTTGATCATATACTCTTCTTGCTTACTTTATTTTAAATTGATTTGACGCAAATTGGTACGGTGATTTGATTTATTTATTGGATTCAGCTGGAGATTTTTATTTTCTTAATTTAGGTTCTCTTATCTTGTGGCTGTTTCCAATAATAACCATTTGATTTTTAATTCAATCACCGCAAGTAATAGTCTCTGCTCTGGTTTGTCACTGATACTTTTTCCATTGTGATCTGCTCATGACACTGCAATCCATATCTTCAAAAATAGTGACATCTCCAAAGCCACTTCAACACCAAAGGTCTTACCAAAAGGAATAATGAGTGAAGGCTGAAAAACAAGACCCCATCCTCTCAGTGGAAAAAGTAAAGCTAAAATTTTGGTGCTGTATAACCTCCCTCCCAAGAGGGTTTCAAAACATCTCATGTTTTCCAGTCAGCCAGCCCCACAAGATTAGGGAACCCCATGAGGCAGTTGTAAAAGGTTCAGTTAACTTTTTCTCTTATCTTTCACACTGTTTGGACCGAAGCATGGAAGGTAGGTAGATAACCAGTCACAATTAACATCCTAGGATATCAAGCAGCCAATCGTTGCTGAGTTAAATTTGCAAACTCATAACAATGGTATCCACACTCAGGTACTTGAAACATTTATTTACTCTCATAAACATGCTTTAACATACTTGGCCTCCACTAAAATTCATCATACTGATTACGGTAGCTCTTATGTGTTCTAGATTTAGATCCAATAGATTCAGCACAAATTCATCTTGCATTGTTTCTAAATCCTCTTTATCACCAATTCCTAAGCCATGGTGCCCGCAATTTGTGAAATGTGTGTGGGGTTCTAGTCCTGTAATGGGCAATTTGTGATATGCGTGTGTGAGTACTTACCTAACTAGAAAAATAAAGAAAATAAAATGGTGCCCGCAATTTCCCAAATTATTTTATCAGACAAGAAAAGGTAAAAGAGAACCAAAAAGGTAGAAAGGAAAATGAGGAGTCTTAATATAAGATGCTACATCTTGAACTTGTCCTATACAATGAATAAAATCCATGAATCCTCTTTGTTTCCACAAGCCCACCATAAAGCGAGTTTAAAGTTTATCTTCCAAGTTCCACCAAAAGATTCCTTACGCCAAAAGAAATCAGCTTGGTTAAGTCCTTCAACCACGCTAATTATTTCTGCTGGCTTAAGGCCTTCAGCTTAGACAAGGGCCAAGGGTCATTGCAAATGTGGGCCTTGATAATCAAGGGTGTTAAGAGGGATACATTATATATAGATCTAACCTTTGGCTTAGATAAGAAAATACTTGTTCTTTCCTTCACGATCTAGCAACATGCCTACTAATGCAATTTGGATGGAACTTTTATGAGAACACCCATCCAAATAAAGCTTCATCGGTGAGATAGGAAGCTTCTACATCAGTAAGGCTGTCTTCTTATCCCTCTGTAGAACAAAGTCACTCTCCAATTTCTAAGAATCAACATTGATGGCATGTCATTGAACTCTCTAGAAACCAAAGCCTAAAGTGAAACCAAAGTCTAGCTTTATCCCAAAATAACCCGATATTTGAAAATTTATCTTTGCGAATTCCCACATAACTCAAAGTCTAGCTCTATGCCAAGTAGGTGAATCTATTAAAGATAATTTCAAAGCTCACTAAAATGGAATGATGCACAAATAAATGGATATTCTGTGAAAAAACTCCCCTTTAAAAAGCATATGTCTGAAACTGGCATTAATCTTATTAATTTTCTCTCACACTTGTTAATTCATGATCATGCATGTACAAAATGAGACTCCAAATAGGAAAACCAAAAACAGACCCTTCTACCCAGTATTAATTAACCAAAAACAGACTCTTCTACCCAGTATTAATTATCCGGGTCCCCTGGAAAAAGCCTGAATTATAAACTCCAAAGTTGAAATCTTAAAAGATGAATCCTATATTGTATCCTTTAAAGTACTAAAAATGGGTCCTAAGGGATATAGTTTAGAACTTCCTAACAAGATAAGATCAAATAATGACTAAATAAACTTTCAAGCCTAGATAATCGTAACCAAGAACTAAAGACTACAAGTCAAAATAATAGAACCTATTACTTTCCCCTATTCTAATATTGATTTCCTTTCAAACTAGGTAAAGGCTCAAAGAATTGCACACAAATCAAATAAAATTATATATAAAGAAGATGGTGAAATTAAGAGAGGCCTGACCATCTTGGAGAGTCGTAATTTCCTCTTGGTATTCTTCTTTCCAAGCAAATGCTGTTTTCCAGCTCTCCTTCTCATGATCTTCCCACTACCCGTTACCCGAAACCGCTTCGCGGAAGCCTAAAAAGCTCGAGAAAACAAAGTAAACTTAAAAATGGTCCTTGCAAAAAACCCAATTCAGCACCAACCAGACAGTCAAATATATATATATATATATATATATATAAGATAGAGAGAGAGACCTTGTGGGTTTTCATTTTGTAGCCTTTGGCAGCGAAAACAGTGAAAGACTGAGGGTTTCGAGGAAGAGGTGTTACAGTGAAGAGCTTGTTGGGAAGAATTGGTGCAAACCCAGATATGTTATGTGACGAACTGAGGTTCAATGAGGTTTTCTTTGTAAATGCCGAGAGACGAACGATGCGACGAGAGCTAAGAATAGAGGACGGAGAAAGTATAGAACCCAAAGAGAACATCGTTGTCGGGGACGCCATTGTTGTTGTTGTCATGCTTTTCTTCTCTGCGATGGCTATGGAGAAGAAGCTATTGATGCTCCACCTCCAAGTGATGTGGATGGATAAAGGGACGAAAATCAATGAATTTTTGGGGCCTCAGAATTATCTGTTATTTCCTGATCACGACGATTTAGGGCGTCCTCATGGAGTTTACCTGGACTCGCAAGAGCGGGACGTGGCCTTGGGCCGTGTTTCGATATGTAGATTTGGCCCTCCAGAATTATTTGCTAGAAGCCCAGAACTATCTCTCCAAAATCCCAATGGTGGGCTCTGGGGGCACAGTGAAGTTCCAATTTTGTTTTTCCGGTCTTTTTGTGCTCAGGAGTTGTTTGGTAAAATAAAAGAATAAGCGTAATGTTATATATTAGCGTAACCAAAAAAAAAAAAAAAAGTATTTGAATGAGTGCATTTGGGAGTCCATGTATTGACCTTATAAATCTGAAAAAGATGAACATCAACCTATATATATTTTTCTAATAAGCTAAAAAAAGCTTTTAGCTCGTCATATGAATATATATATTAAATACGTTAATTGAATAACAAACTTTAGAATCTCCTATCAATATTAATGATAATAAAGTCAACCGTGCAAACACAATATGGTTGGAGACATACAACCTACAAGCTCCAAGAGTCACCAAAATAAATGAGTCGACTCCAAGATCATCATGTCAACTTGATTTTAGATGCTAAACCCAGCAACCTAAGTATGATAAGGTTGGTTTAGGAAAGACAGACCCAATGACTTATGGATTGAATTGAATTCAAGTTTTCCACTCTTTCTATCAATGTCCCAAGGTTTGATCGAGCAGTTTTGCCCCAACATGAATTCAGTTTGACCTACATAGTTTTTATAAACACCATATGTGCTTCGAACAAGAGTTTGTCTACAAGCTTTATCGCAAGCATTTTCTTGTACAATATCACTACAAATTATCTGCCCATTCCCAGAAGCCATGACACCTTCAATGACTCCATATCATTCTACTTGAGTTGGGACAACGAAAAAGATACAGCCAGCATTCCTATTGATGCCCGAGTTCTTCACATCCATTCCAGAAGTTATGGCCTCGTCAGGATAGCTATAGACTCCCATTCCAAACTGCATATCACATCCTGTATGGCAAAGTTTCAAATCATCAAATCTACAGTTTCACTACACATCATTATACCACAGCAAGGTAGCTTATTCCAAGGAAGAAAGAGAGTAAAAGAGAGAACCCAAAAAAAAAAACCAGCAGCACAAGGAAATACGCTAAGAAAATTCAAACAAGTTCAAGCACTTCAACTTACCGAGGGGTTTTGTTGGTCAATGTCAAAGCTGTTGATGGCACAGGGTTCAGCCAAGAGCTCAATGGGTTCCTCACCTATGCAATCACATGATGCAAACTAAATCAGCCTGGGATTCTCACAAAGACAGGTTGTGAATTAACTGAATTGTCTGAAGCATCACCCTTTTTTCCAAAATATAGAAACACCCATTATCTATTTTAAAAAATTAAATGGTCCAACAATTTTTATCTATAAAATTTGAAAAAACCAAACTACTGCTGCGGCAATTAATTCTATACCTTGTTCAACAACAGCGAGGATCCCATCTTCTGAGCAGATCATAACAGGTAAGATCCGGGAGGATGAGATGTTTCCAACATTTGCAGAGTGTGTATACTGTACTTCCCACACTTCACTTTCAGCGAGTGAATTGGCCATTGCGCCACCAGCTGCAACCCCAGAAAGAATTATCGGCTGCTGTTGCCACCGAATATCCCATGCAAATACAGTACCAGAAGAACCTCCTGCCTTCAAACAGAACAGCAGAATATTTAAAGAGCCCAAACTCCCTTGTGTTAAATCACAGTAAGCACATTCAATATTCAATAGTCATGCAAGACTTCAATAGTGAAAGTTGAAGAATTCCAGAAATCAGAAACAACCCTCCAAATCATCACCTAGCCTACATAGCCAATTTAATAATTTTTATTATAATTAGCTAATATATTTTACACGAGAAGATGTTTTGCTTGCAGTTAAATCAATTAGACTGATTCGGTTTGACGAATAATGACCAAGTCATATGTGTTCACATGCACAATTTCCTCTCTTGTTAGCCAATCAAATAAGAAATACGGGAGTTCTTTGCCAGTGTTACCAAATAAATAAGGGAAAAAAAAAAATTACGGACTAATAAGCAACCATGAAGAATTCAACAAGCTTATACATTTTTATGCTAAGTATCAGGAAATGATGAATAAATTTTAGGACACAAAAAATCATGCAATAGAAAGAAAGGTGGTGGTATGCTAGTACCAGCACCAGCTTGTTTAAACTTGAGGGTTCCTGCATAGAATGTCAATCGTCCTTGAACATGTCAGCAGCAGCCAACACGTTTTGAGCTATTCCAAGTTCCAACTGGTTAACCAGCAGATAATTAGAGAATCAAGTTAATCACTAAACCTAATCCAGCATTGACCTACCAACAGGACAGTATTTACATGCAATGCCATCAGGTTGATATAAAAAAGTGATCCGGATGATACAATACATTTCCAATAACTTCTAGATTAACTAAAGATTATAAATAAACAAAAAAAATTGATAGGGTAACTTCTTCATAAACTTTGGAACCTGTCCCATTCAGGGACGTAGCCAGGATGTAAGGTAAGGGGGGGCAAAAATGAATTTTTTATGAGTATATTACTGAAAATGAACAAATTATAAGGGTATATTACTAAAAAAAAAAATCAACTTGTATGTAGCTCCGTCCCTGGTCCCATTTCTGATCTTCAGTAGATCCACTCTAACCATCACTGCATATTTTACCAGCTAAGAACATTTAACGAAGGAATTCATTATGAAAACAATAGGATTCATTACGAAACAATAGGAAGAGATCTTTTGTCCCCTCAACATAATAGGAACATAAAGAGTAAAGAGCAGAGAAAGGGAATGTGGGGCGGGGGAAGAGATTAGAGATGGCAAAAGCCAAACCCGACAATTTCTGCATGACTGTCCTAATATTTCAGCATTTAAAGTTTTGATGTTTTTGGTTCTTATCAAACTGATATCTGGCATCCACACACAAAAAAGAATTGAGGCAAATTGGCTTTCTTTTTCATTCTGAGTAATGAAGAAAGGTAAAGTAGTCATCTTACCAAACAAGTGTGCTTTCTTGATGGATGAATATCAATGCTGTGCACAATCCCAGTAGTTCCTTGAGACCTGCAACAGTATTGATGTAAAAATTAATTGACATGTCACAACTTAAGGGAACATTGAAGATGAAACAGTCTGTAGTTGAATGAACAGGTATCTTATCACCAACCTTAAGAACATACAGTTAATGACAGTAAACAAAAAATAAAAGTTGAAGAACTTACAATCACCAAGCCAGGCTAGCATGATTATATAACGGGCCTTGGCTGGGCCTGATTAACATGTAGCTCAGTCATTAACACCTAGATCTCTTTAAGAAATCAAAGATTCAATCCAAGTGATGATAATGCCTGGGCTTAACTAGTAAATATTAGCAACTAAAAGTGAACTTTTAAGATATCAATAGATTTTTAGCCCTTCTTAAACTCAGAAGGTGTTCATGCAGATTGATGATAGTGGTGATGGGTGGCTGTGGATATGATAACTAGGTCTAAAGAAGGTAAAAGAATAACTGTAGCGGACCTAGCGGTGGCTGTGGATTTCCATAAAATGGTCATCACTGGATGTGGGAAGTGAAACAATATTGTAGTGGTGGTATGATGAGGCCGTGATCTTCCATCTCTATAAACTACATCTACAACAACATTCATCTCCCAACTGCCACCATCTTTAAACTTTCAACATCCCTAGAAACATCAATCTTCTTTCCAAAACCATCTTCTTAACTGATAGCTGTTTGATGATAAAAGCTTTGTTCATTAGATCCGAGAAACCAGTTTAAGTGATGAAATCCCAGAGTAATTCTTTCAAGAACTAAATTATTCCATACTAGAGCAGGGATAACAGGCAAAAGAAATGTGTTAATCTCTGGCACATTACTAAATAACAAGCTACCATGCCAGGCAACCTGAATGACTGTAATCCAATTCAAACCAGGGACTAAAGCACCTTAAAAAAGTCCCAAAATCAGTCTCAATCTACTACTTCTCTTTGTCTCCCTCTAACTGCTTCCTACCATACCAAAATAACTTTATTAAAAGAAAAACTGTGTTACTCCACTAGATATCCTAAAATGGAGCAGTAAATAACTCAGTCTATCACCAAGATGTAGTAGCTCTTTACCAAAGAGACACACAAGTCCTTCCCCATATACACATCCATTCACCAAATGCTGCTCTCACTCCTTTTTACACATTCGCTAACCTTACACACAAACACATTTATGTTTTACAAAGTATACAAATTGTTATCTTTCATTCATGCAAAAAAAAAAAAAAAAAGTATTTATTGAAGTCTCTCTTGTTTTCTCACTTTGGTATCTGTAGTAATACTTATTATGGTATTATTCAAGGTCCAAAAACTCCACATCACAATTCAAATAAGATGCATTTTTCTCTTATATAAATGAAACACACACATATATATATGCACGTAGCCACGCATTTAAGTGTACATACATATTCATAGAGAGATACACATATATACTGTCCGATAGTAGTACAAAATAAGAAGAAAATAAAACCCATTCTCTTACCAGTCACCCTTGAACTGAGAAACTGGTCCTCCAGGCTTCCTCTGATCCCACCACTGGAGACTAAACCCCAATCCACCCGTCACAAACTCTGTCGGAGACGCCCACTTCGCTGCTGTATACGACACCAACCCTTTACTATCAGAAACCCGACGATAATTCAAACCCGAACCACCAATACTAACCAAATTCACCCTCCCATCTTCCCCAACAGTAACACACTCAGAACCACTCTGCTGCAAATCGATACACGAAATGGGTCCAACGTGCAACGATTTCTCGGGCGCTGATATCTCCAATTCAAGCGACGCATCCACCGAATCGGTGAACAGCACGTGAAGCGAACCCGCAAAGGTTGACGCGGCAAGAAGGGGTTTGTGGAGGCCGTGAGAGACTCTGAGCGATGAAATTCTTGAGGGTGAGGACCATGAAGATTGGAGGGTCAAATTTGGGGGGTTTGATCGATTTAGAGCATGAATATCGACCGAGGAAGCGTCGGAATCGGAGTCAAACACGGCTAGCACGACGAAGCGATCAAAGGCGGATATCGGCGGAAGCCAGCGGAGAGCGTCGATGTACTTGGATTGTGGGAGTCTGTGGACCTTGAGGGTCTGCTCGGCTCCAGACACCGCCATTGTTAGGGTTTTAGAGGGTTTGGGAAAGATAATAGTGGCTGTTGTTTTGAAAAGGCAAGACAAGGTGGGAGACGAATCTATTTGGAAGTGCAACGGCCGGCTTGGGTCAACCCAGATTCAACCAAACGTTAATAATTCGAAGTTCGTCGAACCCCAATCCACAATGGAATATTTTTTTTTTGGCACCGGAGATTTAGCTTGAGGCAGCTGGACATATAAAATGTTTAACCTAGTTCAATTCTAATATTACCTTCTAATTTTAAACTCGAATTTCGAGATTTAGCTTGAGGGGCGGCTGACGTATAAAATGTTTAACCCAAATTTAGTTCTAATCCTACCTCTTACCTTTAAACTCAATTAGATTTTGAGTTCAAGCAGATGCCTTGATAGCCCCGTAGATAGTGCCTCCGGTGAATTTTGGGAGTACCTGGACTGTTTGCACCTACTAATCTAACTTCTAACCCTTCTTACCTTATAATAAAAAAGAGATTTTGAATTCAAAAGTGGCAATTGAATTAAATTACTCTTCTTATATCTTGTTTGGTTGAAGGAATGGAAATGAAAGGGATAGATGAGGGGAAAAAAAATGCGTCTCTCTCACTTTTTATTTAGTTGAATGAAATGAATATTAAAATATATATATATATATATATATATGTATATATATATATATGATATATGATTATTATGTGATTTAAACAAATTTTGTTTTTTCTATTTCCTACAATACCTGGAAGAAAGTAAAATTTGTACTGATTGATAACCTTATTTTTCATTCTTCATTCAAATCTATATATGTAGAATCCGCTATATCATAAAAACGAAATTCGCTGAAATTTATAAAATACAATAAAAAATCTATATCTATCCCAAATTTTCTTATTTGGTTGGAAGGAAGAGAAAGATGGTTTTTATATTTTTTTTACTAATATGTCCTCATTATTTAAAAATTCTATATTTATCCCAAAATTTTAAGAAGGTTATAAATGAAAATTTCATATTTGTGTTAGTTATTACTTTTTTTTGTCTCATCTTCCTTCTAATTTTGGGAGGATAAAAAAATACAAAGAAATGAGGATGCTTCATCCCTCCTTCTTTACCCTTCCCTCCAACCAAACACAAAAAAATTGGTTTATCCATCCCTCGTCAATCCTTCCCTCCAACCAAACATAGCTTAAACAAAAATAAATAAATAAAAACTTTTTGCAACTTTTTAATAAATTACTAACAAATGCTTATTAAAATAATTATACTAAATGCTAATATATAATAAATTAAGATTTAATAAAGAAAGTTGGAAACAAAAAGGTGATCATAATTATAAAAATGATTGCTCAAGCCCAACCCTAATTAAGTTCGGGTTAAAATTTTTCAACCCAAAACCGACTCTAATTATAAAAATGATTGCTCAAACCCATCAAAAATCAAGCCAGACTCAAGCTGGTTCAGGTTACCCAACCTAAGTGCACCCCTAGTTTAGTTGAATATCAATACCAAAACAATATTTTACTTGTAAAAAACAATTTTTTTTTTTTATTATCAAATCTCCCAAAAATAACACTGAAATTTGAGTATGTCAATTTTTGAACTTTTGGTTGTGTGTGTGTGTGTATATATATATTGTAGATTTACACAAAAAAAAAAAAAAAAAAAAAAAAATTGGACTAATTATTGTTAGCTCCAACCATTGTTTTTTTATATTTTGTGTAAAATTATATCTAATTAAGTTCGGGTTTAAAATTTTCAACCCAAGACTGACTCTAATTATAAAAATGATTGCTCAAACCCATAAAAAATCAGGTTAGACTCAGGCTGGTTCGGGTTGCCCAACCTAAGTGCACCCTTAGTTTAGTTGAATATCAATACCAAAACAATATTTTACTTGTAAAAACATTTTTTTTTTTTTTTTATCAAATCTCCCAAAAATAACACTTAAATTTCCGTATGTCAATTTTTGAACTTTTGGTTGTGTGTGTACATATATATATATATATATATATATTGTAGATTTACACAAAAAAAAATTGGACCAATTATTTTTAGCTCCAACCATTGTTTTTTATATTTTCTGTAAAATTATATCTACCAATAATAAACAATCAACCACGTGTTTAGTCTATTGCGATTCTTTTCCTTAAAAATTTCTTTATCCTTATCCCAAAATAGACACATGGAGCAGGAGATTCCTTGAAGTCTCTCGAAAATAGGCAATGACTTCTCTTTTTGTTTTTAGAAAAAAGCCCGATTCTGTTATACAACTCTAATACTATAACGACCCGAACCCAGGGGTCCGAATCATTATCCGGGTCCTTACCTGAACCCGATATCATCTAAGGGCATTAAGGTCATTTCTAATGTCAATACATAATTTATACTTCATTTTATGTTCTACAGTGCGTAGTAATATCATTGAATGAAAAGAGTTACAAAAGTATTATAAGGACTGGGCTACATCGATCGACTGACAGGCTTGCATCAGCCGGGCGAAATAGTGGTCCTCACGCACCTAACTCATTGGGTGCGCATGGTGTGCACCGTAGGTGCGCCGCACCGGATCATCTCAGCCGCTGATCTTGATCCAATGGCCACTAATCAGAACACACGGTAAGCTGGTGCATCGTGCCACACCGGATCTGGCGTCCTTCCTCAGGCGCCGCCTTCACCACTGATAGCGCTCCGGCCACTAGAACCTCGCCGGAATTTCCAAAATCCTTTATTTGGCCCAAAAAATTTCAGAAAAAAATCTTAAACATTTTAGAAAATTCCTGAAGCCAAATTTAACCCTCTTGAAGCTTCATAGCATCCCTTGATGAAGATTACATGGTTTTAAATAAATTTTATAATTGAAATACAATGGAAAAAAAAAAAAAAAAAAAAAAAAGTATATCATTGAACTTTCAAATGGCTAAATCAAAGCCTTAATTACATTCATCCAAAGATAAAATTACATTTGATTAACCTATAAGCTTCATCCATTGGCCAAGTATACATCAGCATTATTAAATCACAAATATAAATACATAATCATCATATATTAATATATACATATGCATATATAAATTTAGATCCATGAATGATGATTTTCTTAAAAAAAAAATTATGATCTCTAAACATGAATCAAATCAAGCTCTAATACCATTGTTGAGAAACAGAAGTTTTTAAAACTTGTAGAGGAATTTTCAAATAAAGATCTTGATTCATGTGTAGAGACAAGTTTTATGCATGAAGAATATAATGATCCATTCAATTAGATATAGAAAACTTACATTAAAGTTTGAGTAAATCTTAAATATCTCCTCTAAAATGAATGTTCTCACTTATTGTAAATCCCTTAGCTATATGCCTCTTCCTTAGTCTGTCATCTTCTTGGTAGTGATCTTGCCTTTAGGAATCACCAACAAACCTCCATGAATGACCTTGGAGCTAAGCTTGTGGGAGCCTCCATTAAATGAGAACACTAACCCTAAAATCATAGAGAGAAAAAATATTTTTTGTCTTCCAAAATTAATGCACAAAGGCGTGACCTCAAATATAAATGGACCCTATGTATATATAGGCAAAATAAAAATATAAATTAATGACAATATATTTTTCTCAATTTCTAAAATTCATGTGATATCTCAAATCTAATAGGCTTCCAATATCAAGTTGGGTTATGAGTGAGAATCATTTGGGCTTATAATTTTTTTTTGCTACAATGAATTAATAATTGGCCTGGTCCATTATACCATGGACACAATTTAATTAATTCATAAATCAATTTCTACTCCACTAAAAAAAATTAATTGAACTCCAATTAAATAATAAATAATTTCTAAGTCAATGTTGCATTTTGACTCCTCTATGCATATATAATTAGTTATCGGATAAATAAAACCATCAATCCGACTACTAAAATAATATATTTATTTTGGTACATTTGATTATTTCTGACTTGATCGCAATAAAAAATTGTTAAACAAAAATAATAATTTAAATAAATAAATATATAGAAAATCATTTTGTCTAAAACGCACGAAGGCCTTTGAATTTATTTTGTAATCAATCATAATTAATACAAAATAAATATAAGTAACAATGATGCAAATATTGAAAATGTAACCCTTTGATTGTTAATTACATAATTGCCAAAAGTGTCGGTCTTTGGGTTTCGAAGAATTCGTCGAACAAATTAAAGTAATTACTAATTAATAAAAGAGTCTATATTTATCTCATACTTAAGAGTCAAATATTGTGATACCCCATAATTTCGGAACACGGGTTGATCAAATCCGCGCACAAAATCAGGGGATATCAAAACAATTAAAGTATTTTAAACAAACACAGATTACAAAAAGAAATAAAAATAATAAATAATTCGCTGAAGAAGAATCTATTAAATAATACTTTCATTAATACTTCTCTAAAATTACAACTCGGAAATCCCGTAATTCAACGACCTCTAAAAATATTATCCAATAATCTAATCAACAATGAAGTAAATCTATCATCTAACAATGAATAAATATCCTATTTGAAATAAGAAAAAGGAATAGATAAGCCTTCCAGCTGTAGATCCTCAATCTTGAGACTTAAACATTTAATAACCTGGAAGATAAAATTAAGTGGGTCAAACCCACGAGCAAGTTCTCTCCACCAGGCCTTTAAAAACTAATAAACATATCATCTCTGATCAAAACTAAACCTAATAAAGTTTTTTTTATCTTTAATATACAATGATACACATATATATAAATAATTATATATACTACACTAATCACACCCATTAATAGGTTCATTAATTTTTCAAACCCATTAAATAATAAGTAAAATAATAATCATACCGTGACCAATCCACTATTTTTTTTGAAAAGAAACTCATTTAACCTTAATCTCATCATAATTATTTATTTAATCATTTAATCCAAAATATAATTAAAAGAATATTATATTTACTCCAAAACCCAATAATGATTTTTATAATTTAAATCATACAGTCAATATCTAAGTTTTGACAAATCATTCATGTCTCTACCAACATTATTTTATTAATATATATAAAATAATACATTAACTTGTAAGTACTAGATTATTCTTATTTAAGAATATCTAATTCTAATCCAACCTATACATACAATAACCATAGATGAAATTTTAATCATCTAATACATAGCAATTTAATTATGCATTGGCAATTCAACCATGCCATTATAAATATATTTATTTATATA